CATTGTTTATAGTGCAGCTGCACTGCAGCTAAAGTACCGCTGCACCGAACCTCGCCCTTGGTGCAGCCGTTGCACCAGTACCGTTGCACCGGTACCGCTGCACTTGTCAAGGCCTAGTGCAGTTGACCGTTTCTCGTCGGAGACATCCAATATTTACACATTAGTTAGCTATCACAAAAGAAAATTCTAGCATAACTAGGGCTCAGCTTGATGCGTTAATTGATATTGCTAACCGGCTCCTCGACGTTTAGGGAAGCCAACCTCTTTTTGGTGCGGCGGGCATCAAAGATGGCCGTGTCAATAAACTTACCAGGGACAGTTTCAGGTCTGGGCTATGAACTCTAAAGACCACGGTTTCTGGAGTGCGGTACGGGTTTTCAACGCTCTAATACTATACCTATTCGAAGCTCTTAAACATCACTAAGAGCTACTTAATCTATAGCTACGGCTATGTAGTGCCCTGATCTCCTTTCAGCCATTCCCAACAGTGACGCTTTAAGGCATCTCTTAACATGGCTTCCACACCACCCACCCGGTCCAATCGAACTAAATTGGTCAAGAAGTCCATACGCCAAAATCAAGGTCGTCGTAAATCAAGCCTAATGAAAAAAGCGTCCGAATATAGCAAGATATGCGATGCAGATGTCTATATGGGCATACGCCTCCGGGAAACCGGCCAAGTATTTATATTATCAGCGGATGCTTCAGGATTTTGGGCTTTCCTTAGCTCGCAATTAGTATATCTCCGACTATATCTATAATGAAAAGACGACTGACCTACCAAGAACTCCTACTATCCATCCCCAATACTAGTGACAGACCAGGATCTACAGCAGGTTGATAAAGATACACCGGAACAGCACACATGAAGTTGTATGACTAAAGCGGAACTTCCACCAGACCAGAACCTTTAGAATTAATAATTTGTTTCTATTCTCGGTCCGCGACTTAAAACAATCCTTATCTCAATAGTTCGTAAGTTATTAAGGGTAAAGCACGTTAAGCTGTGGTTCTAAAGAGGATTCTCCATACTTAAGAGTTCGCAGTAGATTCCTAAGTCAGCCACGATTACTTGTTGGCCTAAGGATAGGGAAAACTAGATAACTAGCGTCTTGGAGACTAGGCGAATTCTGGGGGTATGAATAAGCCTGTATATAGACGCGCTCGAAATTAGTTTCACCATTTACTCTTGGATTCTTTCCCAAACTCTATGTTGAAACCTGCTAGTCTACCTTTGGTTTAGCTGAATTCGGAATACTTAACTCTGTGGTAAGTTCATACCACGTGACCAATAACTCAGAATACCCGTACTGTTGCACATACATGTGCCCCTCATCGGCGTCGCTCCCTGATCACACCCCGACAGGCCCCCGGCGTTTGCTTTACGCTCAATATGTCCGCAAATATTGACTACCTCAGTCCGGAGCTTGTCACAATCGTTGCTGAGCACCTTGGATGCGAAGATCTTTGTAATTTTCGCCTTAGTGCTCGATATCTTAGAGACTGTTCTCTCACGCTCTTCTCTAATCGCTTCTTCCGTGCACGAGTCCATCTATTAAGTCGATTTAGCCTTATGGCATTGCTGGATATATCACGCCATCCCTTGTTCGGACTCTCATTACAGACCGTGGTCATTTCAGCCGACCACTTAATCCCAGACCGACTACGTGATGACCCCCGCTCTCTACCATGCTGGAATTGGGGCGACAACTCTTCAAGTACTATCGACAAAAGGGGCTATCAAAAGCACCTCGACGAGCAAAATTACTTTCGTTTCACAGGTCTAGACACCACATATTTGACTCAAATACTCAGAAATGCAAGAAATTGTCGAGATATCTGTCTTGATGATCAAGATCGACCTTGGGGGGCTGCCGCTATCAAAAGAGACACTGGACTTTATCCATCCTCGAACTCAGAAAGTGATTATAGCAAAATTTACTTTAAAAGAGCTGTTCATGTTGTTATTGCTGCTATGACTGCGAGTGAGGTTCCGATTACGACCTTGGCAATAAACAACGGGATCGAACGGGTACACGTGCACCCAAATATGCTCGCTTTCCCGGTATCTCACCTAGACCGCGTACCATGGGTCAACACAATCATCACGTTAGGACTCACTTTGGTTCCTAGCGACGGTGTTGCACCGCGGGCTTGGTCAGAGCCTCTCGCAGACTTCATTATGCGTTTTCAGCAACTAGAATGTCTTGACTTATACTTTGATACTCGACTGGAGCAAGCTGCGTTCAGTACCCTCAGTCAAAACTTAGAGCTACCACATCTTCGGACCTTGAAGCTTACTGGTGTGGATTGTTTACCAGAGGATTTATCAAGGGTTTTCATCAAACACCGAAGTACCCTTCGAGAAATATTTTTAGAAATCATTGGTATCAGTACAAGCACAGGAGGCTCATGGCAAACACTGCTAAGTGAAGTCCGCAATCGACTCCAACTTTCAAGATTGAAAATGACTCAATGCGATGTGAATGGGGACGATATCTGTTTTGCAGAGGATTCTTTCGATCGCTCAAACATAATCGATGTGATTGGTCAAGACCCTCGTTTGCTAGATCGACTCATTAAAAGCATTATGAAATGGACTCCAGGGTGTGAGGAAAGGGTTTCTGTTCTTGAGGTCGTTTGAATGGGACACACTATATTCATCTGTAGCTACTTTTACGCTGTTGATTATTACCATACTGAGATACTGCCGAAAACGGGTCAGGGGTAGAGTAACCATAATAGGTAAGCCTAATGAAAAATAGAGTTCGAGAAACAATTGAAGAGATTAAAAAGGTGAAACTGGTTTCGGGCGCGCCTGTATGAATTAATGAGAAGCTCTCGTGGAGGTTGGAGAAAAATCCTCCGCGCTAAGCGTCAATGGCATCTTAGTCGGCTTCTTAATTATTATAGTAGCGACCGGTATCGCCTTCCATGTCGGGAACAGAGAGATGTTATTTCAAACCCTAATCACATGATAAGCTAATCTAAATATGGATAGCACCTGAATTATTGTTTTTGTAGATTACCTGGCAATAAATACCAGGAGATTGAAATACTAGTATGGAAGATATAAGGGTCTAGAACAAGACCCCTGGACTAGCTGGAAGATTCGATGCAAAATGAGCAAACATGGCAATCCTTTGAACAGGCAATCTGTCAACAATTCCATCTCTACTGCACAAAAATGATTGGGTGTGAGTATAGCAATTGATGAACAGATGTTATAAGATATTATAGATCATGCTAATATATGTAGATGTCCTTACTCTTACCAATCGTCTAGATAGACTGCCTTTAGCTATTATTATCGCCGGGGCGTTTATACGTGAAACCGGAACCAGCATCACTAAGTACTTATAGTACTACTAAGAATCTTAGTCTAAGCTACAGCTGCAATCGAATCCTAGACGTTAGTATTAGTAAGGCAATATGCTACAAACATAGATGATCTCATATCTTAAGATCTAGAGGCGGGACCCGAGCGCAGCAGACCATTTATTGCTACTTACTCGTTTTAATAATCGTCATATCTGGTACGAGTTAGTGAAGAGTGGCCGTTATAGCTTAAATGTCCCGGAATGGCTCAAAAAGCCTATATCAAGCGGACTCGCGTTCAAAATTAGTGTGAAGTCTCTTATCGGATTCTCTTTTCTTAAGAGTAAGCGACAAAATGGAAGCTATACGATACATCCAGTGGTACAGGACTAGTGCCTTCATATTGCCAGCACAAACAGAAATCTGAATTCGATGTAGCTTAATGAACTAGCACTGATATCTATTGGATACGCTGTGCCTAGTGTAAGTGATAGGGGTTATTCAGAGCTTCAGCAGCGGCTTCTTCCACACGCCAATTATATACGTCATCTAGATTGGTCAGGTAACACTATTAAGTTATGGGGAGCATTCTATGGTTTAGGGATTCTTTACTCTGATCAGGGGAAGCTGAAGGAAGCAGAGGAGATGTATCAGCCAGCACTAGCAGGCAAGGAGAAGGCCCTAGGTCTGGATCATACGTCTACTCTTGGTACAGTCAACAGCATTGGCAATCTCTACAAAGATCAGGGCAAGCCAAAAGAGGCCGAGGAGATGTACCAGCGAGCACTAGCAGGATATGAGAAGGCCTTGGGTCCAGATCACATGTCTACTCTCAATATAGTCAACAACCTTAGTCTTCTCTTTTCCAATCAAGGCAAGCTGAAGGAGGCAGAGGCGATGTACCAGCGAGCACTAGCAGGCTATATGAAGGCCCTAGGTCCAGATCATATATCCACTCTCAATACCATCAACAACCTTGGCAACCTCTACTATGATCAGGGCAAGCTAAAGGCGGCAGGGAAGATGTACCAGCGATCACTGGCAGGCTATGAGAAGGCCCTAGGTCCAGATCATACATGCACTCTCAATACCGTTAACAACCTTGGCAACCTCTACTCTGATCAGGGCAAGCCAAAAGAGGCCAAGGCGATGTACCAGCGAGCACTGGCGGGATATGAGAAAGCCCTGGGTCCAGTCCACGCTAGGACCCGGCGAATTGCAGAGATGTTGAATGCATTAAGCGTTGTAGATAGGAAATAGTTGCCTAACACTCCGCAAAACATAGTGACTTCATTTCGATATATTCTATATATTCTTTAGCGGTGAGTTCACTACATACACAATGCTCACTACACCTTGCTACCTTCGCTTCTTGAGATCTAGTGGGCTGTCATTATTTTTGTATAATTCAAAGTACGATCAGTTACTGCCAGGCACCAAGCTTTCGAGCCATCTCTCGGTGCGTTAGGATGTGGTTTGTGAGAGATTTGCAATCAGCAGCCTCCGCTGCATTGACGTTGCTTGCCGACGGGCCCGATGAAGGCAGCAAGAGGCCATGGCGTCCCAACGATCCGGAAAATCGCTGTACTCAGGAAGGGGTGGATGCCGCAGTTGGTTAGAGTCGCCATCATGGAAAGTTTCCGGAACTACAATTTCGGAGATTCTGGGTTCGAGTCCCAGCACCCTTACCTTCATTAACCGTGTTGTTCGGTAGCAGGGCAAGTGGTTTACGCCCTGTAACTGCAGAAAAGTGGTCCCGATACAGAAGTGCGGAAATGGTCACTCCGCATCTTCTGGGGTTCTCGGGTTCGAATCCCAGTGCCGGGAACACTACAAACCCATCACGTCTCTGTTGGGAGACACTATCACACGGGGTAATGGAGTATCCCAAACCTTTTCACAGGTCAGAGTGGAAACAAACACAGGCTACGGCGAGGCTCAAAGTTCGGCTAAGAAGTTGTACATTCTCATGGAAGACACATGTATTTACATCATAGTGGTAGGCTGCATATCGTTTCGACGAGGGGTCAGCGTAAATGAATTACACACACACATACGCTGTACTCAGGAATGGTGCTAAACACGTTGCGCATAGCCCCACGGCAAATCTGATACTGTGAAATTCATTGATCTCGTGTATTCGTAAACTAGCTTTCGTCTATGTGGAACATAGACCTATGGTAGGAAGCGATCGGGGAATCTGGATTTTTATACGGATGAGGCTAGTGATGGCCGCATTGGGGACAGACGTTGTAGACCAAAGCACGTCATTACTCCCACGGTTCATGCACGTGGGACTAAGGCCGTGCGGTTGACCACCAGAGCCGGATAACCCGCAGTCCTCTCGGTGTTGACTCCGCTTTGGAATCATACATCAAGCCCTCCTGAGACAGAAGGTCAGTATTAACCCGAGTATACTCATGATATAACAGCCATATTGTGTAAAGCCTCATGGCTCGTGCTCACATGGGCCTTTGGATAATAATTACTGCGTTCGACACAAGAGAATCATTATTAATAGCCATATTTGGGATTTGGTTGACTGAACATGATAGCAAATGTTGCCGTTTTATCACCTCGTATATCTTGTTACGAATCCTGAAGTATAAAGAATAGTTGCGTACCGCAGATTTCAAGGGTGATGTTAACGGAAGCTATTCACAATTGACAGTATTCCCACACGTACCAGACAAAGGCCCGTCTTTTTCTTTACTGGCAGGTGGTCCGTCTAGTGCGCAGAATGTTCCTGAATCGGCGTTTGTCAACGTGTTTAGGAAAGACTGCTTGTGTTGAACAAATGGTGGGGATAGTAAAGCCTGATGGCCAACATGATCCGATTAATGATTGATTACTAGTTCAGATCTTAACCACTCTTCTTGACCACTCTTCTTAATCACTCTTCTTAACCACCTTGCAAAACGCGTTAAATTAAATAAACTAAAATCATCATCTATGTGGGCATGCATCTCTCCTATGGCCCTGATTTTTGCATAGCCCGCGCGTCGGTAAAGCCTTAGGTTCTTGGCTGCAAAGGTGGAGAAGAGGGTAGGGGATGGAGGTGGCTCAATTGCTTTCCCCGGCTCAGTGGTCAATTGAGAAGCTTCTGGAACTGATAGGCCTTCTGTAGCTAGGATCTGCTTCTTAGGTCTAGCTCGCTTTTGCTTTTTCCTCCCATTTTGGGCGCGCAAATCTCCCACTTCTTTCTCAAGCAAAGACCTACCGGAAGAGGATATTTTTCTCCCATCAGCCTGAAGGTATTGCGAAAAGTCGCAGCAACTCCGTATGTGGCTTTTGACTCATCTCTCGACCTTGTGCTCCCTGACCTCATTCTGCAGCGATTCGGCAAGATATTCGAAGAGTGGCTAGAACTATTGTCCTCGTTATCCCGGTCTTTGTAGTGCGCATTGAAAGCCTTTGCCAGTTTTGGAGTCTTCCTTGTAATGCGAATTTAATTGAATAGCTCCTCCTTCGGCCCATGCTCAAAGACCCATCTCATTCTAGAGTACCCGTAACTATACCTCGGCGCACGATTTTACACCCAAGTCACGCCCCAGGCCCATGTCACCCTCACGGGTTTCCAACAATGTGCTTCGAGCTATCCATCCTGTGCGTGAGGCTAAAAGGCATGATACTACCTATTATGATTCCATCTGGCTTGGACTGCAGAAAATTGCTGATGACCAGGATGTTGAAGAAGTTGCATTGAATCGATATGGCCGGATACAAGTACTGCAGTCCAGGAACGATGCCAGGGGCGACATGTTCAAATATGCCCAGCGTTTCAGCCTTTTGCTTGGAGCTCAAGAATTGCAGGTCATAGAGAAAACACTACCACCGGATGCGTGCTCCAGGGGTGTAACCCTGAGATCTGCTGCAATCAGCAAATTGGCCGAGTATCTCCTCGTTGAAAAACGACGCATATTAGATGAAAACAAGCGGCACTCTCATTACGTTTCAGTATGTGAGCTATTCGGCCCCGGTGCCCTTTTTTTACTTGGAGATTCTGATGGAGTACTTTCTCTGTAGGTTACCCAATGAGGAAGAGACAGCCCATTTCCTGTTCTTACGGTTTCTAGATGGGAAAGAGACCTGAATGCTGAAGATATGGAATCTTTATACAAATACGCTCCTGCTTACCTGTCAGTTCCATAACAGACCTTGCTGATGTTGTCGATGATAGAAAATCAACGGCCTTAGAATCGATCGGCCATCGAGCTGGATCATCTATTCCCGCATTTTCTTTTACATATTTCTGCATCAGTTCCATTGTCAGATATCCCAAGCCTTTCAAGGACAAAGACTGAGTCTGTTCCGGCATGTAGGGCACAGTCAACTCTAAACTAGCTATCTCGACAGTCAGACTTTCAACAACCCAATGCCAAGTATCATACCAATTTTCACCACTCCGTCTAGACCCATTAGGGCAGTGGAGCACTTTAAAAATGAATGTTGATAGCCGCAATCGATCAAATAAAAATCTCATCTCTGTTGCCTACAATTAGTCTAGGTCAACGAATGTATGCGAGAGAAATGATTAATCAAGCAGCCTGGCTTATGTCATCGCCCCATGACCCCATGTTTCAGCCAAAGCGAAAGTACCGTTTAGATGGCACCATAGAGATCACCAATCGTCAGTTAGTGAACCTATCCAGTTCCAACCCCTCGAGAGAATCCTTCAGTATCGCGAATATGGATGCGAGAGAGCCGTCGGTGCAGTGTGTGAATAGCTGGATGCATAGCGGGTTCCAGGCAACATTGATCGATTCTGGACAAAAGCAAGTACACTGATATCACTTGCTATCCGATTACGAACTATTCCAACCATTTTTCTCCTTTTCTGTCGCACCCAAGGAAAAACAAGAGGGACCAACATTCAAGGGTCATTTGGAAGAAATCGCATTTGCAACCTCGACACCATGGCCATTAGTGGGATATCTCCCGGCTAGACGTGGAGAATAAAGTACTCAAGGACTCCCCGCAAATGTATCCAAAGAATGCTCTCTTTCCATTAAGGAGAATGCTAAAGGATTATGCTGGTCAGCATTGATGATGAGAAAGTAGACAAATTTAAACATGCTTATTGCTGAGAGAAGCGGTGCGGTCGATTCCGGGATGGGTTTACAACCAATAAGCGAATTTGTCATAGGAAAGTAGCATTGATCATTCTACAGCTCGAAAATGATCGATATCCCTTATCAGAATGACTAATGCAAACACAAAGAGAGCCCTGGAATGGAGAATGTCCTCGCTACATAATGACATAGCGTACATGGCCAAGAGTCTACAACGTAAAGTTTCATGTAAAGCAAGGCTATTTCAGAATTCCCTCCATAATTTGCTCTAACAAGCTACTAACAGGATACTTGAAAGGACGACCTATGAATTGTGCACTAATGTCAGAAATCTTCGGGTTCACGCCCCAATAGTTCTCTAAGGAGGGGTGATACGTATGCTGCCTCGCCTCGACGGAAGGCTTCAAAGGTTGTGGTCCACAACTTGGAGTGATCGACTCCATGATAGATGAAATTCGGCTTGACCTGAGGCTGCGCAGCCAATCCATCTTCAGAAACCTGGTGAATCTTGACAGGTAGGTTGGCCACTTTGGCCAAGATGCCCACTGACTCCTTCAGAAACACCACCTGGCTGCTGGAGAACAAAACGGTCCTCTGAAGATACAGGAAGCCTTTCGGGTCGTTGACAAATCTTTTCAGTAGCTCAGTCACCGTGACCTCGCCCAGTTCTTCACGCTTGACCCAGGCATACTGGGCCGGGATCCATCGTGTGGAATCTTGATTTCACTAACCCGGTTTTTTTGGGGTCAAAGAATGCTGCATAAAGTGGGTAGGACTCGGTGTACAGGCCCTCTGGACCACCGAGTATCCAAAGCCTGGATTGTTCTGAGACAACTGCTCTAGATACTTCTCCGCATCCAGATGAGCTTGCATAACATGAGCCATAGACTTTTTGTTCTCTGGCTTGCCACCATAACCTAGGGAGCCGTAGAAGATATGCTTCACTCCGCTACGAATTGCAGCGTCAATGGCAAATCAATGACGCTTCACACGTCAAACGTTAGCACGGTTTTAAAAAGTCTAATATGTGATTGCTTCTAGATTTTACCTCTGATCTGTGTTCATGCTCAACTGAAGCATATGAGATCAGGAACAGAGTATCCACACCCTCAAAAGTATTTAAAAGGCTGTTGTCATCGTCAGTCTGCCCGCCGAACAGTCGCACCCGAAGACGACGCATCAGTCAATATCTAGGACGACGAGCGAAGAATGTAAAATCTTTTGAAGTCGAGGTAGGAGATTGACAGTGCTGCTTCCGATACCGCCAGAGGCAGGAAAACCGGCGACTTGACTGAAAGACATGCTGAATGTGCTCCTCGTTCGATAATGGATCGAAATTTGTGAAAGTATTGCGGAAACTAGGAGAGTATAGTCTGCTATTTATCCCTTCGAAGCAATTCGGTTTTTTAGACTGATTCGGTGTGATTTGCCATTGACTCGGCCACTTAGAAGGAACTTGACGCATCTTTGAATTGGTGCCCCACTCGGACTCGGCATCGCCTTGAAGATATCCGGTCCGTTAGTCATCCTAGTTGCACTCCGTAGATATGGATGGATTTGCACAATTTGTGATCCATCTCAGCCTCTTCCAGGGTTCCTTCTTTCCGGTGATGTCTCCTGCGGAAATCAAGTTAATCCTCAGATCTGGGTCCTCCCCTCAAATTAAGTAAGTTATGCAGAATACTTTTGAAATATCCCAAGTATCTCAGGCATTGATGATAACAGATGTAACTAGCCACTTCGAAAAGGGGCCTCAAACTGTCCATATGACCGACGATCGGGTTTTCAAAGGGGTATTTTCTTTTTACCTCTTTCCTGTGTCTGTGTAGGGTATCGTCACATGATATGGGTTCCCTGAAAACGGGCATGTTACTAATACAGACACCACCACCGGTGGACTCTGACATGTTCCGGTGGACCCAAGGGCACTCGCTCCCTTCGTGAAACCAAGCAAACAATTCCCTAGAGCCGCTAGTGAGCATTGTGATACGCGTATTTCAATCCAGAGCTGGGATATTTCTCCAAGATGCAGGGATCAGCATCCCCAGGTGCCACGCAGGCGCACCCCAAGCAACTGGGAACCCGCCGTCATGCGTGCGATCGATGCCGTAGACAGAAGTTGAAGGTAACAAAATTCTCAAACATCGCAGGCATTCACCTTCTAACAAGTTTATATCCAGTGTGATATTACTAAGCCATGCTCACCGTGCGTGCGCTCTGGCTTTGATTGCTTGACAACACCAGCACCATTACGGTAGGGGTTCTCCGGTTGTGAGACGTTGCAGGGGCTGAGATTCTAATTTGCCTATCTGCCATAGGAAGTCAAAACAACCACAGAAAATGAGGGCCGAAAGGCGCCGCAGTGCCAACCAACCGCGCTCTCATCTACCTGCCCCATCAACAAGCCCTCCGCTTTCTGAGAGACCCGAGCGACCCGTCAATAGCCCCCAGGTTTCTCACAGCCCGAGCAGTTACCGAGATGGCGACCCTGAATCTCGTCCCTGGCCGCATAGATATGCGCAAGTATCAGCAGTCGAGCTGACAGATGAGGTAATCTACAAAATCCTACGAAAGGCTTATTACGAACGTGAAGTTGAACCGATGAACAGCTTTTTCGAATGCATAACACGGCATCTATGGTATCACCGACAGAAACCAACAATACCTCCGCTCTCCCTGGGGGTGGATCTCGCCCTACTCGAGGTCCTGATGGCCAAGTAAATGAGAGAGGCACTCCTCTTACTTCCCACTTCAACGGATTGGTTCTTCCTTCCCGGCAAATATGTGACTTCCTGCTGCAATCATATTGGAAATCAGTGCACTGGTTTATGATGATTTTTCATCGATCGTCTTTGGAAAAGCAGTACGAGGATATTATAGGCAAACAAATAGTCACACCTCGACAAAATGGTGTGGCAGTGCTGCTTTTGATGGTACTTGCCCTAGGTGCAAGGTATACTTCGGAAGAACAGGGATCACAGATTGGCCTCACTGAGCAAGAAAGATCCCTATTGCAAGGTAATATGATGACCCAGGTTCGAGCGCACTTCTTTGAGATTCTGGACGCAGGAGGGTTAGAGTGTGTTCAATGTTGCATCTTGTTGAGCACATTTGACCTTTACAATGGCAACCCCAATATGGCGTTGCCCGTTCTTGGCGCAGGAATTGGCAGCGCGCAGGCGCAAGGCTTACACAAAGAGTCCCTGTGGGGCCCTGCACCGGAGGGTGTTCTTGAAGTCCGCAAGCGAACTTGGTGGGCGTTATATGTGCTCGACAGGTCTCTATTTCCTTGGCCCGGTGAAAGGGTATCTCCAATTGAAAACAATGCTTACGATCTACCAGGTTCGCATCAATAACTTATGGACGACCGTCATCTATAGTTGACGCTCATTGCTCAGTTAGCATGCCACGAGATATGGACGATACACAAGCCGTTCATCCGTTGTTGAACTCATTGGAGTACTCGGCTACAACTCACCCAGCACGCGTGACATTGGGCACATATCAGCGCTACAAATTTGAGCTGTACACCATTGCCTCTTCGATAATTGGCAGCATATATAACCTTGACTCCCCAAAATCAGGAGATGTGAGACACCAAGCTGCAGTTATCAACACCAAGCTGGTAGATTGGTTTGAAAGGCTCCCAGCGGAGCTGAAGCTGAAGAACAATTCTGAAGTGCACACGAACGACCTATCGAGTACCGAGCTTGATGTCTACCGACTTTTCGAGTTACAGGCTTTAGTACTCCAGTTAGCGTATGATAATGTTCAAATCATCCTGCATCGTCCTTTCCTGCGATACACTGGTCAGTTAATCATGGGGCCCAACCCTCGCAGCCCAGAGAATAGACCGACTAGTTTTGATCAATGCAAACATTGCGCTCGCCGCACGTGCGGCATCTTGCCACGATATGCACCAGTTCTCCTTGCCGCCAAAAATACTCACGCAGTAGCATACATTGCAATGCAAAATTTCACTGCTGGGGTGACTCTTGGTATGGTGGCATTGTCAGATCCAGGTTCTGCACAATCGCAAGATGCAAAGAAAGGGGTTGCAAATTCCATCTCGCTACAGAAAAGTCTTGCTCAGTCATCTATCGTTCCATCACAGACAGTAAAAGTTCTCGAAGGACTTTTCCATCTTATCTTTCAGCGAGAAATGCGAGCATTTCTAGACGGCCCGCCGTTTGATATGACCCCTGTGTACAGCCTCAACCCCGAAAGGGACTTGGCACCCAGCATCGCACAAGAGGGTCACGTCTCTGATGGAGTGGGCCGTCTGGAGAATGAGAGATTTAACTCGGCGCAGTTGTCTCAAGGTCGGGATAATACAGGTTATCCTCCGCAATATCCGAACGCTGGAGGTAGACTCCAAGTCGCCTCTGAAATCGAGACAACAACAGACCCGGACTTTGGTGCCTACCCGGCTTCTCTATTGCCTCTCTATGCTGGTGTCGATCAAGCGCTTGACTCGGTGCAACAGGGTATGTTATGTGTTCCATTTACCGCTTTAGCTGAACAAACTTCAGGAATTACAAACACCAGAAGTTGACTTAACTAACTGTCTATGATCTCAGTTCTTTGGGAGTGTTCGGATCCTATGACACATGTAGGCAACTATAGGCCGACGGATGACGGAATCTGGGGAGACCGAAGACCCTCAGCTGAAAATTTACAGCGTTCCAATAACGAGGCGCCTTTCACCTCGCAGATCCCGTCAGTCGACCCTTTTCCCGAGAGGTTAAATGATCTGAACTTATCACTCCCCGGCCAGAGCTGGGTGTGGAATTGGACCAATATGCCCTGACACGACTCCTGCACTCATGCCTTGTGCTCACCTTTTCCTAATAAGAATTAAACTACAACGAAGACCAGATTCGCAAGACGGTTTGAAAAACTTTACCTCGATGTAAACACCTTCATTTGTGATAATTGACACGAGATAAATGACGGGAATCATTCAACGAATAAACTGATCGGCGTAATTTGAACCAAGTCCAACCTTCTCATAATGTGCCTTTGCGCTAGCCAATTTGGAGAAAACATCTTCCACGCCAACAGGGTTGCCCTGGGGATCGACATATATATACGCGCCCGTCACGTGGAACAGTGTCACCATCTCCTCGACACCGCCTGGCACCTCAAGCGTGTGAATGTCACCGGGGGGCTCAAAAGCGTGACTTCCCTCCGTGGCCCACCAATCGTGTTCGAGGTAATGCCATTTACCCTTCAAAACTGTGGCGTGGACTGGACCAGAATGACGGTGGCGCGACAGAATGCCCGAGCGACGCACACGGAGCAGGTTCACAAAGTAACCTTGCGAGACATTGAAAAGAATAGGTCGGAACCAGACGTCTGGGGCCTGGGGCACCCAAAGCTTTTCCTCAAAGTCCATGTTTAGAATTCCGGGTACCACTAAGTCGTCCGGAACGTTGGGCAAAAGTTCGCCTTGGTAAGCAACGGCCTCGGCGGCAGGTCGCTGGTTGGCAGTAGCCCTGTTCTCAGTTGAGCCGTTGGTTGTAGCTGATCCCATGTTGTAGAGTTGATTTTCTTCACCAAGAGGAGGTTGAATTGCAACAGGATAATCTTCTGTAACTTGAATTTGACTGCATAGAATTCTGCTGCCCATCGAGCTTTTTAATGCTATGCTGTATGGTCATACTGAAGCACGGATCTGACCCGGAGGTGTGGGGAACTAACTAGTCCGGTGGAATATCAGACAGTTCCTCAGGAGGTGACCGGAGTCCGGTGGAGTTCAGCGGGAGTTCTAGTCAAAAAGTTTGTTTTACAAATTAAGTCTTTTCCCGTCTTTTTCTGCCGTCTACCTAGAAAACTTAAAAAGAGTGGGAATCTACAAAAATAGGCCTCGGAAAAGACTACCAACAAGGTAACGTAAAAAGACTTATAAAAAAACCTATAAAATAATATTTGAGAAGATTACCGTATAAGCTACTAAAAAAAACTTGCCAAGGCCGCATAAGTGGCCGGATTTCTTGTCTCATACTAAAAGAGAGGAATACGTTTCGTATCAAAATATATCCACAATTCCAAGAAACCTATGTAACAAAAACTGGAGCAGCAGGCTACTCAAATGTGCATTTTCTAGAGTTCCGCTGAAGCCAACGTAACTTTATCTTACTCGTTAACAACGGAACCGTCGATGAATCTCGTGTCGATAATATAACTATCCGTATTATAACACTGTACTACTAGCTCGGCTAGGATAAGGACTTCCTATCTATGGGCCCCTTATCCGCCGACCTAAACGAATTCTTCCCCTCGTCAACCTAGCTTCGCGAGTTCAACCTTACCGGCGAACGAAGCCTTAGCTGATCCGTAAGCTTATGGCCGAAGCTATTGTTTTACTAAAGAACGAAAAGCAAGTCTTACCCTGAAAGGCTCTTAAGAATATCACTGTCTTCAGTAATAACGCCGGTGAGAACACAAATAGGGCTATAAATAAGGCGACGTTCAAATTCGGCAACCTCGCTACTAGTGGTTGCTCGGAAGGTCTTATTAATAATGTCAGCCGATGCACCGTCACAGCCGTCGGTGGGATTGTAATAGTTTGTGTCGAAGTTATAGCGGTCAAAAATAGAGACATCTTCGTAGCCATTGCGGGCGAGCCACAGAGCGGTGCTTAATCCGAATACACCACCGCCCACGATGATAACACGAGATTCGGGTGTAGTCATTTTGCCGGGTTCTGAAGACTTTTGACTTTGAAGTTCAAGATTCACGACTAACTTATTGTAGGGGACAGGAATGAGGTGGCATTAGGGGTCTTTTATTTGTGCTCTTTAAACTTGATATGTAACGGAATCACCGCAACCGAAGGAGCTATATATACACGAGGGGCAGTTCCGTCACACACTCCAGAAAGGCAGATAACACTAAAGTTCACAGGTTGTGCGATTACATGCTTTCTAAGATAAGATACTTGATATGATCAAGAATTTGTACGATAGTATGTTTTATTGTGGAATTTGAGTGGCCATTATGCGGCATTTCCGTTCGGAGCAAAGCGAGAAGATCCCTTGATCTACAACGATTGAAAACCTGCACCAAGAGGGAGAAAGGAGTACGAAACTCGGTTGAGGAAACTAGGAAACGGTTTTCACTTCACGACTACTCTACTTTCGAGGGATATTGTGAACTGTTACTCTGTGAACCTTCTCTCATTTGTCAAAATAAAGAGCCTGGATGATGAATGGAGAGCGCACTAGGTAATCCGGGCGAGGATCTCTAATGATATGTGACAATGTTTTCGGGAGTGCGCTCTACGTGTACATGCAAGGTTACATAGTTCTGGTAGCCTGTTTATCACCTTGTGATGTGTCAGAATAAACGAATTACGGATACTATATCACGGCCGGACGAAAACTAGTCACAGTCCCGGCCATATGTTTTCAACATACATGCTATGTCTGAGATGCATTTAGTGTACAGTTAAGCTCCCATACAATGCAATTTATTGGTCAATATCTGTATAAACCCAACAGACTGTGAGAGAGTCGGATGTTTACATTTGATCCGCATCCTCAGCGTAAGGAATACAATACATAAATTTGAAATAGTTCAACCACGCAATTCCCGTATATGTGACGGGAATATATCTAGCACCTCGTCGGATCCACCAGATTGCACACTTAGCTGCCCAGACTGCAGGAAATACGGAAGTCCCCATGGATGACTGAAATGCGGATGGAACGATATGGCGGTAAATTATATCAGGGTCATCAAAAAAGGAACGAGCCTGCGGCAGGAACATTCGTTTCGACTGAGAGTAACGTTGTAGATGTATGTTTCCCCAGGCTGGATGAAGCTCAATCTCGCTGCCAACGTACCATACTTCCGGGAGCGTCGGGTAGGCGGAGTTGGCCGCTCTGTGCTTCTTGAATAATTTGACAAGTCGAATAGCTGAATTGCAATTCGATTCAACTGCGTCCTGGCCTTTAGAGCCGTGAGTCAGGATTAAAATGTCAGAGTTAGAAAGCACTGGGAGTGCTTTTTCAAAGTGATAGTGATCCCAATCAGTACCAAATTTCAACTTGCGAATGCAGCCTACCCCTTCCTCACGCTCGAGCTCTGTCACAATTGCTTGACCAAATGCTCCGCTTCCCCCGGTGATCGCAAAGCGCTTGCGTTTGAAGGAGTAGGCAGTGCCCCAAATCCAGTCGAAGGCTTTAATGAAGGAACCAATGTAACGATCCGGGTAGACATGATGGAGCGAGTGAAACTCTGGGCCCACAAATATCCAGTTGGGGTCCTTCGGGGGCGTTTCGTAGGTGACATGGTTTGAGTCGCGGCCACTTTTAAGGATCACAAAAGTGGTTCTCAGAATTTGGAAGCTAACCGTAGACCAAAGGTGATTCCTTGTGGTCCACAGGAGGCCCTTGGGCGTCACCAAACTGGCAAAGATATACCCCAGTGCAGTTCCAAGGATTTGAAGTACCAACTCAAGCGGTAAGGCTTGAAATCGATTCTGCTGAAGATACTTTTTGTCGAACTTCATGTGCCGTGTGAAATAGAGGTGGTGGAAACGGTGGACCCGTGATAGGTGTTGAAGAAAAGGATGAGATGATTTGTTGCATCGGTGGAGCATATGATGAATGACATCGAAAAACAGAGAACCTGTGCAAAGTAGGTAGAACAAAGATAGTAAAGGTGGAATAATATCATGTCTCAAGAGACTGAGGTAATGAACTACCAAGTCGGCAATCACATCAGTAGAGCGCACGTCGACTGAGTCGCTCATCTCTGAGGTGGGTTTAAATAAAAATATAAAGAAGGATTGAGGAGTGCTGGACAGTAATCCTCGGAGCGGTTTGAGCGATACAAAATTGTCCTTGGTGCCTTCAGAGTACCGCAAGGTCTCTCTTTATATGAGGATGCCCATTTGGCTCATTACAACATCTACTGATAATTTCAGTATTATCTCTATCTATAAATAACCGGCAAGATGGCGAATACCCATATGACTTGACACTATTCGCTATGTTTTAAACCAAGCCCAAACTGGTGTTTCAAGCAAACGAAATGGCACTTTGATCTATATACATTTAAACAGATGTACCCCACGTAGGTTGGAGAAATTTCGGAAAAATGTAAACTTGGTCCTCCAGTATTACGACGACAGTACTATCAAAGGCCACTACGAAAATGATATTCTTTTCCATGGCCGGAAACAAGTGGATGAAATGGAGATATGTCGGGAACAAATTCTGACATCAAATAAAAACACGCTCCTTTATGCAATCTCTTTATAGGATCGACACTGTCGGAAATAGGGCCAGGTCAACTTCGGACTCGTCTTCGAAGAAGACGTGCCGCTCAAGCGTCTGAGTTACTTACGAGCCCCAATGTTTTAGCAATTGTTTAAAGACAATCCGTTACTGATTAATGTCCTATCATTATCAAACTCACGGCATCTTATCCCCACATAGAATAAGATGGTAACCTTCTTGGTAAAGAGATTGACAAAGCTTGTCGTTCTGGTGGCCCTCTCTCTCGCGGTCTTCGTTACGCAGACGATTTTGCCCTCGCCAAGAGGTTGTCTGAGTCTATAAGGATAATTAATGGAGGCACTGCTGATGCCCGACAACCTCTCGATGACTTTCCCCATATACTCGACTCCGGAATACCTAACACTGTCCACTAACTATGGAAAACGGCCGAAATCAGGGGGCCTTCTACGAAATTAAACCGTCACATGAGTTAAGGAAGACCAAAGTGGGGGTTCGGGATCGTAAATGGCTAGTGGATGAACTTTATCACTCTGGATTGGCATTTCACAAGCCCTAACATTAGACTATCAAGTTCCAGACTGACGATGACGTCCTCAAACTCATTATGTCCGAATACGCCTACCTACTACCGACTTATATGGGATATCCCCACAATATCCAACGTGCCAACATTACCAGACTACTTAAAGTGACTGGACATAAGTAATTGCACCCCCTTTGGCCCCACCTAGCTAACCGCAGATATCGAAGACCAGACCATTGTATTGCATCCAAATAATCACAGGGCATGGTTTCAGAGTAGTCGAAGGTACATACATGTCGCAGTCGACATAATATCCGGAGGATTGACCTTGTAGGTCAAAGTATGTCTGGAGGGGGGACTGCCATGGTGTTGGAGCGGATACTAAAACGAAGAGAGATGTGAGTTTACTACTTGAATAACTAAATAGGTTTAGAATGAAACATTCACCATAGAGATGTTTCCGAGATAATCATGATCACCCACTTATTTAGTAATTAAGCTCAAGTAATTTAAGCTGATCAATTAACACATTTGTCCGGTGGAGAGAGGCTATTTTGCTTATGGCTAATAAGGGGGTGGGGGGTGGGGTTATATTAGTCATAACTAATTAGTAGTTAACTATTTGTGATATCCATGGATCATAAGAAAATGCTGATTCATTGGGTCTCCAGATTCGGCGAAATCATAGGCTTTTCTTACCATTGAAAGTCTCTGGAAGATTGGAATGGCGACACAATTTACTTATAGGGATTATTAATCTGTCCTTGAGCCTTCGGGCTTTGTGGTCGATGTCCCTCCCTTCTTAGTAGTCATTTTGATTTCTTATCTCTCCTCTCATCCCAGTGTACCTTGATTACTCCGCGTCACCATACTGATGAAACGCAAGGACGGACTTTATATCAAGTATCTGGCTGAAGTTCAATGCCCTTGAATTCATGTCTGTCTCACTTGTCAAAGACCATTCACGCTCTAGAACCCCAGAGGAGATATCACGTTTGATCTGGGAGATTCAAATCTTTCCGACAGATTAAGATGCAGAGCAGTATCTTGGTTCCGGATATTCAATGCAAAATGATCTGGGAATTCTTTAGAATATACAATTAGGATAGTAGCTCAAGTTGCGCAAAGAGTCATAGCCTCGATTCTTTGGTCTCGTTCAGCTGCGCCTGGCTCAGGTAAACAGCCTTTAGCTGTCAACGACTTCGTGGCTGCGGGGAGTAATTAATGAGACATATCTTTTGCAATACCTACATACAACCTCCATAGCCCCCACAATGACCGAGGCTGCCTATAGCCTGGCTGTCTTGGCAGATGTTGATCGTATATCAATACTAGATAGTGGATCATACCATCTCTGGTTCCTGCAGATCATTCCTGTTGTAGCCTTTGATAGGACTATCGTCGCAATACTAGAGGAATAACTGGCTGCCTATATCACAATTTTCCGAGAATTCTCCAAAATATTAGGGCCCACTTGTTCAAGATCAGGATGATAATTTGTCTCCTTGGAACACTAGGATATGCTGAGTCTGAGTTCAAGACACGGCTAATTGTATCAGATCATTGCAAGACCGCTAATAAATGATCCACACATCACGTAATTAAACCGTTCTTTTTCTGCTTTCATATTTAGGCCGGACGGTGGACATGTCTGTGGGGCTTCTATGCCATTGGATAGGGGCGAGCTGCCAAGCTCCGGCAAGTAGTATCGCGTAGCGCTTGTTTCCCGATGGAGGGCGCAGCACCGTCGCTGCGACAGAACAAGGCAGAGGTGACGACCAGGATAGGCGAAAGGAAGCGAGTTACGCAGGCTACGTACCAGAAGGGACACAAACGAAAGAGTAAATCATCGAATCGAGGACCACGAGGTTACCGGGCGAGGATAGACCTGGCCGGAGGATCCAAGGTCCGGACTCTCCACCCGCCAAGGGACCCTGGATGTGGTTAGTAAAAACGGTTATCAATCTGCTATTCGTGTTTGGAAGCGATTTATAAATAGTCCGTATGTGTCAAATGCCCCAGGCAGCCAAGTATGTCTTCAAACATAGTAAACCTCCCGTATGTGTGACATTTCCAGATTTGCTGGACGTAGCCTATTTCCCTGGCTCATGCTCGCTGGTACGAGTACAGCTGTAAGGCCAAGGCTGACTAACTATGTATTTATACTGAGGCCTTCCTTTAAGCCTTTTTTAGCTCTCAGCCTTTTATTTTATTTTATTTTTTCTGTGTTTGTTTTAACCCTCCAAATCTGGTAGACACGGAATATGGACTTCACCACGGAGGCCCCGGATACTATGCGAAATTATGACAGCGACATAGCAAGCGAAGAACGGTATGTAATAATACTTCTAAAGAAGAAGAGCGCATATCAATTCTTTCATTCTACTGAGAATTATGTCTAACCTGTCCCCAGTCCATCATGTCAGCCCGTGAACGCCAAAATCCAGGCCAAGTTCCAAATAGCCCTGCCGCCCCCAAAATCAAGTCAATTACTTCGATTCAGCCCCAAACTACTCCTTCAACTCCAACAACTACCTCCAAACCACCGACCAGTGCCTGTACTAGAGATATGGCAGCCACCACTTCGCAGGTCAAAATTAACAAAAGGTTTCCCGCAACGCCCAAAGCTCGGCACGAGGGATATCTACGCAACCCTCAATGAGCCATATATCACCAATAAGCAGCCAGATGGACAAGACCATCGCCAAGGGCAAGATACAAAGTCAAACGATATTCAAGAAAAGGATATCGTCGCTGCAATGTGCCAAGCGTCAAGCAGCGACAACCCCACCTCATCAATCCACTTCCGCGACACAAGATGCATCTGGCAAGTCTGCGCCAACTCAGCAGGACCTGGGAAAGACACTTGTTACAGATTCGTCCTTGAAAAAGAAAACACAACCGGCCCCGAGCAGTGCAGGATGATTATGCAGTGGGAAAAACGGGTACTCTCTGCAAATGGAAATGCGGCATCCGGTTCTCTAGGTAACGAAGAGTTCGCTCTTTTGACGGTTGACCGCAAGACTCGCCGAAAATCTCGCATTGCTACGATGACTCGGGGCGAGTTCGAAATTACTGTGAGGAAGAGCTCGATCTTGGATCGACTTCGGACTTGTATGGCATTGACGGAGCCCGTTTCTGAGGACACTACAGAATTGGAGACTTGGTTGTACACTCTTGTGTTAACTTTGGGTGTCTCAGTGGCTTCTCAAGAAGGGTGGTTGGGTTGATTGTTTTTAATCACTTGGGGGAAACATGCATGTACCTTGAACAGTGTCTAGATAACGCATCGAAATTGTCTATACCATGAAATTTTACTTGCGATACCTAGGAATGTGAATGCACTGGGCTACTGGTACTTATGTTGGATTCACTGACACCGACCTCTCCAATTTTATCAGAAGACATAACGTCAGTCCAACCCGCCCGCCAAAACCCCGGCCAAGACCCAAACGGGTACCCGTTACGACCCGCAAAAGCAAAAAAGGTTGACCTGTCGACTTGCATTTAATTATGCTGTATTTTTTAATGCCCTCGTGTATTGCTTGGTCTTGGGTCTATTATGCTTTGATTTGATGTTTGCAGATAATTTGCAAACTAAACGATATATTGATTTAGTTTTCGACTAATCCGACTCTAATACACCTTGTAACCCTGCAGTCTGCTAGACGGCACTGTCGCTCTGCGTGAAAATCTTTTCTGGAATCTATCATTAAATTGCATGAATGGAGGCGATAGCAATGGCTCTTTATCGTGGTATTCTTCGTGGCCCACCTCCTGCTCGTGGTCATTAACAGGAGATGATTTTGCCACCACAATACCAAACCGACCCCCTCCTCACCTGCAACGTCGTGATCTTCAATCACCTTATGAGCAATTTCTTCATCATCACTGATTGGATCGAAGTCTTCATGATTTGCTTTTTCAGCTTCATTTTCTTCAAGCGTATCTTGACTGCTTTCGATCGGCGATTTCTCTAGGTTTCTCAACTGCTGACTATCTAAGCTGAACTTTTCCGAGCACATATACATCATCAAGTCTAGGATAGTTGACTCATTGAGAGGCACTCGACGGTAATGGCAAATATCTCGCGCACTGTTGAGAAGTTGTTCTCCCCCTGCTCCTGTAACGGGGACAGATAGTAAATCACGAGCCAACCGTGAGAGCACAGGGTATGCATGTTTATGTTCTTTCTAGTAAGATCGCGGTGAGGGCTGAAAAATACCTATGCCGAGTCAGAGATCGAAAAGCACCAGCTCTCCTACGTGTTCTTACCTTTTCTTATATATTGCTCCACCTCATCCAACAAATCTCTCCGAGAATCTGGGCTTCTTTTGTCTCCATATTTGCATCTACAAAGAAGCTTGACCTGTCACGAAGATCCCCATTGGGTTGTTGAGGAGGCGAGATTGGCAAACTATGCAGACAGTGGGGTGGTATAGACTCCGAGTCCGGTGGACTCGGACCTGAAAAGTTGAAACCATTTAGAAAGCCATCTTCCTCGGCGACTTCTGCTGGCGGCCCAGGCAGTCGGTGAGACATGTTACCGTTCAATGGTCACACCGGCCACATTCATAACAAAAATTTGGTCGCCGTTGAGCGATGGCTCACATTACCGGTCGAGTCGAAACGGTATGAGGCTCTCTCCGGAAGTACGTCGATCTAAGCGGCCTTGCAATGGTCCGATACTGTTCGCCATGTCTTAAACTCAGCCTATCCTGAAACAGACAAACTATCATCCTGATATTGAACAAGTGGGCCCTAATAGTTTGGCGAATTTTCGGAAAATTGCGAAGGCGGCCCGTTATTGCTCTCGTATTGCGATGATAGTCCTATCAAAGGCCACAACAGGAATGATCTGTAGGGACCAGAGATGGTATGACCCACTATCTAGTATTGATGCGATCAACATCTGCCAAGACAGCCAGGCTATGTGGGCTGGTAAGGTATGAGGCCGGTAGGACGGGTAGATGGAGATATTTCGGTGCCAAATTCGAACACAAAGTAAAACAAGGCTTCTGCGCAGCCTCCTGATAGGATCAACACCATCAGAAACCGGGCCTGGTGGCCTGGTCTACAAACCCAATGCTCCGCTTAAGGTGTCTGGGTTAAACCTCGGTCAAATCCTTCAGAAGTACTTCAAAAATTGATCCGTAATTTCTAAAGGAGCTGTCATCGTTGGAGGTGCAGAGGTCTCATTTCCACAATAAACTACGATGCTAGGCTTCTCGAGAAATCGAATGAGCAAGCTCCTCCTTGCGGCGGCTTTCTCTCTTGTCGTCTTCGTTATTCAACAGCTCAGCTACGCCGAAAATTTTGCCCTCGCCGGGCAGTTGTCTGAGTCTATAAAGGTAGTCAACAGATGCACTCCTAATGCCCTCGAGCCTCTCAATACCTTCCACCCTATAATCGACTCCGAAATACCCAACATTGTCCACCAACTATGGAAAACAACCAATCTCCAAGAATATCCTACAAAAATGAAAGCATCCCATGAGTCATGGAAGACCATATTCGAGCCCCAAAATTACACCGTCAAGCTCTGGACTGACGACGACGTCCTCAAACTCATCAAGGCCAAATATGCCTGGCTACTGCCGACATATATGGGATATCCTTACAATATCCAACGAGCCGATATCGCTAGACTGCTTATAGTCTATACTGAAGGCGGTATCTACGCAGACCTAGACGTTTTTCCTAGGTCAGCCGAGCGGATACAATGCCTCCAACACCTCGGCTTGCAAGCCATATTCTCCCCCACAGCAGGGACACTCGGCCTAAGTAACCACTTCTTTATGGCCGAGCGTGGTTCTCCAATCCTACAGTGGGTGCTCTACGAAGTCAAGCGGCGGGGGCTAGTGTCGCGACGGATAGTTTTGCCGTACCTACAGGTCTTTTGGTCTACGGGGCCGATGATGTTGACGGCGGCGTTCAGAGAATACGCTTGGATATACGGCACGCTACGTGACAATATAGGGCTGATGGACGAACGGTATGGCGGCGCAGTGATAGGACATGCTGCTGGGCGGTCTTGGCATGGGGCGGACGGGCAGGCGTTGAATTATATTGCGGATCATGCGCAGACTAGGATACTATTAAGTGGTGTTGCATGGGTAATTCCAATGTTGGGGGTTATCTATTTTGTTAGGAGATACTATGGCAGAATCGCTACTAGATGAGCTTCGGACTCGTAGGACCCTCCTGAACGCTGAACTTTATCCAATGCATTGTCAATGGCATGTAAGCGAGCTACCTGCTTATCCTGGCGATGAGAGAAAGCAGATGAAGAGAGACGCGCACAGCTTCCACAAGCTACGCCGAATCCAATTAGTGATAACGAGGAAGAAGACGAAGGTGAGGCCGAGGAATTGAATCAACTCCAGCCTCCTATCTGCCAGCGTTCTCTTGGTAACGACCACTTCGGGATATAGTGTAGGAGCTAGTTGCTGACGATTATAACGATGACAACAATCTTCCACTATTAGACGAGAGCAACACTCAGAGGCGGATGGCAACAAGGAACCGTGGCCAGAAGCGCCCAAGACTCGAAGATGATGGTGAATATTGGCTCATGGTTTTCAAGGTCCCATCATATGCCCGGAGCCTTCAACCATGTCGAAAAGGTTGTTAGTAAATGCATCAAGCGTGTATCCAGCCAAATATGATTGATCATAGGCAGAAATAGACACACAAACGTGACAGCTCGTGTGCCCCGGCAAAGACCTGTTAGTAAAGCTCTAATCTTGAGCACTGAATAAACTAAGAACCTAGTAGTGCTATATTTGTTATAGGCCCTAAAACGGCGGCTAAGTCCTAACTATTGTCACCGTATAAAACCAATGATTACTAGTTATGAGTAGGCTGCGGCAGTGTCGCAAATGTCGTTGGATACCCCCCCAAAGCCCCCCCTAAGCCCCAAAATTCCCCAAAACAGCAAACGCCCCGTTTGACGGATACCCCAAAAAAAATAAAATATAGAAAATAAAATAAAATCAGTTCTCTTCCTCTTCTCCTCTCGAGACATGTGTCCATCATGTTAGGGAGCTTATTCGGTTGGGTCTCGCTCCTTTTTGAGCCACTGGCCTTTCAAGTTCCTCTGATCGAACCTCAACCCAGACTCAAGTCAGAAAATGGTATAGCTATTCCCGTACAGGGCCCCTGGCAAGATATCATCACCGGTCACTATGCGGTCCCTCCCGTATTGAAAATTCATGACCGGAATAGTGTGGTCAAATGGAGTTGGCAACGAGAAGATGTCACTCAACCTCTGCCTCCTTTGATTCGGAGCGGTTTATATAGCGGTTATAACGATGCGACCGATATGAAGTGGATGCGAGGCGGTAGAAGCGTGGCTGCCGTCTACAGTGCTCTCGTCGTTGTTATCAACCACACCCCCGATCGACCCTCCACCGATAAGAAAATCACCTTCGCCCTCAATCGAGCCAATGATGTCCTACATAATGCCCATACTATCGAACCTTTACCCGGTGATCGACTCGCCGTCGGAACTACCGGACAGCGACCTTGGGATGGCATTTTGGTCTACAACATGAGCGAGGCTCTCCCCATCGTGGATAAACCTCCCGTCTTACAAAAGATCGAAGGTCTCCGGGCCATCCACGCCCTGATCTGGGATGAACAGGGTCAGATGTTGTGGGCCACCGGTACCGATGCTGCTGCCGATGGTTCCGATCCCATTCCGGCTTACGGTGTCATTCAGGGATACCCCTTCGATGCCGAGACGGGCCTGCTCAGCATCGATGAAGCCTATCGATTCCGATTCCCCGAGTATTACGATATCGACACCGAATGGGGGTGTGGATATAGCTGGTGGGCGGGTCCCCATGATCTCGTCCCCGTCCCTAACGAACGAGTCTTACTCGTCTCCAACGATATCGGTCTCCACGCCTTCGATATCGATGAAATGAATTTCACCGCCGAATACGATGAAGTCGTGGAGAAATATATGCCCGGCTTCGAGGTCACCACCAACGATCGGCACGGGATCAACCGCCAGGGAGAATACGTGGAGTTGCCGCAGTCGGACCTCAAGGGCTTCAGTCTCGCCCCCGATGGAAGCTTCCTCTACACCCAGTCTCTATGGCGACTCTTCCGTGGGAACTATACCAGTCTTGTGGTCGACGGTGTGCGTCACCAGATCATGAAAGGGAATGAAATCTATCGGTCGCGATGGTTCGGAGACATCGATGGCTGGCCCAAACCAAAGACATAGAGTGATTTTGGAAGTTCAGTTGTACAGCACGCCCTCGTGGGCTCCAATATACTCAAACCTTGAGATATAATGAACGTCCAAGCTATGGCACCGTTTCGCCTTGTGTCTTGACCTGCAAGATCCGATCTCACCCCAGCCTTGATTTCTCATAATGCTAATTTCGCTTTTTTTCCTCGTTAGAATAGAGTTTGCTGACCCCGGGAGAGGCGTCTGGTTACAGTCAGTGGACATAAATAATTACTCCCCCTATGGCCCCACCAGCTCACCGCCACCATAGATTTATTACCGCCTACCTAAAACGCGTAGTATAGTACCACACTGAGATAGTACGTGACGCAAGTCTAGGATGGAGCAACTCTCTAAGACGATGCCGCAACGGGTGGAAGCTATTATTGAGAGGCAGGGGTGGTATAGTGGTATACACCATACTAGATTTCATAGTATGAGTTTATGGGAGGTTTTTGACAGGCAGTATATTATATAATCAGGGGGTGTGGGGCCAAGGGGAGTAATTATTTATGTCCACTGACTGTACTTTGTCGAGGATAGTGGAGCAGTTACTTACAGCTGCCTCCTATTGGTTTCCTCAGTACCCCACCTTTCTCTCTCTTTTGTATGTAATTACCGGGTCCCGAGACAACACTTACAAGTCACTCTCGAGTATCCCATGGGTCTTCCAAGACATGGAAGAATGGGTTCCATCCACATATCAACTGTGAACCAATTCTGCAGATGTGTATTTAACATACCTCTGCCTGCCATTCATTTATCTACAATCAATCAATTCATCCCGTTTTGGTTGGTTCCGCCTGATCCCCATTCGCCAGAGTGCATACTAGTAGATACGATTTTACATCGCTCTGTCATACTTTTTCTTCGTGCGACAATATGTAAATACCCTTCCCAGTGAGGCAAATGAGGATCAAAGCTTACCTCTCGGACAGTTGTGCAGGCTTTGCGATAGCCGTTGTAATAGGGTCTGCTGTTGTCTGAATATTAAGCTCCTTCTCATTATGTGTCAGGTAATCTTCGCAGCTTCAAAGAGAACCCGGAACACCACCACGCTGCACATAGGTACTCACCACCACTTCACGAGGAAGAGCACAGAAGAGCCTAGACCCGCAGTGGCAGCGTCAAGGGGCGGTCCGGTAGTGTTGACTACTGTATTCATAACCGTTTCTCTGCCTCTTTTCAATATGACCATGACCTTGAGCTTGTCCAGCGGAGCCGCGCACGGATCAGACGAATCAATGACATAGCTCGCTGTGATGGGCATGAAGGGCGAGACTTGTAGATCCTTGTCGAATTTTCCTTGAAAACAGTAGCGGCCATTGCCGGGCGCTTCCGTTCGGCAATTTCGCGTGAGCCACAGCCTGCGCTCGCCATACGATGTCTGAAGCTGAACAACCATTGCAGTGAGCTCCTTTCTGTTGTTGTACAGGTACCGGAATGAAAGCGGATTATTCAATTGCCATGTAACACACTCACCCTTCTCACCCTTGGCCGCGCAAAGCGGCGAACGATTGTTTCCCCACCAGGCTAGACCAAATCATTGGCCAGCATGGCTATTCGGCGTGTGGCTTATATGCGGTCAATAGTTCGGTAGGTGTCGCCCGGGTGAGAAGGGTGAGTGCGCTATAGACAGGGTGATGATCGGGGTGAGAATTACCCAAGTTGTGCGACTACTGCATTGACCCCTTCAGCTGAACAACGGCAGAATATCATCGGATTGTACCGTTTCCCCTAAAACGCTCGACATCTTGGCATCTGCACATAACTACAAATGGAAGCATCATACCACCAAATTACTTCAGTGTCTTCAATCTCACGGTCTACATCGTGTTGCCGTAGAATTTGAGCTTCGATGGAATCTGGATCGCGGGATTTGGGCCCAGAAGATCCGCCAAATGGGGTCTCATCAGCAACTAGCTCCAAGAGTGCGGATCCTGGGACAAAGAATCCAGACTCCCTCATACGGAATTCGACCAAAATGGCATAGTTTGTGTGGTAACTACTTCGGCACCTGGAGCATGTTGATAAAGATATACCTGAAAAACATACATGAAGTCGCCGGGCAAAAGCGGAGCTTCCACCAGGACAAGAAACTTTGCAAAAGAGTGCAAGGTTTGTCCTCTAGGTAAAGTGGGCTTGCTACCGGCGAAGAGCTTCAAGACCACTTAGTGAAGTCTCATCACTTCTGCCCAGAGTGCAATATCTATTATGATTCTGTTGAGCAACTGCAAGAACATGACATTACCCAGCACCACCTTTGCGTCAAATGTGGTGACTGCTTTACGCACAAGAACAATTTGCAAATGGTAGTACCCCGGCTAGAGTTGAATAGTTTATTATGTCTATTGCTAACAGTACCGTTTCTTCAGCATTAACAGAAACATCAACCTCGAAAGCTGGAATGCTACGGTTGTTACCAAAACTTTAAATCATTTTCTGGAATATTAATCCATCTGGAGTCTGAAAATTGCGCGTCGGATACTACCGAGGAGGACATTGATGATATAGCCCACAATTGTTACCAGAGCCGGAAGTATATAAATGATGATCTCGAGCACGGAGGGTGGCTCTACAGATGCCCCAGCTGCGAAATGAAGTTCTCGAAGCTTTCTGCACTTTACCAACATGCAGAGGGTGTCCCACCATGCTCTTCTCCTCTTAATGGACACGGTTGTCTGGCTAAGCTGGAACGATTTGTTGCTCGCAGATTATAGTAGCTTTACGCCTTCCCTCCAATATTCTGAACGATATAATATCGTCACCAATCTGACATGCCCCGCTTCATCGTCATCTCATGAGACTTTCGTACATGCAAAAAGCACAGATTATTCCCTCAATTTTCAGACAGCTTCACTGCCTTCGTGGAAGGACAGGGTGCTTGCCAGGCTGTCTCAAAGGAGGAGCAAAATGATGAGGCAGCTATCCAGAAACCTTGCCCATGAAAAACGGCAAGGTAAGCTGTGAGTCCCCGCAGAAACCAGATTCGCCGACAAACCGTTCTTTACGCAGTCCTACCACCGAGGTCCTTCAATCCACGGGTACTGGTCAAGGTCATTCGAGTGGGGACATGGCTGCGGAAGCCTAAAGCCTAGCACCGCAGTGCGACCGCAGTCCGCAAAACAGTGGCATGGGTTCTGCCTTGCAAGCATTTCCGCAGCCACAATAAGCCGTTGAGCACCCAGTACTAGAAAGCGGAAATAAAAAGCTGGGGCGACATGCCCATCTCTCATTGTCAAATTGGGTATGAGGCAGTTGTTCTAAAACGTATAATCACCCTAATTAGTAGTTTCTTGTAATCAGATACCTCTTATCTGGCTTTCTCTCTCGACGGGATTGGAAACTTCTTACCGAGACGATTACCTGCGCTTCCTGTATAAACTCCAGTAGTTCAGCAACAGCTACATAGACTAGTCCAGGCGCAGTGCAGAGGCATGCCACGTCAGACTCACAAAACCCAGCAGGTCCCCGGGCAACAACCTCGCGGGATTCTTTCATACCCTGGTATTCGTCAATGTTATTATTCGCGATCATCCGAAATCACCGGAAATCCTCGGCCTTTGTCGGCCTAGCGCTCAGCATAGCATGTCTCTATTACCTGTTACGTCTTGCAACTCTCCCCAGCGAGAAGCACACCTTCCATGTCACCCTCGTCTCAGTAAGTGGCCTCGGCTTTGATCAAGGACGTATCGCGTATCGCTTATCTGACCTTTGCAGACATCCAGTTTGATAGTCACCGACGTGCCTTAGTGAAACCAGGATCAGATCAATACCATCCGAACTAAGTTAGTTGTCAGCAAGGGGAAAAGGTAATGTTTGGTTTGCCCGGATCCCGTATCGGTACATTTCAAGAAGTAGTATAACTACGCCGTAGGATGGGGGAACGAGGCATTCGACACATTTTATCCCTGTCAGACCATTCTTGCGCAGTGGGCCTAGAATGGATCGGCAAGGGTGAGAGTGAAGGGGTCAGGGCTGGTGGGCTATCACCGGATATATAAGCCTTAGGTCACCAGTTTGATAACGACGTCTTTCGCCCGCGCTCACGTCACCACCGAGCTTGGTTTAAAACCGCTGCTCACCAGGATCTGTCTGTACACTCAACTGGGAAGAGATGGCGCCAGTGAAGATAAAGAGACGACATTTAAGCAGTCACGAGGGGTGCACCAGGTGCCAACCCAGGGGACTTTTCGCCCCTGAAGGACTGGGTTCAAATGTGTGCCACAGCAGGGAAACCTCAGGCGGTAGTGAGGGCTCTTCTAACCTATTTGACCACCGTTGAGAGAGTAACATCATCTGTGGTGGCGAAAAATTCCATTGTGATATGTCCTCACGGAAAACTGGGTATGTGGGCAGAGGAGATGACTCTGGAATGCCGGGGGAGTGCGAATCCGGTCGATTGGGCTTGGTCAAAGAACGTGCCCGTCGTATACGATATGTTAAAATGCTTCAATGTGCACACCGCTCACCAGATCGCCTTGGAAAAGGAAGACAGTCTTGTCTACAAAGGTCTATTGCGAATGTTCAAAAATGAGGATTTTAAACGCCTTTAGGATGCAAAACATGTCGTGGAGCTGATGCGGAGCGATCGTCGCACAGTCGAGTCGGTGGTATCAACAATTGAACTGATCGATTGGACATCCAATTAGACGCCAGTTGCCTTAAGGTACAACACTTCAGTTGAGTACTCTCCATAAGACCCGCTGACCAACGGATGCAGTAGTCTAAAGCTCATCAATAGTATCCTCAAGATCGACTCCTAGTAAACCTGTGCCGTCTGGAAAGGTTGGTGTGATGGGGCTATTGGGGCGGAGTGTTTGGCTTTGCTCGATCCTGTATTATGATCTGGCAGGATCAAAAGAATTATAAAATGGAGCGGAAGCAAATCTTCAGGTTTTGGGACCAGGTAGATAGAGTTCTAGCCAAACGGAGAAGTAAGCGGTACAGTATTCAAAGCCATAAGCGCAGATTGGACTATTGTTTAAAGAAGATACCCATCCTACTTGGCCTAAGAGTGCATGGCATTCGAATTTTATACACTAAGTGTGCCCCTCGACAATACTGATGTCTGCAAAGTCCAAGGAACCAATGCTCCTTTCTCCTAGCCTTGCCCTCACAGCACAGGTGCTGAGGGAGAGGGGAAGAGCTCCATTCAGCTCAACACTGGGCCATGAGTCTGATAATCTAAACAGCTACCAATTAAAACGGTCTTCTGGGTAACCAATCATAATCCGCTGCGGCCGAAGGAGGCTCTGGCCCTATTATAGATTCCTCAGCGCTGAAGACAAAATTATGACCACTTCGACCACTAGGGTCTAAATGCCGTAGTCGTGGGTTTACCGCTGCGGCATCGCAGGAGCCGCAGCCATAGTTACCTAGAGCCATTCACTATTCAGGTTTAAGAAAAGTATAAGGAAATTACTTGTTGAGACGGACGTATAAGAAGTACATATGTAAAGAGATAACGCTATGCGTGTCAGTCTTCTCACTCGACCTTTTTCACCAGAGCAAGCTCTTTGAACAGCAGACATACCTTTCTCCAGTCGAAGTACCATCCTCAACTCCCAGCGATTTTCCAGGTCCATTATTGCTTGCAAAAATGGTGCTTGATTATGATGTGTAAGGTCCTAACATCGTCCAGCGGGACAGGTGGCCCTTACAATTAACACATCCCCAGGATCATACAATCTGGGATTGTCGACTTCGTCATCGGTAAAAGCCGAAGACGGCTCTCAGTACATGCAGCATTAGCCGGTTCTGTTCCAAAGGAGATATTTCAGCCTCCCATAAATGGGCAAGTCGATGAAATCGTCTTTGGTCGTTGCTGTGAGTTCGTATATTCTGGTGATTACTCCGTTCCGTTGCCGACTTCCAATCCGTGCGGGGACGATGGCGACCAACCCAGCGACAGCCAGGCGCTGTCTCGGGGACCTGCCAGACGATGGGATCCTTTAAACCACCGAGAAAATATTTTCCATCCCACGAAACTACCCGATATATGTGCTTTCATCAAGGAGAAGCTTGACAAGGCGCCCTTGGATGAAGATGGAGAAGTCCCGACCGATCTAGCAGATAATTATACGGGAGTCTTTCTAAGCCATGCTAAAGTTTATCGTTTCGCCTATATAACGGACTGGGTTTCTGTAACGGATAAAGATCCTTACAAAGAGAATACCATGTCAGGCAGTCTTGGCAGATCGACCCCACGTCGTGGCCGATCCGAGAGAAATTCATCACATGACATACATGTCGACATTGGAGAGATAGATCCCTTATAGTCTGGGACCCCCCAGGGCCCCTCAAAGAGACTGGCAAGAATTAGTCTTGGCACTCCAGACAATATATTGTGCTCTCCTCCAAGCCATAGTATCTTACCCAGTTGACAGGCCATACACCTGGAAACAGTATACCTTTACACCTCCAAGCTATAGTATCTTACCCGGTTGACAGGCTATGCACCGAGAAATAGTATATCCTTACAGGTTCTAGGAAAAAAGATAGGTCCTAACTGTTATGGACATGCTAGTTGCCAATCGATGGCAACCCCACAGGTTGCACGGACGGGCCGTCGAGAGCCAATCGACCTGCCTGCCCACACCGCCTGCCTAGTGTTACGCGCTGCAAACTGGTCACAGTTAGTGTTGGAGGATTCTGGGTTATACTTGCCTGAATCCTCAATCCTCCAACGTCAACGATCTGTCTCTCAACCGTACTGTTGCCAACAGGCCTTACTGCAGACTGGGTCCTTTTGAGGGTATCGAGGAACGATGCCAGGTAGAGCGCTCAACTGATCCATACCGACGTATTGGTCAAATGATGAGTGTTGTCAAACACGGGCATAGGGTTCGTGCAACAGAAGTCTTCGGTTGTTGGAAACTATCTTCAACTTCTGCATCCACCTCGCTATTAGGATCATATAAGAAGTAATAAAGCGTGCTAGGATCATCATGTGGAACACGGAGGAGGACACGGGCAATCCCGTTAGTCACGTAGGAGTACTCGAGCCCTTCCTGAATCATCACATGGTACTCCTGGACAATAGCGGAGCAGACGAGGCGCTCTGTATTGTACCTCAACTTCGCTTCCTTGTTCGTAGGTATTTTATTCGATTTGACCATATCCTTCCATAAGTCCATTGGTCGAAGCCCTGTCCGAAGGGTTGCGACGGGAAGCTTATGAGGCGGCTTATACTCGACAGTCGTGAGGAGACTGGTAGTGTTGCCGTCGACACGATGGATACAGAACTGGTCAGGTCTTGGGTGGGGTACACTTAACGGTTGGCTGGCATCCGCCTCAATAATATCGTTGTCATTCAGGGAATTCGTATAGTTACTGAACTGGATGCCATCCCTAAGGCCGAACTCGTCGCGAGCAGCGGGTAGTTTACACAACTCGGGAACTATATCGTGGACATGTTCTTCCACGGCGAATCGCTTATAGGCTTCGAGTTCTTGCTCACAGCTTATAGGCTTACGACAAAGTCGTCGGCCTAATCCTTCTAACTCATATAAGGATGAGAACAAACGTGGCGTCCCCCCGGGTGTCAACTGAAGGTAGCTGTAGACGGACCTATAGAGCTCCGATAGTTGTGCTAGGCAGTCGGTCCAGTGTTCCGACCGTGCTAGGCAGTATTTCCCGGTGGGAAGGGGTATTTTCCCTATGGTCGAGCGAGATGGTGTGTCGGCTCTCAACGGTCGAGAGAGCAGGTTGTGGGAATGGCATAAGAACTCCACGAAATTGGTCGTTCGGGTGCGCTCTTCAGCTTGTTCCCGTCTCTCTTTCTCCTATCTGCCCTCATCTTCGGCCTGCTTCCGTCTCTCCTCTTCCTGCTTCTGTCGCTCCTCCGCCCGTTTCTGTTGCTCCTCTGCCCGCTCACGCTGCCTTTTTTCTTGCTCGTACCTTTCCTCTAACTATTTTAAACGCAACTCGTAATCCAGAGAACTGTTGTCGGCCATCGAGGGAAGGAAGAGGAGGTGTTGACACCACGATGTCGGCAAGCGCTCAAATCTGCGGGCTATCAGGTGCTCCCTTCGCTTAGAAGAAGTATTATCCGAAGCAAGTGTTATATAATCCTGATTCAGGACTCGCCCCTTAGCTCAAAGTCATTTGATGCCTCAGACATCAAATATACCTTGAATTTTCGGTTGGTTTCAGGCTCATTGTCTCCGACACATGCGCCGACTCGATTGTATCTAGATTTGTCTCGTCAGTACATATATGAATTCGGCCGCCCTTCCAATCTTCAACAAGTACAGTCACCGTAGCCAGATCGTGATCTCAATTGTATCACTCGCGGACCCGCATTCTGTCCTCCTATAAAAGCCGTTTACTTCGAAGAATAACTATGTTATGTGATCTCGCTATTAGGAAGGTGTATAACAAGGCTAGTAATCAGCGAATTTCTTCTGAAATAGAGAGAATAGGTTTACCTCTTCGTTGTCCGTCTGTTTTGCGAAACACGCTTCCGTATGCTCTAGGCTTTAGGGGTTAGACCTCATGCAGTCATTCCAAGGGAGCTCATGGAAAAGTAAAAAGACGTACCTGATCTATATGGGTAGTTACATGTAAGTCCCATGTAAGGAATAGGATCTTGTGCACGAGGCAAACTGAAGTGCCTTCGCTCACAGGGCCTGCAACGATCATTACCTAGAAAATGCCAGGAGAGCCGACGTCTACGTCGGACGAGGTATTTATAGGTGCAAAGCTTGCTTGATCCTGGTAGTCTCTGGCAGTATCATCAGTTTTGAGCAGGCGATGGAAAAGTGGACGAGTAGAATGGAGCACCCCCGCAGAAAAACATCAAGGAGGCCGAGGGCTTTCCCACGATCCGTCAACCTCGAAAAACTGAGCTAACTACCTTCTCATCGTATGCCTTAGGATTTCCCCGATACTGACAGTCTCGTCCCACCGTTGACTACCGTTCACTAATGCTTAATTAGAACCATAGAATGTATGCCTCATCTTTTGAGAGGCCGACTCCAATGCTGTGCTTCGCCGAGCTGGGTAGATATGCTCTCCCCCAGAGCAGTCTTGTGGGACTGGCAGTCATGGTAGACCGCGCAGTCGCATGTTCAATATTGAGGCCCTTGCATTTTTGAGGGCATATGGTCTATTTTGATTGGCAGTCCCGGATCTCCACCGAGCCCCACTGGTAATCACAGTAAGGTTGCGCGACGTGGCTCAATCCGTACGCTGGTTCCAACCCGTTTCGTAGATGGGCTGGGCAGGAAAGTGAAAGCGTTGATCACATGCTGAAGCCATGTTCCAGCCCTAGTGAACCACAGAGAGAAGGGTAAGTTCAAGTTCTCCGGTCTCGCCCGAGGGCTCGGAATGGAGCGGAAGTGGTCCTTGCAACCAGGCTGAAGTAATTTGGGGCCAGAGACCTGGGGGGTTCGATAGTATTAGGAAAGCACGGACTTTTGATCTAGGTGGAGAAGGTGATGTTGTTTAACCAATCCTATTCAATCATCTCAACTTTTCTATAGAGAGGACAGCGTCTAAACGACCTTCTTACCACTCTCATCACCACTTTCAACGGCCTCACATTAAAACATTTAAACACTTGAATTTTAATTGTTACAGTATCACCACCTCCGTTTTTCCACTAGCCTTTGTTGAACTTTGAATTAGGCAGGCCTTTATGTCTCCTGGACCAGTTCATTTAAATCTGATCAAGAGATGTCATCAGTCGATTGAGAATCAACGGTACGCCGGGACAGCGGTCCCTCAACTACCTCGGCCCTCACAAACAAATGGGGCAGGGTGTGGTGTGAAGCGAAGCTGCACTAAGTTGCAACTAGAATATGAGCACCTGTGAAATCGACGCTGAAAATGACCGCTACTGAGGCCATAAACGGCCGCATTTCCACCTGTAATTTTCCCTCGGCCCGTGCTGCAGGAAGACTGGGATATTCCAATTCCGGAATACGTCTTTCCCGAGCGAGCGCAACTTGGGGAGGATTTCTATAGCCCTAAAGCGGAGTGCTTTGATGCGGATAAGCTACTTGCACGACGTATCCAGGTTACCAAGGACATGGTTGCGCTCTCGAAGATGTGTGAACCAAGCCGGCGAGGCAACCTATCAACTGGGCTATAAGTGATGCGCTGAGGCCGATGAACTTGAACGTGAAGAGTTGGAAGAATCACCACCTTCTGGAGAGGAAGCCCTGGATTGCCCAACGGATGTTTGCATTGTCTGTTGCGGCTTGTCGCGTCGTTCGGCATCTAATCCGCCTCCACATAAATTCCCTGCCAGGCGGAAAGATTCACTCCGTTGCCAACTTATTGATGTTCATCTCACTCGTGCGCACGAGGGGATTAGCTGCACCTAGGCGGCCTGCTGCAATGTCCCTAAATCCACAGAGGCTACTGGATTCTTGGCGCATTCCATTAACGTGTACTCATATGATGTCCAAATCAAATTTAAAAAAATCCCCCAAAGAGACCTCTGCTAACTTGCAGCGATACTTCCTCAATCGACAGCACAGACGCTTCTCTGGAATCCTGTGGGCGTTCAGGCACGGCCACTCCCGCTTCGTCTGTCGGCCCTGCGACAGCAAATGTCGACCCGCGACTGCTGGAACCCGACAAAGCTACCGTTACAGAGCCACCGCCTCGTCGCTCAAAGAGGTTGCGAATTCAATGATAGCATGCGAGGATGCCTAGTATGCAGACGTTGCAACCTGAGTACAATGTTCCGCTGAAGCCTGGCTTTACGTATTTCTTCTATGCTGAGTATATTCAATAGCGCCTACCCTTGTATATAGCTGGTCTCGTACCTGCCGAATGCACCTGATATGCTTTGAGTTAGTCCCTACTTAGCAGTGTAAGCATCCGTCGCATGATCCACAAGCCTGGTCTATACCCTTAATCTGAGAACCATCAACCATGAGTCCATGCACAGTAAAGAAGGAAATAGCTAAGATTCACATGGCTGTGTGTGGATTCAGTGCATGTCCCGGAGTGTCAATTAGTCAATTTCTCCTTGTCATAACTAGGGCGTAGAAACATGCTACACGAGAACAGCAACTCACAATATGATTGACATAGAAGAAAGAAAAAAGAAGAACACGGTAGTCCTTGGACATAGGATCACACGTCAAGTCTGGTTGTGCTGTATCTACCATTTCCTCTTCAGACCCATAAAATCCTTATCCTGGGTCACAGCATCGCCCGCTCCCTCAAACACCCTGAGAATCTGAGAGTTCCTCTCCTTGACGTCACTTAACATAATGTCAATTGCATTCGCGGCCTGCTCTGCAAGAAGCTTCTCATCTGCTTTTGATGCTTCCTCGGCAATCTGATGTAACCGCTTAAGCCAGTATAGCCATCTCCAGGGACTAAATCCACCAGGTGCCCGTTGACCTAGCTCTGACTGGACAAAGGTAAAGCCACCTGTCCCAATGGTACTGTGAGAGCAATCATTCCATGAGGCATCGGATAAGAGTATGATGTTATGCCCGGCTTCTCGGATCCAGGCACATGCAGATGGGAGTAACGAAGCAATAGTAAGTCCATGGATTGTTCGGTGACGGTCTTCGTTTTCGTCATCCGCCTCATTAGAGCTTCCAAGGGGACGCTCCGACTCGAATGTATCACGAAAAAGGTCCAGAGCAATCTGGCAAAGCCGATCGTTCGCAATGCGCGTGGACGCAAGCTTCGCAAGGAAGGACGCAGCATTAATGCGCTGCTTTGAGTCCATTTCCGCGCAGCTGTTGATCCAGTACTCTGTCATGTCCGTCGCAAGGAACGGGAGGTCGTTCCAGACTGTCCCCTCGGGAGTTCTAGCAATATCGATGCCACCGCCCGGTGCCGGCCTGGTTAGAGGCCCGCGTCCCCGCGTCCGGATGATGTCGAGGACCCATCTGTCTTGCTCAAAGCTTTCGTGGGAGACATGTCTGGCGCATTGGTAATAGACGTACCAGAGAGACTGCAGATGCCTCTCGCAGGAATCAATTGACGCCCTGTTCCGGCAATAGCTTTGGCCCGTGATCCATACTCTGTTATATGTCACAGATCGGAGGACGTCGAAATTCCCTGCTCGAGCAACCTCCTCCAGCTCCGCCCAATCCCCTGGGCCGTAAGGGCTACCTCGCGGTGATGAGCTCGGTGAATCTCTTAATAAGTCGTGCATCCTAAGCTTAGGAGCGTAAAGAGCTGGTAGTACCGGTTGGTGATGAGTGTCACGAGGGTGAATCTCTAGATATGAGACGAACGTAGGAGAGATAGAGTGTAATGGGATTAGACAACGGATATATTATTTATAAAATAAGAAAAGGCTGGGGGATAGATAAAGAATGGTAAGGAGATGCTGTCTCTATGATAGGCAGCAACAATCTTTTGCTTCCAATCAGACCCGTATACCATTGGTAATATACCATTAGTGACACGCCACTACTTAGGGTAGGAGACCCACTAGGGATCAGCAAAAGATCAGCAGAAGGCGTGTCCATGACTCGATATCTCGGCCTAGATACGCTGACTACATAATCTAGGGGAATCCTCCAGGGCTGGTCAGACTAGACTCTAGTGCGATAGCGCTCCACAGCAGAGTTGAAAATACGGAGTACAATGAGGTAAATTATAGATGTCGAGATAATAGTTCATACTCAATTCTGGTATGGTGTAGAAAACAGGACAACATATACTAAAATGCAGCAAACTTGTATGTGTTCCTCTACAGTGGCTGCTTCACAATCAACCCAGTAGCAGCATAGAACTATCCGCCTTAGGGCTTCAGACCCTGACAGAGACACTGTCTACTATAAGAATCAAAATAGCATGACTTATCCTCAATTGCGTGGGTACACTATGCGTAGAAGTTAGCATACTCCTAGAGTAACGGGGTCCAGGGCAAATTACCTTTCTGAACTCGCAATAACAGATAGCTTTCAGCCCACTTTGAGACTTATAATGGCATTGATTGGTTTCTGGATAGCAGTCCTAGTTTGAAAAGATCAGGCCCTTCGTCTCGTACCTTAATGAACCTTAGAGACTTACTCCTCGGTACTCAATATGGCGATTGTTTTCGTTTCTGACATCCAAGTCATTTGATGTAGGAGACCCAGGGCTCGCTGGGCTGGCTAATGCTCCCAGAGCAGCAGAGAGGACAAGTCCAAAAGGCATAAAGGTAAAAGCTTTCATGACGACGGCGTGCACCTTTGGTTACTTAAGAAGCAGGACTGGTGTTTTGGAAAAGGGATTTGTGTTTTCATCTAACCTCCAGTATATCGGGTCTGTAGTCATCTTATATAGACTCGATTTCAACCCATAGTGGGAGCTCTCAGACAGGACAATAGTCGGAGGTCTACGGGTCGTTGAAGGCTGGGTACCTGGCAAACTCGCAACAATAGTAAGGTACATGGGAACATTTAGGCCATTCCAATATGCCAAGCGTCTCTCCAAAGAAGGAATATGCTGCATCAACCAATTGCTTAAGGCTATGTTGTTAGCTGATTGTTAGTATACGGCCACTAGCCGCTGGCTCCTTTTCCCGAGCCGCACAACGGAGAAGGGCACCAATAAAGAAAATACATGGCCTCAGTGGATATCCCCTATTGGCATCTTACTGGCGGACAGCTAAGCTAGTAATGTACGCCCGTGCATTAGTGTTGTCCCAAGATTGCGGCACGGCCTTAACCGACGGTTGGCCGGATCCTGGGAGATCGTCGCTCGCACTAAGCTAGTAATATACGCCCGTGCATTAGTGTTGTCCCAAGATTGCGGCACGGCCTTAACCGACGGTTGGCCGGATCCTGGGAGTTCGTCGCCCGCACTAAGCTAGTAATATACGCCCGTATATTAGTGTTGTCTTAACGAGATTGCGGTACAGCCTCGACCGACGCTAAGCTTATTTATAATAAAAATAATGTCTCTAGACAAGTGGAGTAGCTCACAGCTTTATGATGATCGGATAATCGTCCATAACTAATGCTCGATCCATGCGGTACTTCTGACACTCGACCCTTGGCATCGAGCTTTCGTAAGGGCTGTGTTTCCACCCCGAAGGCAACCTTGTCCATGAAAGTATTCCTGCCGGGTTACAGCTCGGGGATACCTAAAAAAAAGGCGGATCATTACCTGCGCTGGAAGCCCGGCGGCAACGAGATCTGTCCAAATCCCTCAAGCACTGTGGTCATTGATCGCCGTTCAACAGGGATTCTGATCCATATGAACAGGGCAGGGCAACAACAAGCACCGCAGACCAATCATGGGATATAGCGTAAAAGTACCTAGAGCTATCCACCTTCACGTGTCAATCAATGAAACTTCTTAGGCGAGTCGGCGGCGTATCTTCGGGTTATAGTTTTGAGCTAGTAATGCAGTGGCTAGAGGTGCTTAGGAATACTAGCTAGATAGGAAAAAGTTATACATTTTTATAGAGTTGTTGGCTCTATAGAACTACTTCAACTAAGGCCGAAGGATCACAGCTTTTTTGATATCTTTGTGCTTACCAGGTGTATTAACATAGACCTTGGGCTTCACAGAATATAGTAACACCGAATCTATAATGTGTGCCTATCCTTGATCAGATATGGTATTGAATAGTTGCTTGTAAAGTATACTAGATGATTGAAACATATGTCCCTGCTCTGCCTGGTGTTAGGTAAAAACTCACCGTTGCTGAGCCTGCTCCGAACCCTGCCATCGTAGTCGCTTATCAAATAAACATTATCAACCACGCCGTTTATGCCCTCACTGTCCTGGCCACCATTGCGGCAGCAGTCCCCGGCCCAATCGTTGCTAGGGGTGAAAAGTTCCCCGTTTTCAATGGCGATAAATCCGTTATGGTTGAAACCGAACCCTCTGCGGAGACCGGCAACGTTTTGATAGCCTTGGCCGAAGGGGACGTCGACTGCAAGGGCTCTGCCCTTTGCGAAAGACTCGGTTCTAGCTGTGACGATGCTTATCGCAAGGTTATTCCCAGCAACACCTACAGCACTTACCTCGAGTATGTCTACGCTTTAATGAGAATAGATAATTTGACTTTTCACTAACTCGACAAAGCTCTTCCAATACTGGAACTTGTAGTGATACCTGCGGCCTTTTTGTCAGCGGCAACCACTGTGAAGTTATGGGGCAGCATTTGATGGACGCCTACAATGACATTTGCAACCGAGGCCATTGCAGCCATTGCGGACGCAAGCAAATTGCCAACGGCTGTACGATCAAGATTGACCGGATGACGGGTTGCTAAATGGGGCTGCGCCGTTTTGATCGGATGGGAGGTGTGTACCATATACATGTATTGAGGGCCACAGGGTCGCAGTTTTGGCTTTCAGTTTCCAAAATTTAGTTGAGACGGTGTCCGATTGTTCCTTAAGGACTAGAACAAAGTAGTCCGGGGTTATAGCTTTTCTCAAATGTACCAAACAGTACTAGAATTCTCATAGTGAACATCGCTTAGCTGCTGCTTCACCTTTGAGGCCAACCCCCCTAATTGGGATAGGAAGAAGTTTCTAGGGTTATTACGTCGCATTTAGGCGGTCTTAGCTAGTGGCTATAATGGTTCTTAACTCAGGTATTAACCGACAGCTAGTCATAATTTCCCGGTTGGTTGAGACGGTTAGAGGCGACGATCCTGTGGGTCATTTAGTTGGGTCTAACTGTGGACTGGGTGACCCGTTCAGGGAGCCTATCCTTACCTGTCTGAGCAAACGCCCGTTGTCCCTAGTCCCTCCCCATGTAGGCCGAGACAATTTCTGAGCCGCTGGCTCAGCCTTCTGCCTGGGGGAGGTTCGGTGTTCTCCTTACCTTCCCCCAGGTATCCCACTTACCATTCTCGCCATTTTCAGCATTCTCACCATGCACCGATCATGGAACAGCTGGTGTTCCCTTCGGCGGATGATATTCGCAGTCGCCATTGGCGCTTGCGGTGTTTTCATCTACTTGATATGGTTTGGGATGAACTCAGGCCGTGATAATGTCCCCCAGCTCCTCACACAACTTATCCCAGCAGGCCACTGCACCTGCCAATCATCTACTTCATTTCAATGCGCCGACTGCCTCACCTGTCTCGCCTCGCCACCGCTATCGGAACCAGAACACCTTGCAACTTGGAGTTTCCAATACGGAAGAGACGAGCAGAACCTAGGCCTAAGCCAGAGTCAGTGTCAGGCAGCATTCCCCGGTCTCTTCCAGGACATCCAGCGAGGGGTCGCGTATTGGAAGTCGCGAGGGCGCATATCAAGAGACGATCTGAGCATAGTCCCATTCGAAGATGGCATGGCCCGCGCTATTATCTCCAACGGAGACTTGTACGTCGTGGCGACAAGAGCAAAAGGGGATGACCATCGGCGCAAGATCCTTGGTACTCTAGGATCTATCCATCGGGCACTATCTGCGTCCTCGAATCGTACCTCGCACCCCACAATCGAGTTTATCTTCTCGATCGAAGATCGCGTGGATGACGTTGACGCGGTCAGCCACCCGGTCTGGGTGTTATCGAGAAAAGCATCCGAGGAGTCAGTCATTCTGATGCCCGATTTCGGGTACTGGTCCTGGGCAAAGAGTAACATCGGCCCATACGGACAAGTCGCACAGAGCATCATGGCCGCTGAATCTAATCTGAAATTCGCGGATAAAGAACAGAAGCTGGTCTGGCGGGGTAAGTTGAGCTTTGCACCAAAGCTACGTCGGGCGCTCTTGGACATTGCACGGGGTAAGCCTTGGAGTGATGCGAAGGAGTTGGATTGGAGCAAGAAGGCCAACTTCTTATCGATGGAGGATCACTGTCGGTACATGTTTATCGCCCATATCGAAGGTACGTTTCTTTCATAACCCAACTTTGCTATATAAGGCTGACAGATATCGTCGATATCTAGGTCGCGCATACTCGGCATCCCTTAAATACCGACAAGCCTGTCGGTCCGTCATCGTGGCGCATAAGCTGCAGTATATCCAACATCACCACTATCTCCTCGTATCGTCCGGTCCGGAACAGAACTACGTGGAAGTCGAGAGAGACTTCTCCGATCTCCCGAAACGCATGGACGAACTCTTGAAGAACCCGGACAAGGCAGAGCGTATAGCCAATAACAGTGTCAAAACCTTCCGAGAACGATACCTAACCCCAGCTGCTGAGGCATGCTACTGGAGAGCTCTGTGGGAGGGATGGGCTGAAGTCTCGGCGAATGTCACATGCGACGTTGAACGGCCGCCGGTTGATAGGGGACTTCGGTATGAATCTTTTGTGTTGCTGGACAGTAACGATATGTTCAAGTATTCATTTAGATCGGAGTAAGAGGAATGTGTTTTTGTATAAATATAATAGTCGATATGATCGCTATATAAATGACAAATATCATGATATGATTGCCTTTGCAGGTTACCATCAGCTGATCATCAGCAATATTTTCCTTCCTCCCTTGTTCAATTGGTCTTACAGCGATGCAGCACCACGTGGCTCGGTCGTCTATAATGCGACGGATATAGTAAGGGTCTGCAAGGGAGACAACCCGTCACACTTCATAAGTCACACTTAAATGTCCTATTGCAGATTGTATTCATTTAGGCCATTTGATTAATGCGTAAAAGTTTTCTATCATGACGAGGAGCGTATAGAACGCACATCTCGAAGGATGTCTCGTGTCTCGCAGTTCTCTATTTGAGTAAATCGCGCCACACAACCTCAGGAAGACAATGAGACAGGCCAGAGCATGTGTCACATTAAATCGACTATACTTGACCGTCTGAAATAGCTATAGCGCTCTGGGATCCGACCAGGACAAATATCCAAGAAGTTGGTGAAAGCAGAGCCCCTCGCACGTCTGGTTCGCAGGCACATACACGCTCATGAAGTATCAATATGTCCATATCAACGGCTTCCTCGCCTCAAAGTATCAGGTTTTCGACCGACTGTTTGCCTACCTCGTGGATCCGCTGGTGGCCCACACCTGGAACTCATACTACTGCCACCATATCAAGCATCATCACGTCGAGGGTATCGGGCCGGCAGACCTCAACTCGACCATGTGGTATGACCGCGACTCAATCACGGATGTTGCATGCTACGTGGGCCGCTTCTTTTTCCTCATCTGGCTGGGCCTGCCCCTGTATTTCCTGCGGACAGGAAAGCCGAAGTATGCCCTCAAGACGGCTTTGTGGGAGGGAAGCAATTACTTGTTCATCTACCTGATGTGAAGATACATCAACCATCGCGCAGCCTTTTGTGTTCATCCTACCACTGCTGTCTCTGCGACGGGCCTGATGGCGGGCAATTGGGGACAACATGCGTTTGTGGATACTGACGATCCGACATCCGACTTTCGGTCGAGCATCACCTTGATTGATGTTGCTGTACGTCTTGGCTGTGATATATTGCCAATCACTGGAGCCTGATCGATGCATCTCAACAAGCCGCAATTTGCGGATAATCATCCATGTCGCGAGCAATGGGCCACTACCATTTCACCATTTGTAAGCTTAATGATCCGGCCGATTCACTTTGGCCCAGAGACTTGTTGAGAACTCTATCGATCACCTCTTGGTCGTGAACACCTACCTTGAATCGTAACCGCCGCAGCAACTAGTCGTACACATCTATCTGTTCTTCAAGTTCTATTACGCGTCTGCGTATTGTCACTTGAGGGACCTACAGCCGGGTTGAAGAACGTACCTTTTGATTGTGTCTTGCTTCCCCTCGGTATACTCGCAAGGGGCATCGAAAAGGCCACATTGATGACATGGTTGGTGGCCGTCGCATTTGGCCTTTTTGTCTGCATCCCAGGCATGCTCTCTTAGCACGGCGGGCTGCGTTCCGTGACTGGGAGCGCGCAATCGGAGGAATAGCAACCTTGGAATTTGTAGGACTAACAAGCGAGTCGAATTGCATGTCTGTTCGAGTGGACGATGCATTCTAAATTGTTCCTCTAGCTTGAGCATAGCTCTGCTGAAGGGGAAGTCAATTTCAAAGGCTCTTTCTCCATTGTCAGGGCAGGCTGAAAGTCAAATTAGTGGAAGGGTATAAACGGTTACGCTACTATGTCAAGAGTCTGAGTGAATATTGACGACTTGTTTCGTGTTTCTGTTTATCAGTACACCACTGTCCCGCAGCGTTCACGTGGATACGCTGAGGTGACACCACTGAGATTCTGTAAGGATCGCATGGTTTCTATTGGATAGTACTAGCTAGGCCACAAAAGTGAATAAAATTACATAATCGGCGAAGCCCTCGCTTTTAGACCAATAGAAACCCTTTTCTCTCTGTGCGCCCAGGACCACTCCCTGGCCCTGGCCAGCCTCAGGCATCCAGTCCCTGTGGGGTGCCTGAGGCCACTAAGGGATGCAAACCCTGCAAACCCTTCGGGACGACAATTGGAGAGATAGATCCCTCATAGTCTGGGACCCCCTAGGGTCCCTTAAAGAGACTGGCAAGAATTAGTCTTGGCACTCCAGACTAAGCCATAGTATATTACCCGGTTGACAGGCCATACACCTGGAAACAGTATACCTTTACAAACAACTTCATCTTTCAACGTTCAAGACTTAGAATAAGGTCTTAGTCTATCTTAGTACTTAATAGAAGTATCCATGTCGATATATACATCGGTATCTCTCGATCAGAGCGTATGTTGGGTAATATAGGTAAATAATCATTCACCCTATATTTCAGGTAAGCTACACTTCTTTTTATGCTAAGAATGAATATCCTACCAAAAATCAAGTAAAACGGACTTCTCGTTGTTGATATACAGTGACCTGAGTAATCCTATTTACTATGTGTTTTGGGGTGCGCAGCTCGGCCGGGAATTACGTTACTGGGAGAAAGCTGGTCCGAGTTGCTGCACATGACCATGATTACATATAAAAGCCAATAAAATGAAGGGGCACAGGAACAACCAAGAAGAGAAGACTGTAACTCTCCACTTCTCAACTGACAGATTATCATTGGGAAGTGTCACAGCAAGCTGATACAGTATGGCATTGTATGCAAGAATAGGGCTAATCTACCAAGGGGAACCAATCCAAAAGATGAGTTGAATTAAATTGAATTAAATTGAATTAAGTTGAAGAAGAGATGAAAAGAGCGGATGATGCGAGGACCCGTTACGGGGTCCTTGCTTATATGAGCAGGGAAAGGGGGGTTGAAAGTCCCCGATTCTCGGAGTGCCGAGAATCCCCTAGTAAAAATAAAGAAATCATGACACAAATGAAACTAAACCATTCCGGGTGTATTTTACAACCGCATTTTGGTCGACAGGAAGAATCAGAAACAATCGGTCGAAGAAGGATTTTCAGGACATTGTCACCAAGAAAGAAATGCCGGAATTGGGCCGGCATATCGTTGCCGATACTATCCCTAATTCTAGCACCTCTCTAAATTTCGTCGACTTCAATTGCAACCAGCTTTGCACCTTCCGTAACGGTGCCATTGACAGGTGACGCCAGGGCCCCTGATGTTACTGCATATAGAGTCCTCTTGCCTTTTCCTCCAAACACCGCACTTGTCGTCCCAGCCACGGTGAGCTGGGATGGAGAACCGATGACTTCCTCTTTGACACCATCCTGATTGACCCTCGTAATAACATTTGCGAAGTTCCCGGCAATGTAAATATCTCCTGTCTTTGTATCATAAGCAAAGTCGTCGCCCCAGACACCTGTTGTCAAAGTATTATATGGACCAATAGCCCGCCCACTGATGGGGTCAATCCTGACTCTGCCGAGGGTTTCCTTCAGACTGTTGGTATAGTACAGGAATGTCTCTTCGCAAATAGTTATGACGTGAATACCGTTCACACCCAAGGAGGTTCCGGCTGGTGGCTTCATAGTGACATCGTCATGGACAACTTCGCGTTCACCAGTCTCTGGGCAGAGTCGGTACACGAGCCCCGCCCAGCTGTCTGCGATAAGGACAGTTCCCGTGAGAGGATTCAAGGTCGTCATCCCGTTTGGGAAGATTGCTTCGGGGATATCTGTGACCTTTTTTGCTGAGACGTGGCCAAGATCGTGACCGGAGAAGCTCACATCCCAGACTGAATAGGTCCCCGGGAAGTCTTTTGCCTCCGGTATGCTGTAATTACCAAGAATAACCAGAAATTGATTTTTCTTGTATTCCGTGATTCCTAGAGCGCCTGTCGCTCCGGGAAACATCTGAATGAGTTTCGCCGATGGTTTCTGTACAGCTGGGGGCAAGGTGATCTGGTAAAGAGCAGGAATATCAAGTCTGGTAGCGAGGATGCTGTTGGAGGGCCCAATCGCCAAATTCTCGAGCCATGAACCTTGACCAAACTGAAACAAGGTAGATATGGGAGTGTCCGGGTGGCCCACACTTGAGGTGATGAAAGAGAGAGCCACTAAGCCGTGGAGAAGTATTTGCGACGAAAAGATCATTGTAATCAACAAAGGCCAGAACTGAATGGGAAGGTATGGATATCGTCGAAGTGAATAAGTTTCTTGTTGCAGATACAGCTCTTGCGCCAGAAGAGAGTATATAAGGTGCTGGGGGCACAGAAGATGAGGACCAGGTTTCTAACAATGGATACATCTCTCACATCTTACGCACTCATGTATAAGAGTTGTATAATCATCAACAATCTTGCTTGTAAGTGGCTTTTATCTTTGGAGGCTGATTCTAGACTAGTTATTGGCGGACTGTCATCGTGCGATGGAGATAGGCGATATTGACTGTATCCCCGAAATCGGGTTGACTAATATACATCTCATAATTATTTCTGAGCCCCCACTAACAAGACCTTAGTCTGGATGGTTCTATCGAATGAGCAGACGTGACGGATAGTTTCATCTGGTATAAAACTCGAAACATGTATAGCGACGTGACATTAATTTTTGCTCCCCAGACCCACACCGGTCAGACCGCCTACTTTATTAGTTTCCCCCTATGCACCTCTTTACGAAGAATCCTCAAAACTTCTGTCAAAGCCGATTACAAGTAAGGGCTAGGACGAACGATCCATTGCACTCATTAGCGGTATGTGCATTTCCTTATAGGTTTACGAAAAATCCACAGATTTCCTGGCATTGTAAGTTTTATAACGGGCAGAATCTTTGGCAGTCTAGCTAGTGTGGGGCCAGGGGAGCAAAAATTAATGTAACACGACTGTAAGGCCGGGTATAATACCTATGAATTAATTAGTTAATTCTTACTAATTTATCTCCACAGGGTCAATTTGCTGTGTCACTGGGCCGCTACATTACCATCCTAATTAAACTCTGAAAGGTAAGACAATGATCATGTAGAAGTCGGCGCGAATGACGAATATATTTGCATTCGTTACGAATGTTCGCAATTCGCATTCGTATTCGTCGACATTTTCCGTTATGGATACGAATGCGAATAAAATTTTCAACATCCGCGAATATTCGTAACATTTGCCTTGACATTTCCCATGGGCACTCTATCATCTTCGGCCCATCGACATGCCCATAGATCCCATGGGCCGGGCCGGGCACCCGCCCTTGGTGCAGCCCATGGGACTAAAAAAAATTCCCACGCTAGCATAACTGACCTAAAACGGATGGATAGAATGCTGAGTTATCATAATATCTTACCGTTATTTACACTTGCGAATAGAAGTATAGTAGCGACCGGTATCGTCTATATAGGGAACGGAGAGATGATCTTTTCAACACTAGTCATATACTACGCTAATTTAAATATGAATAGCGCGTAAATAATTCGTTTTGCTAATAACGAGGTAACAAGTACTAGAAGTTTAGAACACTAGTATAGAAGATACACGGGTCTAGAACTGCCTAGACGGTTTAATGTAAACCTAGCAAATAAAGAGGTCTTTAATCACCCCACCCAGATCGTCAGATAATCAGAGAAGGGTTCTCGTCACTTTGTTTCCAAAGCACGGGCATTTCGGAGAGTCAGAGCAGCCACTATTGAGGCTCCAATCCCAAAGACAAACTACTCCCCAGATATCTTCGGCTGACTACACTGCACGTATGTACTATGTTGATACTGTAATGCTTTATGTACTCGTACAGCGGCAGAAGAGCAAGAGAGCAGGAGAATCAGACAGTGATGATCTGATTTCGAGTAGTCCGGTCTGGCCCGAGGGCTCGGAATGGAGCGGAGGTACATACTGTTGTCCTAGCAAGTTGTCTGACATAATTTCTTGCCAGAGACCTGGGCGGTGCTGGACTATTAGGAAATGCACGGACCTGAGGTCCAGAATGTGTTGCTTTTCAGCCAATCCTTTTCAATCAACCTGACTTTTCTACACCCGTACAGACACGGTGTTTAAACTAGCGTCTTCTAACCACTTTCTGCGGCCTCATATTTAAAAATTTAAACACTTGAATTTTAATTGCTATATCATCACAACTGTTTTTCCACTAACCTACTTTCGTTGAATTTACAATTAAGCAGTCATTTACGTCTCCAGGACCAGTTCATTGAATCTGATCAAAGTAATAGAATTTACGGAGTACTATCGATTAATTGAGAATCAACGGTAGCCGTGACATTAATCCCTCAACTCCCTCCTTGGCCTTCACGAACAAATAAGGTGGTGATAAAGAGAGTGGGGAAAGGTGTTTTTGTTTGGTCAAGCCGTTTTAATCTCCGCCCGACTTCTCTACCAGAGGATGTAGAAGGAAATTAGCGTGACGGTTCACCCGAACATCAAGACCACTCAAAGACATTTCTGATTCGTTTCGTTTCTTCCGAGGCCTGCCCACGTAGAGGCAATAACTGATGGAGTCGGACTAGAATATTGCTCTTCCGGATCTTGACTGCTTCACTCTGGTGATGGATCCTTCCTTATATGTATGTTAGACTCACACACAGATGGGAACAAACTACCGGTGTGCTGGTCAAAAGCTCTCAGATAAGGGTTCTGTTCTTTTGCTTTCTGTCATACCTGCTTCTTCGTCCAATCTTGCCGGGGGAGAGCTCTTTGAATGCTTGATGCTGATGGGAGGATATTGAATTCATCTCATAGGAAGACAGCCGTTTCTTCGATGTCGAGGCCAGGATTGTCGGCAAGGTGTTCACATAGCGCCCCGAGAATTCGAGGGGTAACGCTCAGTGGCTTTCTAGCGCGGACAAGACGAGGTCTAGCGGTGCCCTACAATCGTAACTTTCTGCAGAGCCCGGTAACAGATCGCACGCTACATTTGCCAATCTAGGCAATCTATGGATTATTTAGTCATTTACTAGTACGTATTAGGTTAATGGTCAGGCAGGGGGAGGGGGGTCTATTTTTGGTAGTCCTTGTGGTCTAGTCATTTTGAGTTTACGTCGGGGCAGGTACGGCCGGGAGTATAGGCTCACCGCTTCTGAGAAGATAGGGCTTCGGAATTAGGGTTTAAGTCCGTTTGTTTAAATCATAGGAGTAGCATGAGAATCAAACTCTGGCCCAAAGAAACTTTCAATTAGCAGGGCATTTTTATCACTGATTTAAAGAGCGTCGCAGCTATTATCTGGAATAGATTTCAGTAGCCACTGTCGTATGTCTCTTGTGCGCTCGTAAAGCATACAGAGCAAAATTATCCTTATTATCCACAAAATTGCTAAAGTTGTCACAAAGAGCCACAAGAAAAACCCCTAAGAAGACATAGAACTCTCGTAAATCCGTCCCTGAACAAAAAAAGAAATTAAGCGACTAGGGAGGAAGAGCAAAGAGGGGAGGAGCTGTGGGGCGCCTCATTTGGTAACAGCAACTCCTGCAGACACCCGAACAAGTCTTCCAGCGGCACATCCAACGGCTCAGCCTTTATCGCAGACGGTGAGGATAAAGAGCAAAGGGAGGAACCTGACAAATCACTCCCTAGTAAGCCGGACAGCGACTGCAGCCTGTTTGGCAGTCGCAGCAGCATTAACATAAGGCGCCACCGCTTGCGCAGATCTTGTATTTCGCCAGTAAGGGCCTCTTTTTCCTTAAGGATCTTAGATATCTCTTCAGATTTCTGGTTGAACCCCTCCGAGAGCTCTTGACACTTTGCTTCGAGTTCAGTAGCCCGTTGCTGGAGTGTTTGATGGCGCTCTTCTTTGCGTTCGCGGAATCGGCGCTGCGCGTTGCGGTTTTGCATGCGTCGCTTGACCTGCAATCGAGTAATTAGTTCCAGCTCCTTTGGAGAAGATCACACCAGGTAATGCGAAGCTTACAGTCTGGAATTTATGTTTCTGGTTTTCCGCATCTATTGCGCATGTGACTAAGCTCTGGTCTTCCTGTGAATCTGAGGTGGATGGCGAAGGCGAAATAGTGGTATTGGAGGAGACTGTGGAGTCGAGGTCGACTATTCGATAAACCTCGGGTGACTGTAGGCTGCGGCCCGCTTCAGCTGGCGTCACTGAGCGAGGAATAAAGGCGTCGAAGGTGGGAGGGAGCTCGAATCCCTGGTATCCTGCCATATGGTTCTTCGCAAATGAGCGACGTGTTTCCGCTGCAAGATTCGAAGAAGCCGAACTCACCATTCTAGACCCTAGCATTGACATCTCTCCGCTCTTGTATTGCATGCCAAAAAGGCTGGGGCTTTGAGAGTTCCAATAGTCCTCCATTGTGTGCATGTGTATCTGTGTGCGTAGCTGCGTAGCTTTATGCTGAGCAGTGCGATTTGAGTTCTTGCGACGGAATTAATCTGATGACCAACGAAGGGAGCATGTGCTTTATATATACAGGTTGGACCTGCCTATTGATCTTGCCCGTTGCTTGTAGGGACAATTGAACTGGACATTATTTAGTTTTCAGCCAATCAGAGCTACTAAAGGTGACACCGTAAGAGGAATAGCGCACCCTTTGTCTACTGTACAAGCGGGTGCTAAGGGAGATCCTAGGGCTCCTTGAGTTTTAGCATCCAGCCACGGTCGATTGATAAATATCGTTTTGAGGCACTCCGCTGTCCGGGCGAATTAAAGGACAGTGTGAGGTTTCCTGATGTGGCTTAGATTGATTTGCGTGTGGGCCGTGGAGACCATGCCGGGTCGGTAACGGGCAATTATCTGCTGGTGTACTTCTGACGTGCCAGAGCAGCAGTCAGATAAGACTGACATTAATTTTAAAGGGTAACCCTGTTTCCGCCCCTGCGGCCCGTCAATCTATTAGAAATCGAATGTCAGCCAATAAGATGAAGCTCAGAACAATCCTCATCAGGAATAGTCGCCGCCAAGTCGCTTTTGCAGCCCAGCATTGAAACTCGCTAGTCGGAGGCTAAAAACTCAACGAAGAATAGACTCGCTAGTGAGTCCCCATCTACTCCTGGACTCATGATCCTTGAAAATAGTATGGTTGCAGCCTGCAGCAGCTCTGCTGCTCCACTGAAGATTTTGGGACGAGATCGTAGGTGTAACTTAGGCCGAGTTAGTGAAATTAAGAGAGGCGCAAGAATCCAATTCAGTTCCTTTCAGAGCCAATGCTGGTAATGGCGAGATAGTATGGGTCGGTCATCTTCTTCACCTACTCCTAGCCCCTGCTACCATTACTGTGAGATCTCAGCACGTCCTACCATTGGATTTGCGCTAAGCTCATTGTGGATGGCTTCATCTGCATCGAGCACTGCTTCTTTGGAGGGCATGGTGCCCACATAACAAGCGCATCGGCCGCTCGGAGCGTGTGGTGGACCCGGAGGACTCTCAAAGTTGGTGGCACAACCCATGACAGAGAAGTAAGTCATTTAACGTTCGATCTAAACCAAATTTGGGTTCCCTAATAGCTGCCACGATTGGTCAGGAGTAAAATTCGATCTAAGCCAAATCTGGCTACCTCATAGCCTGCCGTGATTGGCCAGGAGTAAAACTTCACATAACATCAGAGCTATCTAATGGGCATCGTCCCCTCCCATCTTGTTCTTTCTTAAAATTACTACTGCAAGAGCTATGAGATTGAGACCATGAGACCATTTCATAAGTCCAGCGATCTCCCCCTGTGAGTCAAGTACATAAAACAATACTAAGCACTGACCATGTTCATAGCGGCCAGGAGAACCTGCACCAGGCGAACCCGGTGAGATCGAATGAGAATCAGTATGTCATGCTTTTGGCTAGGCATAGAATAGATCGAGCCGAATAAATATACATGAAGCTCAGATCGATTCTCCATGCGAGGCAGGGAGACAAAGACAGGAAGGATATGAGACACGTCCGTATGATGGTACATAAGTTCAGCGATCTCCCCCTGTGAGTCAAGGACATAAAACAATCCTATTCTCACTCGAACTTGATTGCTGTCGCTACGGGAAGCAAGTTTCTCATCATTTCCTTTTGTCTGCAAGACCTCCAAACCCAATTCGATCCCACCCTACCAGGCCTCTCCTGCTGCTCAAGAACTGACTGGTGAACTATGCTCAACGCCTTGCAACGGGCCGGAAAGTCTCAAGTCGCAGAGTTAGGTTTGACTGGCTAATTTTTCAGGCTTCAAGACAGACAAGACCTTCTCTCCTCGCTCTGGCTCGGATAACCTCCGATGCGACTCGACTATGGTACCGTGGAACTTTGCCACATCCCTAACTCGATTGGTGATAAAATGGTGCAACAAAATCGGGACCACGATTTGGCCAAACCATGTCCCGCTTTTTTCTCGAGTTTCGCTGGGCTTCTCGTCGCCCGGACTCTCAGACACTCTTCACGTCGACTCACAGCAAGTTGGAAAAAAACCCTTCTCAACTAATTCGAGCGACGAAAACCATCTCGAAGAGGGTCACAATTATCACGGAGCGCCTCCAACATTCTACACCCGTGTCTCTGTAAGCTTCAAAAGACGTCACAATTCGGCTGTTCGAGACTACACGATAGGGAAACCGTAGGGTGGGCCCCTTGGGCCAAAACCTTCGTTTTGCAATTCGCAACTTTCACCTTCCGACTCGTGACGAGCGGACTCCGAACGCGCCTTTCTGCTTTTGACCTTGGGTTGCCTCGCTGTTATTGGCTGTTTACTGCCTAGCTTCCGATAGGTGGAGACGAAACCTCCGTCTCGCAATTTGCAACTGGCCAACTGGGACTACCAATGCTAGTTTCACTTTTCGACTCGTGATAAGCGGGCCCCGAACGTGCATTTCTGCTTTTGACCTTGGGTTGCCTCGCTGTTATTGGCTATTCACTGCCCAGCTTCTGGTCGGTGGACTGGAGGCGTGCAGAATGAGACGGAGAACCCTTTCCCGCGCGACACCTAATGGCCAATCTGCCGACGGTATTCTTCCAGGCTTTGGTCCTGAAGAAAACGGCGACTTTCGCATGTAGATAAATAACATCGCAATAATCGCGCTTTCAACGACTAAAGAGTGCTTTTGCGTCGAGAATGACGAAGTCATCGATTTTGTCGACCCCCGAGTCGAGGTCCTCTCCGTCGTCTTCCATCTCGCCGCCATCAACTGCTTCGTCGTGTTCGATCCCTTTCGAGGAGGCACGCCTGTCCCGGAATCTGCCGCACAGAACCATAGAGCCCGTGAAACCACAGTCATCATTCCTCTTCATAGACCACCAAGCAGACAAGTCAGAGGACAAGAAGGTGCGCAACGAGAAACAAAGGTTTCTACTCAAAAATTACCACAGGAGAAAAAAACAAGCGTCCATCCTGCGCTTGAAAACCCCGAATACGGCCCCCACCCACCATCTTCTAGTCGATCACTCAACGAGCGAGCAATTGACCTCAGATAATGCAGATGCAGACACCACCAGAGAGCAGGATCGATGGGTTGATGAAGGCGAGATTTCGAGAAGAGCCCCCGGAAAGGCGGCACTGCGGTCTGAGATGTGGTCCCTCAAAGCCTATCTCAGTCAGGGCTATGCCGATCCGTTCGGGGCGTCAGCGGTCAAGATGACAGGTTCGATGAATATGTACTTTCATCATTGTATGCACACTATGAAAAATCCGGGTATCAAAAACAGACGAAAGCTGACTCAAAATAGTCAGACTCCACACCATAGCAGCATGCTACCCAGTCGACGCTACGAGGATGAGTATGTGGTGGTGGCAGAAGGCAATCACACAGCCAGCTCTCCTCCAGGCGCTCCTGTTCTTAACAGCGGGCCACCAGGCGACATTAGAGTCGAGCAACGGTGTCTCATCTCTGGTCATCAAGAAGTCAATGCGGGATTCGCTTCATCTCCGCGGTGATACACTTAAGACGTTGAATAATATCATGCAAGATCCTCTCAAAGCGGTAGCTGAGTCTACGACACTGGTTGTTGCTTCGCTTGTCGCGATTGAGGTAGGCTTCGCGTCAAATTAATGCTCGATCTCCTGACATGTCGAGAGGAACTCTAAGATTCACAACTTGCTAATCTCATCTATCGCAGGCCGTCGATGCAAATATCGAGGCTCATGACGCGCATATGAAAGGACTCAAGAGGCTTGTCCAGTTGATGGGCGGATTAGATAATCTGGACCACATGACTCTGTCCAAAATTTACCAGTATGTTCTTTACATATCTCTCTATTCACGATGCATGTAGTCGCTAACAATTCTCAGAAGCGACGTCAAGAGCGCTGCCCTCTACAATACCCGGCCAGTCTTCCCCATCTCCGCCCGCTGGCGCAGCGAAATCATTCAAGACTTCCGACTCCTCCTCACGCGGGACGAGCTCGACACGCCCAAAGATCTTGCTTCCCTCGGTGTCACCATCTTCTCTTCCTCCTGGTATACGATGGTTGACCGTACTATGAGAACCTTCCTCCAGGTTGTCCGGCGCCTGATCCTTTACTACGAACATGCGCAGCGCAATCCGGCTTCTGTAATGCCCACAGATAACGATCTTTTTCTTGTTGCTGAGCACCAAGTCCTCTCCGCGTGCTACACGACAACAGATCCAACCGATATCAATGAGCCACTCCGCCTCACCTTAGTCATCTACCTAAACCTGCGAGTGTGGCACTTCCAGTCTTTCCCGTTCATGCAATATGTCGTTGAATCACTCCGACAGAGCCTTGAAGTTCCATACTTACATCTCCAAACCGAAACACCCGAGCTGCTATTCTGGATTCTTGTCCTCGGTAGTCTTGCGTCTCAGGGGTACAAGTGCCATCGGTGGTACCTCAACAGGCTGATTGAAATGACGGAGCGGTTGGGGTTGAGCGAGTGGGAGGAGGCGAGGGCAGTTCTGAGCGGTTACTTCTACACCGACCAGACAAGCGAGAAGAGGGCTGAGGAGGATCTTTGGAATGAGGTGCTTTTGAGGGAAACTTGTAAGTTGTCACTGGAAGGGCGATGGTCGGGTGTTTTGGGTCACTCACAATGTTTTTGGTAGATCCGTATATTGCGCCGAAGCCAGCCTGATAGCGTAAAGGTTTCGAAGAACCCGTGCCGCGACAGGTTTTGTGGAGGATTCATATGGTCCATATGGCCAGTTGAGGAGTGTTTGGGAGAACTAAGACTTCTGAGATTTTAGGACTTTCGCCGATAGCACAGCACAGGAAAGAGGGTAGCCTCGTCCGTGGCTAACAACGCTATGTTCTGACCACTATAGAGTCATGCACAATCCTTTTTGACCAGTATTTATTCATTTTGTCTACTTCGCAATGAATCTGCATCTTAACAAGAAACCGTGTGTAATCTGCCCTCAAATTAAGCAAACCCGACTTTAATTTTGGTGTCATTGCAAGGCCCCTAAACTCTTTAACTCTTTTGCTTTACTCTTTTATCCTTTCCAAGAAAAATTATTGTTACCTGATGAAACCCGCTGCACCTGATTGATCTTTTCCACCATAGCGGTCAACCTTGCTAGGCCGAACTCAAGAGTAACGGACTTGTGGTGGCGACCTGCAACCACCTACTAGACGGCGGATTTTAAGTATCCCATAACTAATAGGGTAGCGGGGTGGCTTAAGGAGTAAGCAAGTCGCATAAGAAGCGGAAGTGGCTTACCCTGTCGTCTATTATTACACACTACTCACTTCGGTCACACCACAGTAAAGCAGCCTCACCAGCTACCTCGCACACCTACCTAACTTCTATCCGCGTCTGTCACAGCCGGTAGGTTTATAGTAGTTATGGTGGTGGACCAAATGCGAATGACTACTGTTGTTTGTCTTTGTTGTTTATTGTTTGGGTCACTGGGCTTCGTACTATCGTCGAAGCCTTATCAACAACGGGATTGATGTAGTGAACACGATTATTTGGTCTGTTATTCTTTGCTATGACCGTGAAACCTTGAGATTCGAGCCTCGGGGGAAATTTCATGCCTAATTTTTAATATAACTTATTAAACTAAAACTTCTTCCTGGATGGATATTAGTAAGCCAGCGCATGCGGGTGTAGAACACGGAATACTCAAAATCTCCGTTGCTTGACAGATACTTTGAATTTTGTGTTGCTTCAGAGTTTGTATTGCAAGTTCAAGGCTCCCCTCTTATTCCACTGAGGTTTGCCTCAATAGAGGTTGTTTTCATGACATGGTGGTTGCTTGTATAGTAATTTGTCCGCGGCTTACGTAGTATTCGATACACAACCACCAAATTATTCGGGTCCGATTCATCGAATCTGGCAGCGATACTGTCCTAAATACAGAACAATAGGCAATAGAAACGGTACAAGGAATTATCGAGCGGGCGCTGACTTACAGTAAGTCCAATGTTGAAGCGAGAATCTGAGCAGTCACTCAAGTCCATCATAATTCAACAGGTGAACTAATTAACTAACTGGCGAGTTGACTAATTGCCAAGACCACTAGAAAACCCTGGACGCCCCCACAATCCTGCTGATCTGATCCGCATTTTTTTGCGTCTGATATCAGCGTTACCTCAGCCCGCCAAGATCTGCGTGAAGCCAGTCCTACCCCATCCTACATCCTGTAGGGATGACGCAGCAGTCAGCAGTCTCCCAACAACAGTTCGCATTCGTCGGGGGGCCCGTCCTCAAGAAGGAAGCCAGCCGTCTGCGATCATCTCTCGTGAAACGGGCGCTCGCCCAGAAAAGATCGCAAAGATGGCTGGATGCGGCGAACAAGTTGGATTCAATGCTTGCTTCAAAGGAGAAAGACAAGAGCACAGACCAATGCACATGCGGCCCGAGAGCATCCGGCAAGGGGGTCAAGAAACAACCATGGATCAATAACCCCAGGAACACCAATCAACGGCCTCAGCTCCTTCCTGCCCAATTGAATTGTTGCCTGGTGTGCGGACGGCTCCAGCAACCGTCTCCAGTTGGATCCCACGGACAGCCGCGGAGTTACCCCAACCCTACACTGCTCGGCGCATATCGCTCGAATCCTTTTCTACCTATGGATGCTACCGCCGCTAAGCTAAACGTGACTGAGCTGCTGGACTTTGCCGCGACCACAATCTGGCCGCAATTTCGGCCCGTGGACTACACCGGAAATGGGTATCGCTCATGGGCTTTCCCGATGGAGGACAAAATACAATTATACGCTGTCTTATACGCAGCATCTTACCACCGGGATGTGCTCCGCATCACGTATGGTGCGGAAGATCCCATCTTAGACTCCAAGGAACAGTTGGAGATCAGAGGGCTGGCCCTTCAGACGTTACGCATGGAGGTTGCTAAACTATCTGAACTCACACCTCCACCAACCTGCCTTGACGGAGTCATAATGTGTATCCTGTACCTGGCAGTAAATGAACTTCATAAGGGGAAATTGGCTCGCGATAGTAGCCTATTTACCCCTCCTTTCATCAGCATGCAAGCTTTGGATGTTTATGGCGGCCGGATATATCATCCGTTACATTGGAACACCATGCAGGAGCTTGTTCAACGATCGGGTGGAATTGAAAAAATCGCGACTGGTCGGCTGACTTGGCTGCTCAGTCTATCTGACCTTTTCGGCGCTTTCCAGGTTATCCGCAAGCCAATCTATCCGATGATGACTGTTGCAGGGAGGCGGTTAGTTCTGCAGCGTCCCGGACTGCTGTTCCAACCACACGGATACCATGACACGAGTACAGCCCTCCTCTCGCCAGGCTTGAGTACACCGCCGGGCTTCGGATTTCAGGAACTCTCTTCCATGTGGCCGCCAGTGAAGCAGGATATAGCTGCGGTCTTCATCCATCTAGGCGAATACTCCGCCGTCGTCCAACACTGCACAAACACTAGATGCAACGACGTGGTTCTGGATCTGTTAGGCGATAGCAGGAACCTCATCCACAATCGCCTACTCTCTCTACCAGACGAGAGCGACCCCTGCGAGCTCATCTTTGAACTGCCCCATTCTCATCGAACCACGGATACAGAATCGGAGCAAAATAAGCTATCGCTTTTGCTCTCTCAGCAGATATACCACACCTGCCGTCTCAGCGCCCTGCTATACGCATTGCACGTTACATTCCCGATCCCACGTTTCCGGGCGCCGGCGCAATTTATCCTCAGTGCCCTCGTACCGCGAATCGAATGGCTTCGTGCGCGCAATGTCTCACCGCCCGTGCTTATTTGGTGCGTGGCTGTATTGCTTAGTGTGCTGGGCGATCACACCCCTGAATTCGAGGGTCTGGTCCCATATATGGTCTCGATGTCTCGGGAGGAAGCGGCGGTCGACTCTGTGCCCACGCTTTTGGCGTTCCTTCGATCCTTCGCCTGGGTGGATGCAGCCGTGGGGGATCACTGGAGAGATCGGTGGGAAAGGATATTTAGATCTGGGGGAAAGGATATGGTATTGGCGGAATCTTAGATTTTCATTGTAAATCGGCAGACAGAGAGATTTAATACCCTTTCAATATGAAATAGAAATCATTATTAGGATTGAAAATGCAACCTAGAGAAAATGCGGCGCCTTTCAGATTGACCCACCCCACCTCACAGCGTTTAGCTGTTAGGCCTGAGCAGCGAGACACACCCCTGGAGGACACGCTAAACCTACTTTGGAAGCGGGTTTGTCGCAGTTGATTGGAGGGTGGCTGAACAACGTAAGCTTTCTGCAAGCTACCCAGATTAAACACAGCAGACAACAAAATCTGATTCACATGTCAGGCTAGCCTTGGCCATTTAGAACCAATAACCATTCATTGTAAATAAAAGGGAAAGAAAAAGAAAAAAATTATATTGCAGTTAGTCACAACGCCGCCTAATAAAGGCGGACGACCCCCCCGTAGTATCACTCTAGTTATACTCGACGCTTTGTGCGATCACCTACTCGAAAAACCCAACTTATACCTCGACGAGATAACGGTTTTTTTTTATAGGACGAATTCCCTCTTCTCGCTACGAAATCGAACATTAGCCGAGCCTTTAGGTCCAAAGGCTGGTTAAAAAGACTGCCCGTGTTAAGGCACGAGAGCGTAACCTAGAGCCCCGGGACGAATACTTTCACTATATCTCAGACTTCCAGTCTTACCCTTACCACATTGTCTATGTGGACGAGTCTGGATGCGACAAAGGAATCGGGTTTAGGCGCACTGGCTGGTCTCCGTTGGGCCTGACGCCATTTCAGGTATGCATACACGTGTAACGTATATTGATTTTATCTATACACCATATTAGCGGGTCGTATTTCATAAGGGAAAGGAGCTGTTCACATCTCTGTTTCTAAAATTCAAGCAGAGTTGTCGGAACCTGCAATTTCACCGTTGCTCGGTTGTCTCCCTTCTCCCTTCTCCCTTCTCAAGCTCATTGCCGTCCATTCCGTATACCCTCTCTTCAAACCTCGGCTTCGCTAAATTATCGGGCTCGCCATAGAGCTGGGTCATCGTGATAAATTGAACAATGAGTGCGGATGCTGTAAAACGACCCACAACCCCCAGTGCATCCAAAGTGCCGATAAATTGGACTGAGGAAAGCACTATTGTCCCAAACACAACATGAACAAGACCGCAAATGTTCGTAAAGGAATCAAGAAGCCCTTCGCAAAAGTCCACTTGGTCATCGGACGCCTTCGTCTTTTCAGACGTCTCCTTCGTTTTTGTCGCCTCCCTCGTTTCTGTCGCCTCACTCGTTTCTGTCGCCTCACTCGTTTCTGTCGCCTCACTCGTTTCTGTCGCCTCACCCGTTTCTGACGCCTTAACGTGTTCGGAATTTCTATGGATTTTGCGATCCTCGTCCTTTTCTAGATCCTCATCTTCTTTGGGCTTCTTTGCGAAGGGGCGAAGGTACCGTATCAGCGCAACGAGAGGCGGTACTGGCGCTAGTAAAGCCCATGCAAGCTCAAGGTATGTCATGTTGCATTTCCAGCTAATGATTGTCTGATTCCCAAGTCTGATTGTGTTTTCAATAACGTTCGCAGCGGCAAGAGCCACGGAGAGATATTGCACTACAATCCAGTATGGGTTGGGGTCTCTTCCATAGGTATGCTGTCGAATCCAACTCATTCGTTTTTTGTCGGGATGGTCTGGCCTTATCCAGGGCCTTGAGAACATAAGCGACGGGGCGGCAATAATGCTCAAAAATCCCAGTATGGGCCTTTCTCTGAGCAGCTGCAGGCGTTCCTCAATCGTAGGAGCCGCCATTCCCAGTATAGATGGTGTTAAGCCGAGTAGCACTGTTGCAGATGACCAGTCTCCTTTATTAATTTCGCCAGCACCTTTGAGTAAGCATTCGGCCATGTGCTTGCAGGTATTTGGATTGGATGTATTGTGGGCTCCGATAGAGGCATTGTAGTATGCATGGCAGTCTGGCCTCTCGGTCGTCAAGGTTGTCTGATAGAATGGGTAGAAGTTTTGGAATTGGGTCGCGTTGCTTGTTCCAAGTAGCAGTGTCGCGCTGTATAAGAGAGCTATGGATAATGTCAATCAGTAAAATTTCGGCCTTGTTCGGTGTCGCGAGTTGATATCTACCAAGTAATGTTTTCATTGTGGTAGAGCATTATCATACACGAGAACAAGAGGGCCCCGAGGTGTAGATTTAAGGGGTCAGGAAAAGAAATAAAAAGCGAAAACCAATTCCAAATACTGTTAGCGCGGGGCTGGAGGGCGCAATATCAGCACCTATCATAGATCCCCTTTTCTGGGGCCAGAATCAGCTTACGGGGGCGGGCGCTAATAAAACTGTCAGGTGGTTGGTTGCAAAGGACGCCACCGAGTGAGTTGCTATAAGAGACTACATACACTTATCCGTGCCCTCTGGTTCTACCTTCGGCACCCCCACATCGTTTCTCTTAGAACAGGAGACCAAGGGTATATTGTTGCTAGGGCTAGGCCAGCGTGCCGAAAATGTCCCTTCGCGCTTTTCCCCTCGTACTATGATGTCAACATAACATTGGAGGAAATCACGAGATCCTTGCTCTAGGGTCTCTTCGTAGGATTTGCTTATTACGCTGGATTAAAGCCCTGAGCACATCAACGTATATCTGGCCGGCAATGTGCCTGGATTTGAGAATTGGCCCAAGATCTGGAAACTTTTTGACGACGATTACTATTCGTTCGTCGCCAGGGAGTCACGAAACTGGGTCATATCAGAAGCAATGGCGGTCAACTCGCATTACAAGGGCTCAAACTCGGCAAATAGTGATGAAGTCTTGAAAGCAGTGGAGGAATTGGTTCATTATGCTAACACAATTGTGGTTCCAGATTTAATCACTCCGAAGGATCCATAGAGTTGATTCAAGCTGGGGTTCAGCTGTGACACTTCACCGTAGCTGATGGTATCGCCCTATGCATGTAAATAATCAGTTCAGTGTTGCATGATCAATGAAGTATCTAGATCAGACCACTCCAATTAGAGTTGATCCCTGCTAGGGCTGCACACGAATAAGGATTTTGCTTATTCGTATTTGACTTTTTCTGAATTGTCTTTATTCGTATTCGTAAATACCTAGAGGATGCTTAAGGTTTCTGAATATTAGCAGAGGTCGGCTCGACTTTGATGTTGCCAACCGATTATGTTAAAGTGAGAAGCGACGGGAACTACCGCCAAAAATATATTTCAACGAAGATTCGCGACATAATGGGCCTTGTTGAGTATCACGGTGGTCAAAGCATATGGCGGAGACTACCAAGAGATATGTAAATAGATAAGGAGTCCCACCTCCGAAAAAGAAGAGAGAACTTAACTCAATACAATCATTTTATCTCAACAGGCCTCCAAAGGCGAGCAAATAATTCTACAAATATTACTAAGCCAAAAATAATCATTTATTCGTATTCGTGTGCAGCCCTGATCCCTGCACGCCAGCTTCGCACTTTCGCTTCTTTATACAATTCACAGCGCTGGGTTACTCTCGCCACTTGCAGTAGCGTAACGTAAAACTGGTGGTGGTAGGAGTGAACTGGTACTCAGTACAGATTTCTGCCAAGGCCCTAGCGCCAAGACATCAAGTTTCAGTGTTTCTCCTTTCCTCTTCAACTTACGCCCACATGTTCCGAACTGCTTTGATTCGACGCATCGCTATACCGCAAAAATGCCGTCCCTGCAGAATCTTTCCAGTAAATTGCTGCTCAACGTGATCAACAGACTTTGGGTGCACGACGTCATGGCCTTGTCGCAGCAAAGCCGTGGAATACATGCTCTATGTGATGTGAAACATCGTCAGAAATACCACCTGAAGTTCGGCCGAGAGAAGCTACCGCAGACCCATAAAGCTGTACTCCAAGCTGGCCTAGACACATTACTTGCCATCTTACGATTTCCATCCCTTGGAGATAATCTTCGTCGTGTGGACTTGTACGGATCTGGAATGATCGAGTATATTTCTGACTCTTCCATCCAAGATTATGTGCTTTCCCCCGAGGACATCGACAGACTCAAGCAAGCAATCCTAGGCGCCGGCTTCCAAGATACACAGGAGCGCGAGTCAATTTTATCCATGCTTTCACGAAACCCTGCTAAATTCGAGTAACTTTTTATCTCTGTCTAAGCTTCTCTTTTGTTACTCACTAGCAATACAGATCTGATTCAGACGAGGCAGCACTTCAGTTCAAAGATGCTCTTATTACGCTCTTAGTTGCAGCTGCCCCGAATCTTGAATTCATTTCAATGTATCCATTACTGGAATACATTCGATCTCCATCTACTGGGGATTATGAAAGGGTGAATCTTCTCCAGAGATTGCTATATCGGGCCTCTACGGGGTCGGTGCCATACTGCCAAAATCTACGAAATTTCAGCTTCCACCCTGACGATAAGCTCAACGAACGCGGCGACTACGTTGAAGACCCATATTATCATCGGCTTAATATGGTCCGTAAACTACCGGCTGTTGACTCGGTCGCTTTCAAGCTGGTAATGTGGAGCAATGAAGCCGGAATACCGCCTCCTCCCCGTTCCGCCAACTACAGCAAGATCAGCTTTACACATTCTGTAATGCAAAGTTGGGATCTTTGCCGTATCATCGAATCCCCCAAGACCTTGAAAAGTTTTACTTCCGCTATCGGTGGTCGTCAATACCCTGAAGGTGGCCACCCCGTGTTATACGTGACTCCGATACTCAAGTCCCTTTGGATGCATCGCCAGACTCTAGAAGAATTGAATCTGGATATGGAGAGCCAGACACCTCGACAAGAATTGTATGATGAGGAATATCAAACCCAAGAAGGTGGGATGACCGAAGAGGAGCAAGAAGAGTATGAGGAGCAATGGGCAGACGAGCTACAGGAGCTAGCCACCGTGGAAATCACACCCGTGCGCGTCTCCCTGAAAGACTTTCCACGCCTCAAGAATCTCAGTGTTGGAGCCCATACGCTATGCTATCTAGCTCGAGGTGCAGGAGATGGCAAGACGCAGCTTGACTCAAAGTCTTTCAATCTTGTTGATCATATCCCGTCTGCTGTTGAGTCTCTCCGGATCTACGGGCTCGGAGAGCCCGTGGATAGGAGTACCCCCTATCTGGATTACGAATCTGATCTAGATGTCAATGCCCAAATTGAGCAACTGGCGCGTGAGAAAGATGCCAAACTGCCAGGACTGAAGATTGAAGGCGTTGATCCTTGTATTCCAAATGGCAGGACTGTGGATGAACAGGCGGATGAAGATGATCTAGAACTTTTCTGGAAAGATCCAGATGACAACAGGTTTGATGACGTTGGTGACGACGTTTGATGATAATATCAATCTAGAATCAATGCCGTCACCAGTGTAAATTAGTCCCTGCGTGCAATCATCTATGCTTGCTAAGGCAGAAAATGAGTTACTCAGTGTACATTGGTCAAGCCGATTTCGAGAACCACTATAGAACACGTAAACGCTTTGCATCTCCTGACTCTAGTTGTAAAATATTTATGATCACCAGCCTATTAGTTCAAATTCATATTATCTCATTATAGTTAAGGTTAAATTAAATGTAAACCCGGTGCGATATACGTGTACCTGCCGAGAGAAAAGAAAAAAATAAAAGACAAAGGAGAGGTAATCCCAAAAGTTGCCGCAGTCACTCCTCGATAGATCAGACTCTGTGGCGTCACTAGCCTATGCGGCTAGATAGGGATAGATTGCGGAGCGCGGAGTTGTTGCGGGCTGTCCAAATTGGGTTCATATACAATCAGGCAGTTCTCTCATCGCTTCCGCCAGTGCCGCATTCAAGTGTATGCTGAAGGGTGGATTAAAGTGAAGCGACTATTAGTTTTCTAACCTCAACTGGATTAAGCGCATTTCTAGTCCCACGTTTATCCCTATACCGAGCATCTACGCCAACATCCCCCTACCTTATCCGCTCTAACGAAGCAAAAACCGACGCTTAGTATCAAAGATTCTATAGATCTAGAGACATATATAGCCTACGTACGAGCCTATGGTTAGATTTTCTAGGCGGTAGGACGTGCCTGGGTATCCAGTCTATGAAGATCCTTAATCTCGAATAGGGTAGTACCTGTTTGTCAGGCCTATCGGAGCTTATCTTTCACTCATGTGCTTGAATACTTTACATGGCGGATCTATACTATACACTTTGTTACGTTTGAGAAGTACCTGGGTACTGATCTCGGTGCGAAGAGCGATACCTCCGCACTTTCAATGTAACGACCTACTTTCCGATCAATCTACAAAATGCGAGTTTCTGAGGCCTCAGAATTTCAACAACGCCTTCTTTTCTGTGTTTCTACTAGAGTATGCCGGTAACAGAATGGATAACGTCCATTACTCGCTCTCTGCTGAGCAGCTTGAGAGTTTCCAGGAGCGTGGATACCTACTGATCCATGGTTTTTTCACTTCAGAGGAATCAGAGCTGTTGCGAGAATGGGCGCAGGGAGTCCACGATCTTCCATGCACCCCTGACGTGCCCTGGATGTCCTACCAAGAGGTGAATTCGGAAGGCAAACACGTGCTATGTCGGACTGAAAACTTTGCCAACTCGCATGCCGGATTCGACAGCTTCCTCCGAGGGCAGCGTGCAACAAGTGTTCTACAACAGCTCGCAGGAGAGGAGATGCTTCTCTTCAAAGAGAAGATTAACTATAAGTTGGCCGGAAGTGGTAAATAATTTCCATTTTACAGCCCTGTTTTGATCGCACCTGCTTCATAGGCGGTTTTAAACCTCATATCGACGCAAGTGCCTACACACATGTTAAAAACATCAAGCATTTGACAATCCTTGCGGCAGTCGATGAAATGAATGCTGCCAATGGAGGTCTGGAAGTGGTGGACGGCAGCCACCGCATGGATATTCCTTTCGGCAGTGATCGCCGCATTGCATCTGATTGGGTCGAAAGCAATGTCTGGACACCAGCCGAGCTTGATTCAGGTATGCAGATGGAGAAGCTCCCCAATGCTTTCATCGCAGTTTCACTAATGGGAGTAGGAGATATCTTGATTTTTGGTTTGTATCTGGCCCATCGCAGTGGCCCCAATGTTAGCTCTAAGGACCGGCGTGTGATCTATGCAACATATAACTGTGCCGCTGAAGGCGATCTTCACGACCAGTACTATTGCGACCGTCAAAAACTCTGGCCTGCAACACACATGCGGGAAGGCGGACAGTCGTATGAGGAAGGTCGTGTGGGATATGCCTTCGGGTCCCCTATGGTAACTGTGGATTCTAAAGTCTCGGCCTGATCGGTACAGTTAAGCCGCGTGCAGTACTTAGTAGCATGTAAAAGATCAATCCCATGTGATCCAAAGATGTCGTAACAATGATGCTAGTCGAAGCAAAATCACTCCAGGGCTAGGGAATCAGGTAAAACGTATGCACTATTGAAATAAATTGGTCAGGTCCAGACTTCAACCCGGACAGGTGTGGGCCACCGGCATGATGACCGAACACTTTAGTCAAGGTACCTAATACCTACATCTCGACCGAAGATATAATAAAAGGGCTATGAAGTATATAAATGCTTCCTACTACCTCTCATCTATCTTTTGTCCAACCAGATGTTCTTTCTTTCCGACGCTTCTCCTAATTGATTAAATATGACCATGAATCAGCAATCGACCAAAGAAAAAGCAGAGGCCTTGATCGGCGCTCTAGAAAAGTATGGTCAAGGTGACTATATTGGAGAGTCGATTAGCCAGTTAGAACACTGTCTGCAGGCGGCTCATCAGGCCCATAAAGCGGGCATGTATCGTTCAACGTTAATATCTCTGACGCTTACTAACTTTCTTCTAGATGCTCGTGACGAGTTGGTAATTGCGGCTTTGTTGCATGACATTGGTCAAATCATTCCGCTGGAATCCACTAAGGAAGCACGGATGAATCTTCGCGGAAGCGCGGAGAATGTCGGCCGTGTCGGGCATGAAGCCATCGGGGCATCATACCTGCGATCTCTTGGATTTAGCGAGGTAGTGTGTCGCTTGGTAAATAGCCATGTCGCTGCGAAGCGGTAGGTAATCTTGCCCGTCTTTTTGCGAGCCCAAACTCACGTTTTAGGTACCTCACTGCTACTGACCAAGGATACTACGAATCTCTATCATCTGCCTCGCAGAAATCGCTGGCATTTCAAGGTGGCCCCTTCCGAGATGCCAACCTCAAGAACTTCGAGGAAGATCCACTTCGAGACGAAATGGTCTCACTCCGACTGTGGGACGATGCTGCCAAATTGGAGGGTATTGAGGCCATCACTCCCCGTGCTGGGGTCTATCTGGACATGATCATCGCGCATTTGCTCCGTGAAACCTGAGGGAGCCAGTCTATTGGTGAAACTCCACGTTGGATGCCTGTTTGCATGTTGGATTTTAGCTAGAAAGAGAAAACACGTGGTTTTCTCTAGGTCCACAGGTCCAAAAAGTGTTCACTGAGTACTCATCCTGTTCAGGCTTGTAGGTGTCAAATAATGAGCGGGGGGGCTTAAGCGCCTTCATCAAGCGGCACTGTGGAAAATGAGTGGCCAAAGATTCGTCGTTATATGTAAAGAGTTGCATTTATATCAACCTGGTGACTTCACTTAGAATACTTTAAGGTACTCTTCATTGCGTGTAAGACAAGTGGGGGCGGCAAGTATCCCGAGGTACCTTTCGTATACAGCTCAGCCTCACTGGGCGCTTAAGAGGGGCTATCCACATCAGGCAACGTCATCGAATCTTGGAATTCTTCTCTCGTGATACTCCAACTTCTGCCTGTGTCTTACTTCTTCTCCTCTTTTCCCCATCTAGTTTATCATGGGTGTAGGTCTTCCAGATTCCTCCCACCACAACTCCTAGTGAACCCCTCAATCTTACCATCATCTCTAGTTTGCTCAGAAAATCGCCGCAGCTCAGAATAGCCAGAATATGGCCAACAGTGGTTCATATGGAGGTGCACCTCCGTCAGGGTACACTGGGGGGCCTCCTGCAGCCTTGCAGCCTGGTGGATCGGTAAGTCATATGTCCATCTCTGCTGTTTCTGCTATGACTCGTAGTTCGACGTCATAGAGAAGAAAAAAGAAAAGGTGCTAATGTTCTCAGCAGAGTCAACCCCAATACCAAGCTTATTCAGGATCTCCAGCCCCTCAGGGGTCGGTAAGCCATTTTTTCCCTTAACATTTTTTTGCTTTTCGTGTTTCCCCCCACTTCCACTATTTACCCCTCCACGGTCATCATCTTTCTGGACAACCTTGGAACCATGTCGGGACCTTACCAAGGCTATCCTCCATACGGCGGCTCATCTCAACACCAGAACAATCCATCATCTCCATACTCCAGGCCTCCGCCATCTACACCATACCCCGCATCGCAGCAATCTCAGCAGCCCCAGGGCTATGGCCGCCCGCCTCCACCCCCACCACAAGGCCAGCCCTATGCCGCCGCTAGTTCGCCCTACCCAGGTCAGCAACCGGGACAGCCCTATGCTTCTCCTAGCTCGCCTTATCCTGGTCAACAGCAAGCTCCTCCACAGGGATACCCCGGACAGCAGCAATACACCGGCCAGCCGCAATATCCTGGACAACAGCAATATCCCGGACAACAACCCTACCCCGGACAGCAGCCGCCATATGTACAAAATACCCCCTGCCCTACATCATTGCCTATTTCTGTGTTTCCTGTCTGAGTACCTCGGATTGTCGTTGAATGCTTAATGATTGGAGAGCAATGCTAACGGAAATAGAACCAGGCACCGCCCTACCCTTCCCAGGGAGCCCCATACCCCGGTGGCCAGGGCCGTCCTGGACCCTCGCCAGGACCACCAAGTGGACCACCACCAGGCCAGTATGGCCCACCCGGTGGCGCTCCTCCGTCTGCAGCTCCCCCAGCCACTCAGCAACAGGTCGCAGCTTACCGATCGCTTTTGATTTCTACCATTCAAGAGAAGAATCTCCAAAGCTTCTACCCTCCGGAGCGACTGGACCGACTTGTTCAGTCGCTTGCCGCTGAAGCCCCTGGCAAGCTCAATAGGTTGATTCATGAATGGGCTGTGCCCATGGAGGTTGCGACCGATGTCATGAAACTCTCGCTGTTCGACGTGGTTCTCTATGTCGATGACAGTGGATCTATCGAATTTGAAGAGAAGGGACTCCGAAAGGATCAACTGAGACAGATTCTGGGTATTGTAGCTACTGCTGCATCTACCTTTGACCAGGACGGTATTTCTGTCCGATTCATGAACTCCAGTGAGAAGGGCGATGGCATTCGCAACGCTGAAGATGTCGACCGCCTGGTGTCTCGAGTCCGTTTCTCAGGCCTGACCCCCCTGGGCACCAACCTGAGGAGCAAAGTCATCGACCCGATGCTCGTTCAACCCGCCCAGGCCAACCGTCTCCAGAAGCCCCTGCTGGTGATCACCATCACCGACGGACAACCTGCTGGCGAGCCTCACGGTACTGTGGGTGATGTCATTCGCTACGCGGTGGAGGAGACGTCGCGGAGCCGTTATGGCCCCGGTTCTGTAGCCTTCCAGTTCTCGCAGGTGGGAACTGATCAGCGGGCTCGCGACTTCTTGGGCTCTCTGGACGAGGACCCTCATATTGGCCATCTGATCGACTGTACCTCCAGTAAGTTCCACGTGGGTTTCATGGGGATCTAGCTAACGTGGTGTTCTAGACTTCGAGGTTGAGCAGGATGAGATGTCGCGTGCTAACCCACCAGTGCATCTCACTCGCGAGCTTTGGGTAAGTCGTTTTTAACACATTGACCATTGCATACTATTTAACTGACTGTCCATTTAGTGCGCCAAACTGATGCTCGGCGCTATCGATTCCTCTTACGACACCAAGGATGAGCGAGAGAATGAACGCCGTGGTGCACCTCCACCAGCATCAACAAGCCAGTACGGAGGAGGGTACGGCCAACCTCCGCCACCCCAGGGCCAAGCTCAGCCTCCGTATGGTCCGCCTCCTGGTGCCCCACCGGCTTCGTACGGTTCCCAGCCGGGCTACCCACCGCAGGGTGGTCAATACCAACAGCCTCCGCAGCAGCCGCCCTATCAGGGAACACGGGGTGGTTATGGCCAACAGCCGCCACATGGGTATGGGTCCCAGCCTGGACCTGGCTACCAGTATGGTGGACAGCCGCCACGCTATTAATGGAATGTGACATCATAGGGCTTCTGAGGTTACGTTGCTTTTTTGCCATGCTTTAAGGGAAGGTTGTGGTTGGGAGTATTCTTCACTCCACGTAGTTTCCATGAATTACGAACGCTTTGAACCCAACTTTAAGAATATTATTCTTTTTATCTTTTAAGGGGATGAGCCTCTTCCAAGGTTGACAGGTTCGAGTACCGTACCTCTCTTGTGATTGGGCCTGCCAAGGCTACACTAAAACGAATCAGCCCACGAGTCCCCTAGGGCACTTGAGAGTGGTTGTACATATGTACGGAGTACATTGCATACATATTAACATGTGGCTAAAAGAGGAAAGGAAAAGTGGAAAAACCTTAGAAGTCAATATGTACTCTGTACCTACAACAGAGGTCTGTAGTCCCCAATTTTCCATCCCTCGTCTGCAATAGGGCTGCAGGGTCCTAGGAATGTGAGGGTGGCCAATAAAAAGACCGGTAGATCTGGAACCAGCGGGCCCTTCGTGTGTCGCCCCAATGCAGCGAGGAACAATCTCATTTGATTCGACGACTCTTAATTTAAACCTGGGGCTGTGCCGGGGGCGTCGTGGATATTACTTTGTCGATGGTTACATCTTACGCGTTGCCCAGAACGTTGCCATGAACGGATTTTGCTATTGGGAAGTTCTTAGACGTTTTAGATGTTTAGGATTTCCCAATGCCCACTTAACTCCAGTTTTCTCATTAAATGTCTGCCTATCATAGCCTTGTACGGAGTACGTCTCGATATCGCCAGTTGGAACTAGACCGTTTTGGGTTTACCATTTCCCTCCAAACTTGGTCTTGGCTGCTCCTCGTCGCTCTGGTTTTTTTTAAGTCTTAGTCTCTTAGTCTTCTTGGCCTCTTTTCTTTTTCTCTTCTACAGGACACAATCATTGCGCCCTTCATTTCTATCCTTGCGTCCGACGGGAGTACTTTCGTTTGCTCAATCCTCGCTACACCTTCATTTTGACAGAGGAAAACATCTCCACTGAAAGGACAGCAGAAGGATGACTGTCTAAGTGCGTTCAATCGAATACTTCGCTTTATTCTTGAGGGGGAAAACTAGCAGAGGAAGGATCAATAATCTCGGAGTTGAAGAAAGTTACCGAGATCGTCGGGGTCTGTCCCGCGCACTCGTGGCAGGAATTTGACTGTCCGTCATGTCCAACGACAAACCTACAGAACCTACAGAGGGCACTCCACCCGAGCAGAACGATGTCCACCGACGCCCATCTCTTGTGCCTTCACGAACACTCTCCGATTCCGGGCGGCGGATCTCTTCCCAACATGTGCGCTTCTCAACCGATCTCGATCGCGAGTCGGCCGAGGAACTACGACAGACAAACTGGGACCGACGCCCCAATTCTCGCGGCCTGAGCATCGACACGGCGCTGGCGCCTCCATTTGTTCGACCTGCTCCCTCACCCACCTCTCCACTCTCGCCTCCCAATGCCACCCGAAATGCGACCCTCTCCCCCATTCCCCCACCGAGTCCTGAGTCCGCCGGTCGGTCTCGGTCGCGAAACCGTGGATACTCGCTCCGTCGCAGCATATTCAATAAAACTATCAACTCGACGGAGAAGGATGATCTCGCCCTGGCTGAGCTGGGTGAGGTCAAGGAACCTTCGTTTAATGTGACTCCCGTCCAAGCCCCGGCTGCTGAGACACTCACTGCGGCCGATGAGAAGCATGCTTTGAGCGTCGCGCCGACAGCGACACTCGACTCGACACACAAGGAGGATGCCTCCCCTTATGTCTCCTCTGAGCCTTCAGAGAAGGGTCTCAAGGAGCAGTTCTCCGTGTCTGTGGCCCATGAGAAGTGGCTCCGGAAAAAGACGACTACTGCAGTGGCTGTCGCGCGTTTCCAGGCAGTTATGACCTCTATCGAGAAATTTATTTTGCGCATCAAGGATATACCACCGACTCAGGATGGGCGCCACATTGACTTGAATCCGTCTATGGTGGGTTCCATGATTGATGAGCGCACCCAGAAGCCTTATATCGGTAACTACATTCGTTCGAGTCGTTACAGTCTCTGGAGTTTCTTCCCCCGCCAATTCTTCGCCCAGTTCACCAAAGTCGCCAACTTCTACTTCTTAATTGTGGCCATTCTACAGATGATCCCTGGCTTGAGTACAACTGGAACATATACAACCATCGTTCCGCTTTTGATCTTCGTTGGTATCTCAATGGGCAAGGAAGGATTTGACGACTGGCGCCGGTATCGCTTGGACAAGGAGGAGAATAATCGGGATGCTTGGGTGCTCCGCCCAGGCCACGGAACGATCCAGGATGGCGCCTCCATGATAAGCAATGCTCAAGATTGGGAGAGGATCAAGTGTGAGGATATTCGTGTCGGCGACGTTGTTAAACTGGAGCGCGACCAGCCTATTCCCGCTGATATTGCTCTCCTTCACGCCAACGGACCCAACGGCGTCGCTTACATTGAGACTATGGCTCTCGATGGTGAGACAAATTTGAAAAATAAGCAGCCTTGCCAGCCGGTGTCCAAGGTGTGCTCGACTGTGGAGGACATCAACAGCAACTCCTTGCACTTCGTCGTTGAGGACCCCAACTTGGATCTCTATAAGTTCGACGGTCACGTCAGCGTCAATGGCCAGGAGAGACTGCCCTTGACTAACAACGAGATCGTCTACCGTGGCAGCATCCTTCGCAACACCGACCGCGCTCTGGGTATGGTAATCTATACTGGCGAGGAGTGCAAGATCCGCATGAACGCCAACAAGAACCCGCGAATCAAGAGGCCTGCTCTCCAGGACAAGGTCAACCGCGTGGTTATGCTGATCGTGGTGTTGGTCGTTATCCTGGCCGTTGTCTGCACTGTGGCCTACAAGTTCTGGTCTCAGGACGTGGAGCAACACTCTTGGTATCTTGAAAATGCTAGTGTCTCCTACGGCCCTATCTTCACTTCGTTCCTGATTATGTTCAACACCATGATTCCCATCTCCCTGTACGTGAGTATGGAAATCGTCAAAGTTGCCCAGATGCTTCTTCTGAACGATATCGACATGTACGATCCCGAAACCGACACCCCGCTCGAGGCGCGCACATCCACCATCAACGAGGAGCTCGGTCAGGTCAGCTACATCTTCTCCGACAAGACCGGTACCCTGACAAATAACTCCATGCGCTTCCGCAAGATGAGTGTGGCTGGAACCGCCTGGTTGCACGACGCCGACCTTCAGGAGGAGGCTGCTCGTGCAGGCGACCACACCAAGTTGATCCACAAGAAGCGGAGTGCAAAGGGGAAAAAGGCTATGGGCCGCAAGTCTAATGTTTCTGAGGCTCAGATGCCCCGTCCGTCAAATGTTTCTGGGCCTCTTGATGCTCTCCGTCAGTCTGGCCGGTCGGCTACCACATACCGCACTGAAGAGATGCTCGAATATATCCAGCGGAAGCCGTACACCATCTTTGCGCGAAAGGCGAAATTGTTCATTCTGTCTATGGCCCTGTGTCATACTTGTATTCCCGAAGAAGACGCGAACGGAAACACCACTTTCCAGGCTTCCTCCCCGGATGAGTTAGCCCTTGTTCTTGCAGCCCAGGAACTCGGATACCTCGTCGTGGATCGCCAATCAAACACGTTGACCATCCGCACACAACCGAACGGACCGGACGAAGCCAGCAGCGAGGAAGTCTACGAGGTTATGGACGTGATCGAGTTCTCAAGCGCGCGAAAGCGCATGTCAGTCGTTGTTCGCATGCCCGACCAGCGCATTTGCTTGTTCTGCAAAGGTGCCGACACCACACTGATGCGTCTCCTGAAGCAAGCCGACCTTGCACATGAGAAAGCCACCGAGATCGAGCGCCGTGCGAGCAGACGCAAGAACGCAGAGATGAACCAGGTCATCCGACGTAACAGCGAGCACCACAGCCGGAAGAACAGTGCTGCTCGGAGCAGTATGACCCGGCCGAGCTTCAACCGTCGGCGTTCGTCGATCACTGGCCAACAGGGCTCGGCTCTCCGAGCCAGTATTGATGTTTGGCTGCGCGACCGGGAGACGGATGGTGGTATGCGGAACAGGGAGGCTGATATTGAGTACTACAGCCCTCGGCCTTCGGCGCAGATGGGGAGACCCTCGGCTGCTATCTCGGACTCTGGAAGCTCTACGAACGGTGAAGACGATGAGGATCTTGTGGAGGAGGCATTGGTTGTCAACGAGGCGGCTGTTTTCGAGCGCTGCTTCCAGCATCTGAATGACTTCGCCACTGATGGCCTACGGACTTTGTTATATGGTCACCGGTTTTTGGATGAAGCGACGTACACGAACTGGAAAATTGCCTACAACGAGGCTTGCACTAGCATCGTTGACCGACAGCAGAAAATCGAGGACGCCGGTGAGCAAATTGAGCAGCAGCTGGAGCTTACTGGTGCCACTGCCATTGAGGATAAGCTGCAAAAGGGTGTCCCGGAGGCTATTGACAAACTTCGACGAGCCAACATCAAGATGTGGATGTTGACTGGTGACAAGCGGGAGACCGCTATCAATGTTGGCCATTCCTGTCGTCTTGTCAAGGAGTACTCGACATTGACTATTTTGGATCATGAGAATGGCGATGTTGAGCAATCGATCGCGCATCTTATCGGGGAGATTACCCGCGGGCGTGTGGCGCATTCCGTGGTCGTGGTTGATGGCCAGACACTGTCGTTGATCGAAGCGAATGAGGTCGTCCGTGAACAGTTCTTCCAGCTGGCTGTCAAGGTAGACTCGGTTATCTGTTGTCGGGCGAGCCCGAAGCAAAAAGCGTTCTTGGTGAGATCCATCCGCAAACAGCTCACCGACGCAATCACGCTTGCCATTGGAGACGGTGCCAACGATATCGCCATGATCCAGGAGGCACATGTGGGCATTGGAATCACTGGAAAGGAGGGATTGCAGGCAGCACGTATTTCGGACTACTCGATCGCGCAGTTCAGGTTCCTTCTGAAGCTGCTTCTGGTGCATGGCCGGTGGAACTACCTGCGTGCCTGCAAGTATACACTCGGCACGTTCTGGAAGGAAATGTTGTTCTATCTGACTCAAGCGCTGTACCAGCGCTGGAACGGCTACACTGGAACCAGTTTGTATGAGCCGTGGAGTCTGAGTATGTTCAACACGCTGTTCACCTCGCTCGCTGTGATCTTCCTGGGTATCTTCACGAAGGACCTCTCAGCATCGACACTGTTAGCCGTGCCGGAGCTCTACACCAAGGGTCAAAGGCACGGCGGCTTCAATATCCGGCTCTATCTGGGCTGGTCGTTCATGGGGACCTGCGAAGCAGTGATAATTTTCTTCACGATGTGGGGTCTCTATGGCCTGGCAAGAGTCAACCCCAGCGACAACGACATCTTCTCCCTGGGCCTACTCACCTACTCTGCGTGCATCATCGTCATCAACATGAAACTCCAAGTCCTGGAAGTCCACAACAAAACCTACCTGTCGCTAGCCGTAGTAATAATCTCCGTCGGCGGCTGGTTCATGTGGGATCTAATCCTCGACCGCGAATACACCATGTCCTCCGGCAAAGGAATCTACTTCCTCCCCTCCAACTTCATCCACCACTCCGGCCACAACCTCCTCTTCTGGACCGTTCTCCTCCTCTCTATCTCAGCAGTCCTCCTCTTCGAATTCACAGTCTCAACCCTCCGCGCCCTCTTCTTCCCGACAGATGTCGACCTCTTCCAAGAATACGAACAAGACCTCGACATCCGCAAACGCTTCGAAGAAGCAGCAGCCTCAGAACTCCAGCAGGGCTGGGATCACGGCACCAAGAGATCAAGCTTCGAGATCGCTCGGGATAACGCCGAAAAGGCTGAGATGGATGCTCGAGAACGACAGGTCCGCGAACTGCTCGCCCGTCCGCGCGTCATGGATAGAAAGGAAGTCGAGCTCGAGACCGCCAGTGCGACGGTCAGTCATAACAGCAGTGTGCCGAGTCGCAATGTTGAGACGGACCGTGGCCGTCAATCTGGACTCCTCTGTCCCGAGGACGCTAATGGGCGTCGGCGCTCCGTTGAGATCCAGGAGCTCTTTAGTAAGGGCTATGGTGCTGTGCGCAAGGGCCAGCTCAAATGATTCAAGATTGAAGATTCGATTCCTATATGTATAACGGGACTTCCCCTCATTTTCTATTTTTCGTTTATTTCCACCGTCTTTCTCTCATAGCGATTGCATCTGGATTCTTGTCCACTCACTTATCATACGATCCCTCCGGGCATCGAAAGGCGTTGGTTTGATTTTGGAATTGGATTACCTATTCAATTCCGTGGTCTCTCTTTTTTGTTCGCTGTTCGGTCTGTTGCACAGTCGGCCGTCAGTTCCAAGATACCAAGATACCCCGACTCACATTGTTGGCAGTCTGGCTTTTTGTTTCTCGCGTTACGTATCGGGTTCTATTGCATACGTGTGATTCCCCCTTTCTTCTTGCGGTTGAGGTCCAGTACATATTTATTACCTCGCGTTATCTTTTTAATTCAGAGATTCGACAGATGTTCTCTTCGTATATGTCTAATCCACTCGCTATGCATCGCATAGTATTATCGTCAACTGTTGTAGTCCGCCATTGTGGCCTTATATCCAAGCGACGGAATCCCTATCTGACCCAACATGCTCGATATTGTCTTCCGAGTCATGCAGCAAGGGTTGGAAAACAATTTCCCCCTGATCCCATGATTCCTGTCCCTTCCTCTTCCTCCAAATCACCGGAACCCTACCAAGATTCTTACAGTTGACCTGTTCGACGTACTCCGCAAAACCCCTCCCACCCCTAGAAGCACCCAGAACCAACGCTCGATTATCCTGATAATCAAAAGACGGGAGATCCTTCCACCATCGCATTCGAATGCCTTCCCCGATAACTAGAAGCGCGATCAGACCCGTGATCACCACACTGGCAATAACATAAGCCCGCGATCCGACGCGCAAAGCAGAGACCTCGACTAGTACGGGTGTGGATTTCCTGAATCTACCAACCACCAACTGGGCCGACGCATATCCAACCAGGATATCGTCGACCAAGGACGTAACTGCGTTCTCCATTCCCTTCATCACGATCTGCATGTCCGATAGATCCCCACCAGCAACGGAAGTGCGGTAATCACTAATGCTGGCATTGAAGGCATCGCCAAGGGTCGAGCGATAGTAGCTAGTCAGATCGTTGGAGATAAGTTCGAGTTGTCGCATGACGATGTGGGTTATATTGTGATGGGGATCGATATCATGGACCGAATCCACTGATCTCACTTTGCTAACGCTGAGATTCCGTCCTTGAATATCAACAGAGACGTTGAAGAGTGCCGGGTTGAATGTGACGGCACACTGGACTTTGTCCAAATTTTTATAGTAACTCCCTGCTGCGATAGCCATATATCGCTTTGCACTGTATTCGGTGGGATCCGCTGCCACCCCTAACGCAACTATTGCATCGTCGCCTCGACCAATGTAGACCGAGTACTCGGGTGCGCTGGGTTTGCTATCGGGAAGTAGACCTCGAGCTGCGTGGAGGGTGGGTTGTGGAAGGACTTGAATCATAAACATCGAGCTTGTATTATAGATGCAGTCGACCGAGGCGTCGAGGCCGACTTCGTTGAATGTGTAGTTTCGTACGTGGGGTATTGCGACGAGACTATCGTCAGATAGACCGGCACTTGCACCAACTCCGTAGGACCGACCGTGATAGTTATATCGGGTGTTGTCCATTTTGGGGTGATTGCGAATGCCGCCGTTAGTTGGGGAGGCAGAGTTCATGGAGGATAGTAGTGAGCCTAGTAACCCTATGCCCACTGAGTACGTGAAGTAGCCCTTTGCCTCGCGTGTTGAAAAGCCCGTCTTGTCGATCTCAGAGGGGTATTCATTGATCAAACTGATATTGGACCAATCTGGAATGAATAGGGAAGAATGTTGGGCGCCGATAGCATTTGCGGGTGTCAAGGCGCCAGTCCATAATGCTGATATGATAGCAGACAGATTGCCGAGGAACACAGTGATAGCAATCATCCAGAAAGGTAGACAGAAGTTGTTTGTGGGAGTGGACAGTGCTGACCAGAACCCAAGCACGTCGAGGGATACTGGAGTTTGTGTAAACCGAACGCGAGTTGTCAAGTTGATCAGGCGACAGAGTGCGAAGACTTCGATAGCTGCTAGGATTGCTCCGAAGATCTGGACTGCTGTCTGGACAGATGTGCGGTTTGTATTCACAAAAGCATATAGGTTGTCTGGGAGATGCCAGCTGGAAATATCGGTATATAACACAAGAGCGCTTAGTGTTAAAGGGATAATGAGGAGGACAAATAGAAAGTGCTCGATCCATGATTTTGATAGTGGGCGGTTATCATGGCTGGTGCTTTTTGATGAGACAATTGACTGTTTGGGCTCATCGAGGGGTCTGTTTCGTCGCATGATAGAGGTATATTAAAAGATGTATAATAGGAAAGGAAGAAAGAGTCACGCTCAGATTCCGTCAAGACAGATGCATTGGGTTTTGAGACTCAGTCCAACTTGGAATCCAGCCTCCTAAAGATAGTCTTGTTCTCACTAGATGCATATATGAAACGACACTAACATTTCCATATATTAGGCATTGTTGGAAACATGGCGGTTAATGAAGGGCATCTGATCCTCGTCTCCCATTGGTGACGCACTCTCCCGAGACCCAATGAGGCCAGTGGCTTGCCGCCGCGCTAGTCAATCCCGGCGCGTAGGGAAAATGTACAACATAGTCACAGTGGAAATTCCAAGCAAGGCTCGATGATACGGTCTCTATAGAGCAAGGATGAAAGATGGCATTTGGCGACATCGGGGATTCCGTTTGTTGGAGGCCTGATAAACAAGGCCACAGTCACCATTGTGCTTCATCACATAGGAGAATTGGAGTCGAGAAAGGATGGCAGTCCATTAAATGATTATCTCAAATAATATAAAGAAACGAAATTGACAATCACCAAGTGAAGATGGAAACCGTCACGTGGCGATATCCCCGGCTTTCTTTTTGCCGTTGACCCCATTCTCTTTTCTCTTCCATTCTCATAGGTTGATTTTCTCGGAAGATACATTTCTCCAACGTCATTGTCACCCAGTGAGAGAGGATATGCCCCCGGGAGGTTTGTTGAATATGCACCGAGTACACCGAGAAGATGCGGCTCTGACGATCCCAGGCCCGGCTTGTATAACATGCCGTGAAAAGTGTCGCAAGTGCGACCGCACAAAACCCGTTTGTCAAAGATGCATCACCAAAGGCCTTGAGTGCAAAGGATATCCGGACAAGTTCCGTTTTACCGGGCTAGCAACCCGGGGCAAGTGGAAGAACAGGGCGATCCCTACTGTGAGCCGTGACCATGCCGTCCGGACTCAGCCGGGCCCCGGAACTGATCAGCAACATCTAAGTGCTTCGCCCTCGTGTGAGGATCGGAGTATTGAACCGCTGCCTATTCACGACCGTCTCTTCTCACAGTCAGAAGGGCGAGCCGTCCAGTTGGACGATTTATTACTGCTAGAACGGACGGAGCTGTTGTTGGCACATTGTGTGTTTGTTTTATTCTGGGTATCGAATTACTCTTAACTGACCGCAGAATATATATTTAGATGACCAGGTGATATGTCCACATCAAATCGCTCTTCCAGCTGGCGCAGACAACCCATATCAAGTTTATATTCTGCCGCTAGCATACGAACAAATTGGCCTACTTTATGCAGTTCTAGGTCTTACCGCATGCCATATGGGAATAGAAAAACAAGATGCTTATCTGCGAGAGACACTGGCCGTTGAATATCGAGTCAGAGCTATACGCTGTCTTGGAGAAACTCTCCGAAACGGGATATCCGGCGAGCTGGATGAAAATGAACGTGATGGGATTTTCGTTATCATTCAGATACTGTTACTCCAGGATGTGAGTTGACAATTTTTTGTTTTGATATCTGATCTTGAGACAAGAAACTAATGGCTGAGTCTGAATTAAGATTTTCGAATCGGGCATCTCAACACACGGAGTTCATATCACGGGTGCCCTATCGATTTGCAACCAGTTGCGCTTGTCTGACACCCTATCCAGGGAGAATGAAAGAACTATATTCTTCTTAGGAAATCTAGCATGGCAAGTTCTCTCATCTCATTTCCAGTTTCTCCTATTCCTGACGCATATGCATCCTATCAGGCTGGACATCATCCGCTCACTCGCAGACCCACAACGACTATGCTTTTCCCCTGAGCTTCGCGCAGCCGTATCCACTTTAAGCGACTTGAAATTCGAGCGGGTCAATGGCTGCCCACGCGAGATATTCTTGATAATAGGCAACGTAATGGAGCATGCCAAGGCGCATGCGACGGGCAAGATGGAAACGGCAGAATACGAGCGGCTTCTCAATGCTTGCCGCTATGAGTTGTACTCCTGGAGTTTGAAGCCTGACAGATATCCAAACGACGATCCCCGCTGGCCTGCAGTTGCCGAGACATTCCGTCACGCATGCATACTACATACATCTCGCTTGCTGGATATGACTCAATCCGCCGAAGCGCCAATAATACAGAATTCGGTGACAGCAATCTTGGACTCACTAGCGGAAATCCCTGCAGACTGTCGCCTGATCGAGTTGGTGGTCATGCCGATTTTTATGGCTGGGGCTGATGCCTTGTCCCCGTATGCTCGGCATTATGTCCTTCTGCGGTTCGACCACATCAAATCTCATGGTGGGGTCACTAGCGAAATGTCGGTTTCTCTACTTAAATCTGTTTGGGATGCTCGAGGTAGACAGGCCAAACATGACAGTAGCAATATTCCATGGGTGTGGTTTGTGAGTTATTTTCTCTATAGGATCTTGATCTTTGCTGACTTCTGCAGACTCGCCACTCGGGATCGGAGCGGCAACATGACTATCTTATTATATAAATCCATTGATTTGGTTTAGCCATAATATAACAATTGTGAGTAGTGCAATCAAGGTGATTATTCCATCCCTCTTCCTGGGCAGAGTGGCTTGTTCATCTGAATATGGATGTACCCCGGACCTGTAGATCCTTTGCCTTTGGAGGTAGTTTGGAGGCACGGAGTAGTCCACGAGATACTGGGCTTTGATCATAGGCTTGAATCACTATGCCGACGGTTGAGCAATCGGGATCAACACCGTTGAGGATGGCTTGATCTCGCATATTTGTTTCATGAGGGAAAATGACTTCCAAGAATTAGATGCCGTTTTCATTGACAAGCTCTGCCAAGTTGAGAACTAGAAAAGTAAATTGTCCTTTAATAGGTATTATTGCATATATTATTGGAGGTCTATGTGGTAGCACGTAAGATATGGAGGGATTGCGTCTTAGCACGTAACCTTGACAAGCCCAACTCTGTCAGCAAAGTAAACTCGAGACTTTTCTTGGCCTGAAGATAGGAGACTAGCAAGGCTAGTGCATCCTTTGCCACGAAAAGATTGCGAGATTTAAAGCAAATTGAGTGAGTATTGCGCAAGACTACCCCGAAGAATCGCCATGTTCGTGTGCTACGGACCCGCTAGGTAAACCTATAGGACGTGATAAAGATTAGTGTCGGATTTAACGACTATCTGTCTCCTCAACTGCCGGGTGTTAGTGCGGGTTGGCTGTAGGATCTTTTAGTGACGCAATTACTAGGTCCGCTGAGGACATATTTCACTAGTTGTATAAAATCAGAAAAATCGCCGGTATTCATCTCCACCAAAAGACTATAAAGTTATCAATCCGTGCACAGGGTCTCCTAGCACCACAAAATCCCAAAGCACGATGGGAACCGCGGGTGATTCTCGACAAGTGACGACCGCGTCGGTGTACAGCATAGATGCGGAGAACCAGACCAACACCCAGAGAGATGGTGGTGTAAAGCCTGCCAGATCATGGAAAAGTTATGTATGGGATACATGGGAACTTCCACCAGATCAACGCTGGATGCTTTTTAAAGTAGATGCTTACGTCCTCACGTTCGCATCTATCGGATATTTTCTGAAGAATATCGACCAATCGAATGTCAATAATGCGTTTCTCAGTGGCATGAAAGAGGATCTCGAGATGTATGGCAATCAACTAGTGACTAGTACGTGAATTTCGCTTCCGAACCGATTTTTCCCTTATCCTCCGTTTGGGAAAATCCGAGAGATTTGCTAACGATGTTGCAGGCACGTCTATCTGGACTGTGGGATACGTTATTGGCCAAATTCCGTCCAACTTGTTGTTAACTAGAGTTTCGCCTCGATGGGTCATCCCCTCGCTGGAGGTAGGATGGGGACTCGCGACTATTTGTACATCAAGCGTCAAATCGTATCAAGCTCTATATGCTTTGCGCTTCCTTGTCGGATTCTTTGAGTATGTTGTTATCCCACGATTCTACATATATCTACTATTCGTGGCCAGTTACTAACACCGTTACAGATCAGGATTTTACCCCGGCATCCATTACTTACTTGGATCATGGTACACGCCACGAGAAATTGGAAAGCGGGCTATGATCTTCTGGCTCGCCGGTTCAGTTGGCACTTTGTTCAGCGGGTTTCTCCAGGCCGCTGCTTATACAAACCTGAATGGGACAAATGGTTACGCTGGATGTATGTGACTGCAATCCTTCAAGATTCTCCCTTTCCCACCTTTTGGATTCGATCATTCAAGCCCTTCGTCTCAACCCAGACGAAAACAAAGAGACAACCCGCTGACTGATGAGAATAGGGCGCTGGCTTTTTATTATCGATGGTATCATTACGCTACCGCTTGCGCTCGCTGGATACATATTCTTCCCCAACCTACCGCAAAGCGGCAAAAAGACATGGTGGACGACAGAAGAGGAACATCTACTGTCAATCAAGAGAATGGAGAATATTGGACGTGCTGGCAAGAAACCTTGGACTAAGGCAAAGGCGAAACGCATTCTGCTGAGCTGGCATACTTATCTTCTTCGTGAGTCGTTCTTCGCACCTTTCCTGTCCTAGAACTATACTGACAATGCCGCCCAGCATTGCTATACATCCTTTGGAACAATGGCATCCCTCAACCTGCTATGGGCTATTGGCTGAAGAGTTTCAATGTCGACCCTGCCCCTCTTCCCGGGACAAGTTACACTGTCGCGCAGATTAATAACTGTGAGTTCGAAGGTCCTACGTCCTAATGGACCTAGCTAATATCATGTACAGTACCTCTCCCAACCACCGGTGTGCTCATCGTCATGGCATTGGCCTGGGGTTGGCTGTCTGATGGGCCATGTCGTGGCGCCCGCTGGCCATTCATTTATATCGGCGCCTTTACGACTGTAAGTCAAGAGAGTATATTGGTTAAGTGATAGATTGCTATGCTACGGTAGCTAACAACTACTTCTATTCCTCAGATCATTTTCGCCTCCCTCATGATGAAGATGCCCTTTTACGCAGATATCAAGGGTCGTATGGTTATTTATTGGCTGAGTAATATTGGCGTGAGTTTGTTATTCCATCAAGTGTTCAGTCGTCACATCTTAACATCGCCTTTAGGGTGGTGCCGGTCCTTTAATCCTGAGTTGGATCAACGAGATCTGCTCCAATGACACTGAAAAGCGAGCATTGCTTGTTGCAATGGCTAATGACCTTGCCTATGTGGTACAAGCTGTCGTGAGTCTCAGCTTCTCTTCCCCTGCCTTGGGGTGCATACTAACAAGCTTGAACAAAGGCTCCCAACTTCATCTGGAAAACAACAGCATTCCCCCGCGCTCCCAAGGGATATACTTGGTCAATTGTACTTCAAGTAATGCTCAGTAAGAAAACCATTCTCTATAACTACGTGTCTTGTTCCCACTGATAATGATTTCCCAGTCTTGGGCACCGCAACTGTTCAATTCCTTTTGTGGCGCGATAAGAGAAAAGCAACAAAGGCAGAGGCGGGTATCTCAGCTATTGACCAGGTCGAGTCATCGTCTATAGAGGGAGATACATCGGTGGGATCTAGAGAGGACGATGGAAAAGTGGCTAGCCCTCCTCGGCTTAAAAATATTGGTCTGGTCTAGATTAAATCTGCACATAAACGTGGATATGTTGGTTGACAAACCAAACCCGAGTACAATATTGGATACTATATTCTAGTAGTCTCAAAATCCACTGAAGTGTTGCCGTTGCCCTACTGTTGGACTCGTTGATTGGTGTCTGGTCGGCAGCTTGATATAACTACAGTTGCAATAAATGCAATGCTTCAACTAGCAGCATATCGCGTCCGTAATTATTGCAGACAAATTGAACCCCGTACCTAGATAGATACTGCGGGGTTGTCTGGACCTGCATATATACACACCGCTCGCTGACTTTGACAGTCAAGTCGACCTCTGCTCAAATACTCCCTTCCTCGAACAAACCAATCTGACTTGCTTGATCTCATCTCAAGATGGCATTCCCATACAAGCACGTTTTGCTCGTCGGAGGCACATCGGGAATCGGTAGAGCGATGGCCGATCGTCTCATACAGGCAGGCATCAAAGTGACTGCAGTAGGACGGCGGGAACAGCGCCTTGACGAGTTCATTGCAAAACACGGGGAGGAAAAAGCCTCCGCAATGAATTATGATGTCAGCGACATTGACGGGGCTGCCCAATTTGCCACAGAGTCAGTTAGCGAACACTATGAGCATATGGATTTCTAACAGAGTGGAAAATAGCGCAACCACCCAATATCCAGATATCGACTGTGTCTTTCTCAATCCGGGCACTCAACGGAAATACAAGTTACTGACCCTAAGGATGGGGACTTGAGTGATTTCAGAGCAGAGATGGACGTCAATTTTATCAGTTACGTTGCTTTGACTCAGGCTTTCATTCCATTCTTGATGTCCAAATCGACCCCGACAAGCTTTATATTGTTAGTACATCTCCGGAATCGAGCTACTTGAGAGACAATTCTAATTTCGTCTGGACAGTACCACATCGCTTCTAGCTTTGGTCCCTGCGCCAAGGATCCCCGCCTATTCAGCCGCCAAAGCTGCCCTCAATGCATTTTTGTACTGCCTGCGAGACCAGTTGAGGGAATCAAATGTCAAGGTGATCGAATTGGCTCCACCCCTTGTCTCAAGTAAGTGGATATCTCGGTTTGATCGTTCCCCGACGGTAATGAAAAATGAAGAGTGCCATACTTATCGTCGAGTTGCACGTAGCCGAACTACACGATTATATGGGCATTGAGAAAGGAAGAAGTATGGGGATGCCGGTTGACCAGTATGCTGAAGATGCCTATAAAGTATTGGAGATGGGAATCGATGAGATTCTCGGTGGGAGTGCTGAACCTAAGGATGTCTTTCAGGATTTGGCCGACAAACGTCGCAAGGTCTTTGATGACTTCGCCCCAATGTTTCGTGACGTGGATTGAACCGGTGTTTTCAAGCCGTTGCTGTCACTCACTGGCGACCATTATAGCTATAACATGAATAGATGAGATGTCCTGATCGACCTCAACTCTTCTTAGGACACTCGCGTGGGACCCCAGGAATGCCTTCGCCGTGCTCTTGATTCCTCTGGAAGGATCAGGGCACTTGATCGCAGCGATAATTGCGGGTCTGTTTCAAGGTCTAAACTTTTGCTGCGCGGTTACACTTGTAGCTGGCTCTCTAGAAACGAAAGTCGGGCGTTGGCCTTTCTATTTAAAAGAAAGGTCTAAGAGTATATTACTAAGAATAGTCATTGTATACCTAGGTAGTCTGCTAAAGGTGTGGAGAGTAAGTTTGCATTTATGAGACAATGAGCCCACCTCTTCGTGCTTTCCAGTTTAGTGCTCGCCCTCCCAGTATTAGATTGGATTGGTCCTTACCACATGTCTGGGGATGCTTGGGTATTCGGTCCTGCACGTCAGTATAGCGCCTGCGAAAGTGGCTGGCGCTCGGTGGCCTATCAATCAGTTTCGGCCCCTCAGCTAGTTGGCGTCTTAACGGGAGCGAATCTATAAATGGTCTATGAAACCTGACGTGTTTTGAATGGCGCTCAATCTCCTAAGGCACTTAGACGCCTTTTGATCTAAAGTGCGAAGCATCTGGGCCGAAGGATTCTGTCGTTTCATAAACTGCATAAACCAAACGTGACTTGGAGGTAGCGCGTTGTTCTTGTGGCTTGGTTGGCCCTCGTTGACCTACCGCTGTTTGAAGAGCCCCTTGGTAAGTTGACTGTTGCAGGGGTCGTAACATTATCGCTAATAAATAGATTTGGAAGGCGACTACGTTGAAGCAAACAGAGTTAGCTATTCCTGATTGAATATTTCGGCGCTTCGATCAATGAACAGGTGCTTCAGCACTTACGTATAAATAGCAACTAGTGAGCTCCTATTGGCTTCAAACGCCTTCTCAAATAAAAACCTGCCAACACAGTTTATTATCAGTCTCAGTATACCTGTTAGAGTCTAGGATATCCTGACCTTGAGCAACAAACGCGAGGTCTTCCTTTTCGCTGCATCATCGCGATGCTCTCTCTATCGGCAGGAATAGGCAGCAATTGGGCCATGCCGCCTACCACTGGGGAATCCTCATTTCTCCCAAAAGTCCCAAGGGGTCAGATTGCTATGCTTACGACGTAAGCGATGGAATTCTCCTCGATCCGGCGTACAGAGTCAATCTTAACCTGGAAGGCAACTGGCCCTTTCGAGAAAAAGTAAACATCAATCCAGAAAAGAGCGGTCACCTTCTATGGAAGGGTCATGATTGGGAAGGTGCCCAATGAGGTTACCTACGCGGAAATCCACAATCTTCTCGGAGCGATTACAATTCCCCGAAAGGGTGCTCTGCCGGAGCAAAACTGTGTCACCTGGACGAGAGCTGCCATTTGCAAGCTTCAGGAGAACGGTCTCATAGAGCAATTTGACCTTGACCGGTTCATGGACGAGTCGCTTGCTTCCGCGGACTAACGCTTGCGGAGCACTGATTCTACGCCCGCTAGCATCAATTACACTGGCCGGCGTATGTGACTTGCGAAACGCATCAGACCTCGATACGTCACTCAAGGTCGAGGGTCGGAATCAGATCCTCTCTCCCTCGCCAGAGAAGTTGTGGCTCGTCCAGTCGCCTCCAGAGGGTTTGTTCCGCTTTGAGCTCGTCGTCATATCTCTCCATAGCATTTTCCAATCCATCATACCACTCTGGGCAATCTATCTGACCGTAGTGTGCTTTGGTATACTCCCAATATTCCGGGTACCAGCCGCCAAATTGCCAATCAACGATCGCAGAGACCTTCCCGTTATCAACTATGATATTCCGGGGCGCGATATCTGCGTGGGTGAAGCAGCTTCGATAACGACGGGAGTGGCATTTAGTGACCTCTGGGCCGATGACTTTGTTGCAATCCTCAATCGGAACATTCGCTCGAAGGTATGAGTGGAACCCTTTATGACTCGTAAACGGCCCGAAACTATCAGACCCGACGCGGTGATCCAGGGCCTCGTTGAAGCTTGCCGATGCAACTATTCCTTCTCGCGGAGGTTCTAGTTTCCGAAGCTGACTGATGTATCCCGCAACCTCGGTGATGATATATTTCTTCTGGTCTTGCGATAGGTGACCGTGGTACCATGCTGCCTCGAGGCTCATTCCACGGACATACTCCATTTCAATATAGATATCATCATCGTAATAGTGGGTGTTAAATACTTTGGGCACGGGAATTGATGTGTGCTCAGCGACGTATTTCAAGGCTGAGAGCTCCGGTGCGGCACAAGGCCCTTTGATCATTCTGCTAGAGCTGACTCGGACTCCATGCGGTCCGACTGCTCCAAGAATTTTCTTGCCAATCAATAGTCGAAGTGAAAGAAGACAAGAGTTTGCGCGGTGTTTTCTCTTATTTTCCATGGCTCGCTTAGCTCGGCAGATGAGTTTCGCATTAACAGCCGATCAATGTCCACCCGTATGGTTGATGGAGTGACGAGTGGCGGAGAAAAGCGGAACGGATCTTTGAATGTGTAACACTCGAGCTCATAGCTGCGGTGGCTCCCGGGCCAAGCTAGGTATTCCTTTAGTCCGACCTATTCCACTACACACAGTGTTAGAGAGTGTAGAGTTTCGGCTAGTCATTAGACATCCCATCTCATTACCTGGAAAACGCTGTACTCTCGCAGAAGCGCGCTATCCAGGATGCACGATAGGTGGCCTAGATCCTTGTGGAGGGGCGAGTAGATGACGGCGGCAATATTCTAACAAAGAGAGTAGTGTCGTCCGACTTGGGATATGGGATCGCTTTAGGAAGGTGTGGTTCAGTCGCGGCGCAGGTAGAATGGAAATGTAGATGAAGATAGTGCCTGCGAAAAGAGAGCAAGAAAGCGGCAGTCAAGACGATCTGTATTGCCAACAGAGAACTGAGGGGGGAGAGAGGGGAAGGAGAAGCTTTCATCTCCACAAACAAACAAGCAGTACTAGCCTGAACAATCAGGCAGCCATACAGGTCACGATCCAAGCTCCAACAGATAGCGACAATGATTGCGCAGTGATGGGTAACAGAGTCGGGGCGGTACCTAGGTAGGTGCAAGCGGTCAATAAGACATTTTTTAGGGTTAGCGCAGTGTGCGTCCAATATCCTTTTCTATATTGTAGGCGTAAACTAAAAAGCTGAAGTGTGTACAGACCTACCACGCCAAGAATGTGTATCCAGATATCCACCGAATCCCGGCCATCTCAGCGCATTGGTAAAACCTGTGCGAATCGGGAATAGCGCCACTTTTTCTCTGCGAGTTAGGATCGCGGATGAAGGCTCGTGCGCCTTCCCCTCCCCTTCTCTGCGAAGTCTCGCTTTGCAGCGTTGCCTTTAAAAGGGCTGGCATCTGACAGGTCGCGATCAAAAAGTCCTCCAGGGACTGCCTAGGTGGTCACCTGGGTATTACACCCTTAGATAACCCAGGTCGCCATGGATGGAGGTTATCACGCTCAGTTCCATGGCCACAGCTAATCTCGCGACTTGGATAAGGCGCATATCTAAGCCGATGAAGAACCTTGAAAATGTATATTAGCCGGATTGGTGCTTGAGGACGCTAATTCCGCTTATAAGGGTGGTCCCTGCCCCTCGTGGCGTCAAAGCTCCTCTACCTTTATTCTCTCTTGATTAGCCGCAGCATCTTCTCTTCTGCTCAGAATTCAGAGGAATTCAGAGAAATATCCCCTTCGCTGCTGATGGATTCTCAATATTCCCCTAGTTCAGTTGCCCCTACAGGTACAGCAGGCAAGGACAAGCACTCGACGAACTCGTTGCTGGAGGAAAGATCGATTCAAAATGGAGACCAAGATATCCTGAAGGGAGAGAAGGTGGATGAGGTTCTTGCTGCCAAGATGACTCTTATCAATGATGTGAATATTCCGCGCACGCGCACCGTGATTGAGACATGCAATTAACCTGAGGCCCTTTGTCCTCCTCTACAGACCATTGATGAAATTGGTTTCACACCTCACCACTGGAAACTATTTTGCCTGAACGGATTCGGATATGCAGTTGACTCGCTCATCCTCCTGATCCAGTCCATTATTTCAACCCAGGCCAGGTTGGAGTTCAGACCATCATATTCCACAGGGCTCACCATTGCGGTTTATGTCGGCATGTTGGTGGGTGCAATTTTCTGGGGCTTTTCGGCAGACATTATTGGCCGACGGTTCGCCTTCAACTTCTCCCTGCTCATTTCATCGGTGTTCACCATTGTCGCGGGGGCTGCTCCATCTTGGGTTACCCTGGGTTTGTTTATCTGCTTGAGTGCTTTCGGTGCTGGGGGAAACCTGGTCCTGGATACTACAGTTTTTCTCGAATACCTCCCCGGCAAGGAACAGTGGCTTTTGACACTCTTGGCAGCGTGGTGGGGTGAGCTTACACTGCCTAGTAAACCTCCTGTCGAAGTCTGAACTGACCCACAGTATCTAGGTCTGGGTCAGCTTATCGCAGGTCTGTTTGCTTGGGCCTTTCTTCCCAACTTCTCCTGTAGCGATGCAGCCACATGTACTCGTGAGAACAACCAGGGATGGCGTTATGTCTGGTACACATGCGGCGCCTTGGTGTTCGTTCTCTCCCTCCTCCGCCTGACCATTATCCGCCTTGAAGAAACCCCCAAGTTCCTAATTTCCGAGGGCAAAGACGAGCAGGCAGTACACGTTCTACGCAATATTGCCGATCGCCACGACCGCCCGTGCAGCCTTACCATCGAGCGGCTTCAGGCATGTGGACAAATCGCTTCTCGAACAGCCCCAGGATCTGGTTGGTTTGTGCGGCTCATATCCCAGAGCGAAGTGCTTTTCCATCTCCGTGGACTCTTCGCAACTCGCAAAATGGCTCTGTCGACGACTCTGGTCTGGCTCTCGTGGCTCCTCATCGGCCTCGCATATCCACTTTACAACGTGTTCCTCCCCACCTATCTTGCATCGCGTGGCGCAATGTTTGGAGAGAGCAGTCCGTATATCACCTGGCGGAACTACGCCATCAACAATACCTGTAGCATCTTCGGTCCTGTGTTAGCGGGATTCATGTGTCGCTCGTCATGGTTTTGGGGCCGTCGAGGAACCATGATTATCGGAGCTTTGGTCACCATGGTTTTCTTTTTCTGCTATACGCAGGTGCGCACTGCGAACCAGAATCTGGGCTTTACGTGCGCTATTTCTTTCTGCTTGAATATTTACTATGGTACACTCTATGCTTACACCCCCGAGGTATGTGCCTGCTCACTTTGATTAGCTCCGTCATTCCGTATCTCATTGCTCGATAGGTCTTCCCCTCCGCCCACCGGGGCACAGGAAACGGTGTTGCTATTGGGCTCAATCGGATCATGGGAATTGTTAGTGCCATTGTCGGCCAGGCTGCAAATGTAGGGATTCATTCATTACTCTCCTGAGTAAAATGCTTATATTGGTAACAGACTAGCACGCCCGTGCCGATTTACATCTGCGCAGCCCTTTACATTGTGATGGCGATCGTTGCCGGAGCTTTGCCATTTGAACCGTATGGCCGACGAAGCAGCTGAATGCTCACCTTGGCAGGATAGCCGTCCGCATCTCATTGATATCTACTAGGTATAAGATTTCAATTATTCATCCTCACACTAGTTAGTGCATATTATTATCTGGTAACCCAGATAGAGAGAGCAAGTATTAATACTAATTTTGAACTTATTGTGTGGGATATTTTTTTCTACTTGTTCTTCGAAAAGATCACAAGATAATATCTCGAATAACAGGTTTCATTGACCTCTCATGTCTTCTTTGCGCCTCGGCTGGCTACTGGGAAATTTTCCCTACGCAAAACATCATCCGGCCTCCTAGTTTTCACATCGGTCGTTAAACACCAGTAAGAGTTCTCCGTGCAGTCAGTGACAAAACCTACTCATCTCTCCATAGCCTTCACCGCACGTTCTCTCGCGTCATTTTCCCATCGATCCCATGCCAGAGTAAGACTCAACGTGTCTCTCCACAAATCCTCAGGATCACTTCCAGGCGGCAACTCCCTACCATTTCCAACTTTCCCATTTATCTTCCCTTTCACAAAACGCATATGCCAAGGTATGATCCCAACCTTCTCAAATCCCATCCTCTGCGCGAGTCTCGAACTAGCAAGGTTCATCGTGCTAGCTGACCAATGTATTCTGCGTAATCCAAGGCCTCCATCCTCCGTGGACTGAAACGCAAGCTGTAGAACGAGTCCAACGGCATTAGTCGCCACATGGGTTCGCTGGTACGGGGGCAGGATGACAATGAATCCAACCTCTGTGCACAGGTTCGTTGGCGAAGTGCGAATAAAGCTCACAGTCCCAGCTAATTCACCTTCGGGATCTTCTGGGGACGGCGGCCGTGTTTTGTCTATGATTGCAAAGGCGAATGACTCTGGGTTGGAGAAGGACAGAATATGGCTTGTGGAATTACTGTAGAAGAGGGATTTCAGTTCGGTTGCTGATGCCGGGGGCAGTAGGGGTAAGTGTTTGTATATCTCGGGATGGGGCGATGATATGCGGAAGAAGGTTTCACAGTGTCGCTCGGGATTGAAGGGGATGAGCTTGACACGTTCGTTTGATGTCTGTCCCACGTGGAACGGGAAGACGGAAGGTGAAGCCATTCTAGTCGATGTGGAAATGTTGAGTTTGGAAATATGGAAGGTAGCTTGATGACTTGATAGACCAGCGAGCAAACGTTTCTGGCCTGTTCTGCGCGATGGGAAAAGCTGCGAAACGACTTGGTCTGAAGAGGTTGCGTCTTACGGGGTGAAGTTGTTACTAGTGACTCACCCCAGTTCTTGGCAAAGGATTTATGGAGGAGCCTGACCTGACCCTTTTTGCCAGAAGGTTATAATGACTATCATCCTGCATGGCCCTAGTCAGTATTTGAACCCAGTGGTACAATATATGCATTATAATCATGATTTCAACAACCGACCAATCGGCCATGCACAGGTGGCTTGAATGGCTTAGTATAGCTTGCTGTTCAAGAGATGCAGGACTGAACATATACTTTTCAAGCATACTAGAAATGCAGGGACTCCCTATTGTTTTGACTGGCCGTGGCGATAGGGAACACCAACAATAATCTTGAAGTTATTGTAAACTTTGGCATCAAACGCAGCCAGAAAAACGAAGGACCCGAGTGACAACGGATGGAATCTCTCGCAGAGGCCAGTGGAGATGTATGCAATGCCAAACTGACGATCAAGTAAGAATTTCCCGAGTTGTAATAGAAAAAAAAATAGTTTGTTTCATATATAAAGGAGAACTACTTCCATCTAATTGGAGTATCTAATAGAAGTAAATCGAATAAAATCAAGATAGCAATACACGGACGACAACCAAGTTTGGCGACAATTGGGACCCTATAAGATTAGCATTCAAGCCCGCGGGTTCCACGTAGCATCAATATCGGCCAAAAGAGTCTGTCCCTCTTGTCCAAACACATCAGCGATGCTGGCCAGCTTGAACGATGCCAGTTCAGCAGTACCTCCAGTGGCCAATTGGTTCGCATCGTCGTGCACAACCAGCAGACCGTGGGGGAAGTCGGCGTTCAGAGCGGTTCCAACTGCGGTTACACCATCTGTGTTGCTCACCGCGTCAATGCTTCCATCTGCCGAGGTTTGAATAGTGAAAGTCATGACATGCTCATGGGGAGCAGCACGGCGGTACACAGAGTAAGCGCTGACACCCTGGCAGGAGACAATGACAAATCCTTGCTCTGGCGTCTTGCCTGGTAGAAGTGTGACTCCCTCAACATCGGCAAAGAGGGTACCGTCGCCGGCACGCGCAACCAAGGTTCCGGTGGATGAGCCATTGGGCTCAGCATCGTATCTCCACAGACCGTAGGGCTCCTCACCGAGGAAAATGAAGGAGTTTTCCTCATCAGCGACGCAGCCTTCGGGTTGACCACCAGAGCCGCCGGTGAATGTGCGGACGAGAGTAGTGGCGAGCGTTCCGTCGGTCGAGGCAGTCAGCTCGTATTGAAGGTACTCGCCGGACTTTTCGTTGACAAAGAGATACTGCTTGCCGCTGATGGGCGAGCGGTAGGAGCAGGAGCCGTAGACGGTGTAGTCGGCTTTCACGGGCTGCGAGCCACCGGGAATAGATTGCAGCGTTCCGTTGGCAGCGATTTCGAAGAGACTTGAAACGAATGTTAGCGGAAAAAGAAAGGAAAAAGAAAAGAAAAGATTTTAATAACGTACCACAGGGTGTCATCGTCCCGGCATGCCGCGTAGGCGAGGTCGACTTTGCGATCACCGATCGGGAAGCCATAAATAACATCGACGTTGTTTGGCTCTCCAGCGGGAACGGTCTGAAGCAGTTTTCCGGCAAGATCGAAAACAGCAAATCCAGCACCCAATTCCGATTTGGTTGTGGTGATGATGGTGGACTTGTCAGCACTCACGGGAGAGATCCAGATGGCAGGGTCATCACCGTCACCACCGTTGGCATCAGTCTCATACTTGGGCTTAACTCCAACCCACGAGCAATCAGGGCCTGCGAAGGGATCATTGCACTGGCATTCATTGGGTCCGACACACTTTCCGTTGCCGGAGCAAGAGCTCGGGCATGTAAACTGTGTACAGCTTGTGCCTGTAAATCCGGCAAAACATTTGAGCGAGCCATCTCTGTCCACGAAGCCATTCTGTTGAGGGCCCTGCAGGGAGGGATCAATATTCCGTGGGGAGTAGGTAGTGTTGGGTTCGAGTCCGAGGTCAGTGAAAACCGGCTCCAAGGAGCTAATGCCATAGCCCTTGCCAGCATCAGTTTCAAGAGAGTAACCGAGAACTCCATCGGGATACTGAGTAGAAGCACTCTGGTAAAGAGACAGACCAGCAGTCTCAATATCTTCAGCGCCGGTAAGGGTCAGGCTACCCTTGAGCTCCAGTTTCTGTGAATAGATATTGACAACACCGGACTGGCCCACAAACAAGTAGTCGGTCTCAGGCGCAACGTAAACAGCTAGCCCTGTCACATCATCATCAACCTGTCCCAGGAGCTTGATTGTGGGGGCATTGGTTGATTCTGTGGCCGTGAAAGTGTAAACGCTGTTGTCATCACCTGACAGATAGACAGCACCATTGGTGGGGGAAACAGCGCAAGAACCTGAGACAGGAACGTTGAATCTTTGGACCTAAAAATCTTTCAGCATCCGCAGTACGGCAGAAGATATGTGTTGTTCAAGATACTGACCTCAAGAATCTCAATGTCAGCGTCCTTCTCACGGACGAGGAATTGCCTCGCCTCTTTCTTTCCAAGCAGATAAAAGTAGTGTCCGCCACTGACGGGGCTGCGCCATGTGCACAGAGAAGACCAGTCCCCGAGGGCTTTGATTTGAGCAGAGGGGATCTCAGTGGTGCCATTGATGTCGAAGACCCGAACGATTGAATCAGGAGCAGCGATGGACACAATTAGATCCTTCTGTCCGACACCATGCAGGACACCAGCAACCTTGGTACGACCAGACATGCGGCTGGCGACTTGATGCATATCAGTCAGGCTAAAAGATCGAACGCCACCTGTAGCAGCGCTTCCATCGTTGCCCACAAGCAGAGAGTTTTGGAACGAAGAACCATAGTAAATGGCCGATAGGTCAGCGTCCACTTCGGCAGATTGCGCAGCGATGGGAAGGTTTGCGGTAGCAGCGGAGGCAATATCAATGCCACTGAGGCAGAAGACAAGGCCCACTATAAGGGAGCGTGGCAGCAGCATTTTGAAGGAACTATAGTGAAGATAGGTGTGAAAATGAATCACTCCTCCGTAGAGCCAAGCCAATTATTTATACCTCAGCATCCGGGCAATGATCAGGTATCACTGATTCAATTGGTGATAGTAGCATTGCCCAGAATTGACCGAGAAGAGTCTTGGCTACTTGGCACCTACTTGGCATGCTTAACTCGTGCTTGTCCCCACTGCTACCATTGGCTTTACTTATTTGACAGGCGTATGCAAACTTCACGAGACATTGCGGTTAATATAAGATATTGCAGGTACAATTATCCCACGTGCTTTGGAATAAATGATATATGCAGGTACTTGAGCCCGTGCCAAACTCTACATATGTCGGTGCACAAGGTCTTAGAGCATATCAATAATAATCCATGGATAGATCAATAGAGCATGTAATAGCTGCATTACGCTCTGTGTATGCATAACTTATAATAATTCTAGATGGAAAACCTGGAATAGATGGCAAAATAACGGAAGGCTACTTGCATATTAATATCTTCCTCATAAATGCATGTGAGAATGACATGCTCCATATTAAATTTGCACCTTGTGGGTCCTCACGGCAGGTCGTTCGGGTTCCCCGAGGAAGCATCGATCGAATACAATTGGAAACTTCCATAATGCTAGAAATATACCTTCATCAAGGAAATAAACTTATTACTGTGGCTCATTCTTATTATCTCTGCATATATAGGGTTGAGCTTCATTCTTTGACTGATAGAGGCGCATACTTTACAAGAAATGTACCAATTGTAATCTTGCGAAAAGAAACGTGTCGAACACGAGGTACTCCAAAAAGCCAAGATATTCCTTAGACTTATTGTGACTGGCCTAATCAGATGCCAAATGGCTCTTTTAACGGAGGTGATCGACACGACGCGGAAATTAAGGGCCTCCGGAAATACTTAACGGGGAAGGGCCGAAGCTTCAAATTAATTTCGGTTTTGCCCACAGTACCATCCTCAAAAAGAACACGTCTAGAAGCATAGATATTACAAATTGCTTCTGCGTGAACGTCATACCGTGATTAATTGACTAGTAATGGGTCGACCTCGAGAGGAAGACAGAATACATGTCTATTCAACAGCTAAAATGCTAAATGTTTGATTTTAAGTGGTATGGACAGTATATTAGCATCATGCTTATTACACACGGTGAGAGAAATTACCTATTAGTGTACACCAGTACTTGATGCCAAAGGGTCAATGACCAGGACTAACGTAGCTGTGGCTCGGTTCCTGGCTGGCCCAGGTCGTCCGGGCTTGTTCAAAAACGGAATTGCTGGAAGAGCATTACTCTGACTCCGGTTCTAACCCTGCTAACAACCCTTTCTGAAGGCTATCAAGTCGAGACCCAAAACCGCTTTTGCTATCTGCACATTAGCGGCTCGATGGGAGCGTGACTGATAATATGCTGCATGTCTTTGTCTTCAGATTCGCCCATTTCACCTATTCGAAATTTATAATGCATCAGTTTGGTAAATCGGATAATCAAAAAGAAAATAGAAACGAAAGTAAAAGTGAAATGGAGGTGAGATTTCCTTGAATATTTTCCATTCATCGTATGGCTTTAATTATAGAAAGACCTCGACGATCACTCTTACTATAAATGAAAGAAATAGAAGCCTCCTGCCGCAAGCGGCTGGTTACTTATGGAACCCGAGGACCTTTGATCTTAAAACTGACAAAGATAGAAAATACTTGGCAAACAGACAAAACGCCTGCAAAGCACTATAGGGGTTGCCAATAATAAGTCCCCGGGCTCATAGCCTGTTTGAAGATGGTACTGCCTACTAGATAGTCCATGAAGGCATGAAGCACGGAGTACAAAACTGTTGTATTGCAAAGTATGAATAAGTATTGTCAGAGGGGAAAGACTGTAGAAGTCGCCTTACAGAAAGTAATCATATGACTTGACCTCGGGGGTCTAGTCGTTAGATTGAAGAAGCAGCACTTGCATACTAGCCCCAAGGAGTTTGAAGTTGGTGATGGGCACACAGACAAAGAAGACAAAGAGGTCTTTCGTGCCCTCGGAGACCCGTTGGTGTGGCTTTTCCGTCAATCAGCAGTGGACGATAAAACAATGAAAGACGAACGTCTGTCATATCATGCCCAACGTTTACTTTGAAAGAAGAGCATGGGGCCCAGCTGGGCCGGATCCTTAACATGGGCCACTTTAACAATGCTTTCCAAGATGGACTTATTATAGAGAACCCCTTTAAATAGTTTCGCCCCGCAAAGGAGTGCGAGATAGCTGAATATTCTTATTGATAGTAGCAAAATCAACTGTGATCATGTTGGGCAGGACCACAGTATCTCAGAAATTGTTTCGCGCCATCTTCGTGGGTGTGGCTACCTGTTTAGGAGTTGTGACGTTACTGGACCTTCCAACAACGAACTACTTCGGCGATTCTGATCATGGCCTCGCTGCTGGGGCCGGAAAGCAAGTCAACTGGTCGCGATTTGCATACACCCAGTATGCCACCGACGGGTCTTATTTGTGCAACTCGGTCATGCTGTTCGAAACGCTCCACCGGCTTGGAAGCAAAGCTGATCGCATATTGATGTACCCCTCCGAGTGGTCTATAGCCGAGGATGGTGATTCAAGTGAGAGCCGCATGCTTCGCTACGCACGAGACCATTATGGAGTCAAGCTCAAGCCAATCGAAATACTGATGAGGCCTGGGAGTGATGGTAAGTGACCTCAGCTCATACGCCGCAGGTGCATTTCGTCGGCACAGCTCTTACAACCTAATTTGAAGCTGACTTTGCAATGTTTCTGTTAGTGGGGTGGTCAAAGAGCTACACAAAACTTCTCGCGTTTAACCTAACAGAGTACGACCGGGTCCTTCACTTGGATTCAGATGGAACCGTTCTGCAGGTGTGTAGGTCTGTCATACATTGCATGTTCCGAACGCAGACTGACCTGTATTCAGACCATGGACGAGTTATTCCTAGCCCCCTCTAGCCCCGTCGCCATGCCCTCGGCCTACTGGACAAATCCGAGAGAGGGTCTTTTCACCTCTGCGGTCATCCTCATTGAACCGGCTGCAGCTGCCTTCAATCGCACGATCCATTCAATTTCCAGTGCCAACTCTAGCACCTATGATATGGAAATTATGAACAACATGTACAAACATACCGCACTGACTATACCGCATCGGCCGTATATTCTTCTGACTGGGGAATTCCGCTCCAAGAAACACCGGGCATATCTAGGTAATTCAGACGAAAAATGGGATGCCGAAAAGATGTTCAAAGAGGCTAAATATTTGCACTTTTCTGACTGGCCTGTGCCTAAGGTAAGTCGGACTTCTAAATGGGAATCGGTCGTCAATAATTTCCGGAGAAGCTAACTCCTTTTGGTAGCCATGGGTTAAAGCCCTTCCAGATCTGATCGAAGAATTGCAGCCTCCCTGCGAGTTGAACCCGGTAACTGGTTATAAAGATGACTGCCGCGTGAAAACTCTTTGGTTGGGAATATACGAAGACTTTAGGATCAGACGAGAGGTATGCCATCCTCCTCTTATCTATTCACTAGTTCATCAAGTTCACTAACCTTTGTTAGAATATATGTGGAACTGCTAGAAGACATGGTGGATACCAGAAACTCTTATAGATCCGTTCAAGGCCATTACACATCCCCGATCACGATATAGAATTTCTGTCAACTACCATCGAATGCTGGACGTTCATACTTTGGATATATCTTCGCCTGTACACTACCTCGATTAATGTGATCATATATCAATCAGGACACTGTTAGACTAAAGACATTCTGGGGATTAGTCCTAAGTTTCACTAGGACGTAGACTAGTCTATATATATAGAATAGTCCCGTATCGTCTTTATAGACCTTATCGTTATTATCCGGTACTTAGTATATAATATTTTCCGTTTCGTCTCGATGGCATTATAGGAAGTCGTCGCCCTTAACTTCTATAGTAGCCGCTAGAATATATCGGTTATATAAGATAGTTTTATATCATATAAAAAGTATGGAGCTATATAGAAAGCCCTATATAGACTATCGTTGTTGAGATATAAGGCTGTAAAATGTCGCATTTACTATGTGTTTTTGGGGTGCGTCTTTCTCATTGCTGCATCCACCATCGTTACAGTGATCTACTTGGCAACTGTCGCTGCACTAAACAGCGTTCTAGGAAGCTTTGGGGCTCAGGCTCCAATCGGGACCCGCATGTTCGTCACAACATGGCTTGCAGTGGGCTTCTCTACGCTAGCGTCGATGACGTACCTGATTATTCTGTTTCGCTGTTGCATATGTGGATGATAATCGGACATTTTCCGGGAAAATACAGTACGGAGCCAATAACATTCAGCTCAGGAAAGATAACTAAGTTAACTAGTTATTAATAAATCCCTGGTGTGAAATAATCCGGACGGATGATCTTCATTAGTTAGTCACAATCCCCCAATAATAGAGAAAGGCGAATAGCAACGTTTCGGACACAGTGGATTGCCAAGAGAAGTTGACCAGATGAATACGAGCGGAGAGCCTCCGGCAAGCCAACCATGCAGATTACTTCCTCTTGTAGAGGTAGCCTTTCCTTTTGCTAAGACTAGATTTGCACAGAAAAACCCGCGTAGAAAAAGCAGGGAGTCGTGATCTACAATTCCCAGGACATCCCTGCCGGATCAGGCGTGCACTGCCAGCATGGCACACAGCCCCATGCTTCTTGGAGCGCGTGCATCGATTATAATACGAGTTACCAAAAACGTAAACATCCTGAATCAAAGTACTTAAATGATGGAAGTTGTAACATAACTGTGGTAGCCATCCTGAAACAATCACCCTTTCATTCCCAGTTGATCTCATGAAATTGTTATTGAACCTTTCTCTTGTCGGACTGGCATTGGGCAGTCCCGACTCCAGTCGCGACTGTCGTTGCAGACCTCATCAGAGCTGTTGGCCTGCTGACCAGGAATGGGCTGCCCTCAACAGCTCCGTCCAGGGAAATCTGCAGCCAGTACAACCTGTCGCCGCCCCCTGCCACAAAGGAAACAAAGAAGCCTGCACGGCCATCACCGAACAATGGACCAATTCAACCTGGCGAGCGAGCCAGCCAGGAGCAGTGCAATGGGAAAACTGGGAGGCATGGCCCGAGCGCAACGAGAGCTGCCTTCTTGAGACTCCCCAGACGGCCTGTGGCCAGGGAAGGATTTCCCTGTACTCTATCCTGGCTAAGTCGGCATCCCATATCCAGGAAGGAGTTCGGTTCGCAAAGAGACATAATCTTCGTCTGGCAATTCGAAACTCTGGCCATGACTTTGTCGGTCGCTCGACGGCTCCGGATTCCTTACAGATCTTCACATACTGGATGAAGGATATTCGATTTAGCGACGAGTTCAAGCCTGCTGGAGCTCCCAAAAGCGAGGGCTCTGCTGTCACCATTGCCGCGGGTGTCAATCTCATGGAACTGTACGCTGCCGTGGGAAAGGAGGGTAGAGCTGTTGTTGCTGGAACTTCGCATACCGTTGGTGCAGCAGGAGGGTATATCCAGGGGGGCGGTCATTCTTTGCTGGGGCCCTGGAAGGGCATGTCGACTGATAACGTGCTGGAGTATAGGGTTGTGACCGCCAGTGTAAGTGATCTTTCTGACCCTGAAGAGTACATACTAATACCCGTGGTATCAGGGAAATCTTGTCACTGCAAACAGTTACCATAACTCTGACCTTTTCTGGGCCCTCAGAGGCGGAGGTGGAGGAACCTTTGGTGTTGTTGTGAGCGTCACCCTGCGCACATTCGACGATGCTCCAACTACGATGGTCAATCTCAACATCAGCACTGTCGCCAGACACCCTGGTTTCTGGGAGGCCATGACTGACTTCCACGCCGCGATTCCATCCCTGAATGACGCTGGCGCTGGTGGATACTATTTTATCATCCCCGATATGCCGTTCAACAGGACGCTTGTCTCAACGCTGTCGATACTCCTGTTCTTCCCAAATCAGACCGACATTGCAAAGACAGATAGGCTCTTTGCGCCCTTGCGATCAAAATTGAATGCAACAGCGGGCGTAATGGCTCAATACACCTCTACACTCTTCCCCAGCACCCGTCAAGTGTTCTCAGGGCTGTTCATTAGAGGCACGGACTCAACCGGCAAGACGGTGATCCTAGGCTCAAGGCTATTCTCGCGTGATTTACTTGTCTCCCCTGACGGCCCGGAGCACCTTGTCAACGCCTGGAAGAAGCTCGAATTCAACCCTGGAGACACAATTACTGGCCATATCGTTGCCGGTGGTGCTGTCGCGAAGAACTCAGAGACTGTTGATAGTGCTCTAAACCCTGCCTGGAGAAAGGCCGTCACCCATATGGATTTCGCTCGCTCCTGGGCGCCAAATGCGACCCTCGCTCAGCAGCAAGCAGTTATCCGCAACCTGACTGAGGTTGACATGCCCATTCTTAAAGCCGTTGAGGGCTGCAAGATGGGGTCATACATGAATGAGGCGAATGCGTACGAACCAGACTTCCAGAAGGAATTCTGGGGCAGCAATTATCTCCGTCTGTATGAGATCAAGCAGAAGTGGGACCCCAATGGACTTTTCATTGCTCGGAAGGGCGTGGGCAGTGAAGATTGGGATGATGCTGGGCTCTGCCGCATTAACAGGAAGTAGACGTCGTTGGCAGAGTGGCCGTTGGCTGGCCTGGTGAACGGTTGCAGCTGTATTTATACAGCCTTCTTTCTTTCCGTCTTTGTATTTCATTTTAATTATTTATCTTTATTATTCCTTGCAAATGATGTAATGCAGGCCTGTTACTAGACGCCGGATTAGACATGTAATATCTGTACGCCTTTGAAACGAAACAAGTAACGAATTGTTGCTTACAGAAATAATAGCGTCCTATCCCCTATCCTGTCTCTTTCCCGTAGTGTATTAAGAAGCTGTAGGACTGTTATTTTTAAGGAGCCGGATTTGCTGTGGCTTCCACTCTCCAGTTAATAGGAGAAGGTGTGCTCCAAAGGGGAGTTGATGCTTCAATTTGGTCTAACCGAGGGCTAACGTAACCGTTGAGCGAGTCGGTCACCCCAAAACACCATTTTATCCATCCGTTTTATGTTAGTTATGCTAGCGTGGGAATTTCTTTTAGTCCTATAGGAGTCCTATGGGACTCCCATAGGCTGCACCAAGGGCGGGTGCCCGGCCCATGGGATCTATAGGCATATACGGTGGACCGAAGAGTATAGGGTGGCTATGGGAAATGTTAAGGTCTAACTCTACCTGCTTACACTTGCTCACCCCTCTGCTCAGTGAGTAGGTAGAATGATTTTTGGTGAAAGGTCTGGGGTATGCCAGGTATTAGGAAATGCACTTGACTTGGCGATCTCGCAGTTCTGGGAAAGTAGGACCTATGTTAAAGCTGCGGACCTCAAAAAAAGTTGTTGCTAGGCTGGTAATATACGATAGTTTCGCCATAGCAACAACAGAAGGCGGACTCGTGTTGTCTATTCACGCACTGGAAACAGCTAGTAGCAACTGGCTTTCGAAGTGATAATGTCAAAGCGTGCCTTTTCTATCGGGCGGAAGCTGGCTGATTATCGCGTCCTGGGCTTAATTTTAGTTTTCTGGCTCGGGCCGATTTGGTTTCCTAGGCTGACCATACCTCCTTAAGCTGAGTCAGATAGCATCCCCACCTACGGCTACATTGTCTCCACCTGTGAGGCTATGAGAACAGCCTTTCGAGTGCATAGCCTGAATATCTATAGCAGTCTATTGATATAGGGGCTATCGCACGAGGTTGAAATATTACACGCTGATTCGATTTAGACAGTAGAGGTATTTATTGCCTGTTTCTCCTTTCGATTTCTAAATCCCCAAAAAACTTGCGAACACAACGCAACAAGGGGAATACCGAGGAGGAGAACCCATGTTAACAGCCATAGAAGTACCACGGCAATAGAAAAGAGCCAAAACGCTCTATTCATCTCTTGCAGCTCATGGTCGTCTGAAATGTGAGACCAAAGTCGGTCCACTGGAACGGCGAGCGCAACTTGCATCGATGAAAGAGCGATAGATACGCTAGCAAATAGGAAGACCAAAGGGAAAGTCGCTCTCTCCATAAACTCTCTAGTGGACCAGTAGGGATTCTCGTAGAACCATCTATTACGACTGTGTTTTGGACGGAAGATCTGGACCACCCAATTTAATCGCGAGAGACGTAGCTGTCTATAGTGGTATCGCTTTGCAACACTGTCGTCTCCAACAACGTGAAAGTGATTGATAAAGATTGACCATTGGATCCAGTCGATATCAGTCGGGATCAGATAAGTCTCCTTCGCGATCGCAAAGTCAAGAGGACACTTGACGAGAGATACATATGAGCGCATAAATCCTATCGCAATCGAGCTATCGAACACCGAAGCGGCTGGCTCAGGAATTTTGGGAATAGGCGAAGAACTTTCCGACGATAATGCTCGCTTTAGAGGCTGCAAATACCGTACCCAAAATTCAAAGTTCAGCAAATATAGTGGTACAGGCTTAACGTAGATCTTGTTCCTATTCCAGATAAGACGGAGTCTCGGGTCTTCGGTTGGAATGATAGAGCGTCCCTTGACTTTTTGCGTATACAGTGCGTCGATATGATGTCCAGATTTCTTTGTAACTAGCCACAGTTGAGTGTACAGCTTATCTAGGAGCGGAGTTGCTAATTCATTAGAAAGGTGATTATAGACCTTATTAGGGAGAGGGCCAATACCAGGATTTCCTAGTATATATTATATAGTCTCTACCTCCCTCTACGATTGTGCGGAGTCGTCGTTCACGCTTATAGGACGTTTCAGGAGCTCCGTATTTAGAGCACACGATACGGGGAATGGAGCGTTGGTATAAATAGATATAGCATCTTAATATGATGTGGTCCAGGGGCTGGATTTGTATATTTTCCGGAACTGCAGACCGCGGAGAGGTTGGTGGGTATATTGGGATCGTGAAATACACAGCTTGAATCGGGCGGAGCGCTCTCTTAGGCACCAATTTCACCGATTGGCCTAGCGCCGGCGGTTCAGCCGCAGATGCCTGGACTACACAGCCGAAAAGCACTCAGCTTATCACAGTCGTACGGCTTCTATTTCACTAATAGCCAAGAACTTATTCACCTCCTTGGCTTTGAGGTCATATACGGTCCGCTCCTGCTAATTACCGACTCCAACCGACTTCGCCGGCCAAAAAAGGGCAACCCACGCGGCAGAGCCCAATCATCCACTATGAACCAACCCACGATCCTGTATCTGTTCACTTTCGCTCTCTCGGTCGCATTCACCTATTATTGGCTCACTAAAAGAATTCCAAGCCGGCTTGTCGCTGATCAAGCTCCAAAGTCGAGATTCGAGCTCGTCCCAGTGAAAAGCTACAACGTGCCCGCACGTGCTGGTGGGATTGAGTGGGTAGTACAGCCAGTTGAAAATTCCAATATTGCTGACATTAATAGCATTATATTTGTCCATGGTCTCGGATCCAACCCTGATACGACGTGGCGAGCGAGAAAATTCACGAACACCTCACACCCAACCGAGGAAACCCGGCCGAACAGTGACCAATACGTAAACTGGGTCAGCGACTTTCTTCCAAGTGACCTCCCCCTAGAGGTCCGCGAAGATGCTCGCATTTTTTTTTTATAACTATGGCTCATATTGGAAGAGGGATGCGGTCTATACACGGCTCCAGAGCGTCGGTACCCATCTCCTTGAACATATTGACGGGCAGATCCGTCAGTCGAAGCAAGTGAGTTTCGGAAACTCCCTAATCCCAGGATTCTTGCTAATCATTTCGCGCTAGGAGCAGGGACGATTCTTGATCTTCGTGGGATATAGCTATGGGGGTCTCGTAGTTAAAGAGGTTAGTGAATTGATGATCCTTCTTTAGGGCGTAGCTAAATTTGTAGGCGCTTATATAAGCCAAACGGAGGCGCGAGTTTAATCATATTGTAGAGCAAACAAGGGCGATACTTTTTCTAGGTATACCGTATCGTGGGACTAGCTTTGGCCCTTAGGGTCGGCTTGCAGCATTCGCCTTGCAACCGCTAGGATCTAATTCGTTGATCCTAGCCAATCTGGAATATGATTCTGTAGCGTTGAGTGATTTACACGAACATTTCGTCACCAGTATACGAGATGATCTGCAAGTGGTCAACTTTTATGAGCAGAGGCCGCTTTGTCTTTTCCAACTATGGTTCTTTCGGTGGCAAATATTTGTGCGTAGGCCCAAAAGAATGAATAGAGCATACTGATACCAAGATAAGTGCGTTCCTGAGAGCTCGGCCACCTATCCTGGGGTCGGTAAAATCGGTCTCGCCGTCGATCACTACGGGCTGAACAAGTTCGAGTCAAGAAGCGAATGCTATAATAGCATTTTATCGAAGCTTGCCAGAATATTAACTACATTAGTTCAACCGACGAAGCGCCACTATTCCGTTCCGCTTGAGACAGTACAGACCTTTACCCAGCGTGATCAGCTTTGGAAGGAGCTAGAAGAAAAGTTCCAGATACGGCACGAAAATGCCAGCGTTCCATTTGCAGTCACTCTCCGCGGATTAGGAGGGGCAGGTAAATCTCAGTTAGCCCTGAAGTCTACTGAAAGCAATGTCGATCGGTATAGCCCAATTCTTTGGATTGATGCAACAAGTGAAGAGACTGTCCGATCCAGTTTCATAAGATGTGCAGCAGAAATTGGGCTTGCGGACGAACCAAACAATCAACAGAGTGCAGCTCTTGTGGACGACCGGGTCATCCGAGGCGTACTTCGATGGCTTAGCGACCGGACAGAGATGGATGATGAATGGCTAGTTATCGTCGACAACGCCGACGATGTCACTCGGGGCATCAAAAGGATTATGCCGAAGAGAATAAGAGGAAGAATTGTTATCACCAGCCGCGATGACCATAGTCAAAAACTGATCACTTTGCAAACCTTCAATATGGTCGACGCAGCCTATTGGCATCCTACCTTCAAGCAGACGTACTTCTTTGGAGGTCGTCGCTACGCTCGCATCAAGTTTTCGCCCGCTACAAATGACGAGATGATTAGCTGGAGCCCCCACAAGATCGCCGAGGGCTGGCCATCCCTTGTTTCCATTGGGTTCGGCACAGTCGATGCTATCTTGCCCGTCGAAAATAGCCCAGACGAGATGTTTGTCTTCCACGGCCGCAATGTTGCCCAAATCAAGGTTGTGCCGGAGACAAACGATGATAGCGTGGTCGGTGGCCCTTGGCTCATTGCCGAAAAGTTCAAGGCTCTGGCCTCGACCGGATATGACACCATCGATGCCGCAATGCCCGTTCCCAAGAAACCCGGTGAAGCATACATCTTCCGAGGCAACAACTATGTCAGGATCAACGTGGACACACACAAAATTGTGTATGGCCCGGCGAAGATCTCGGTCGAGTGGCCAGCCTTGACTGCCGCTGGATTTGACTCTGTCGATGCGGCGCTTCCTGTGCCTCAGGATGACAGAGGCTTAACCTACTTTTTTAGAGGAGACAAATATGTCAAGATCGAGGTTATTGCTTCAGCTCCAGACAAGCCTAACTTTGGCCCGGCGCCTATTCAGGACCACTGGAAGTCTCTTGACTGGATCTGATTGTAAAGAACAATTTGCTTTCTTTATGGGGACATGGCAGAACGTCATGAATTGCATGTCTATGTCTAAGTTGAATTAGCTAGTTGAAATAATTTGAACTGGCTGGAACCTATCCACTTAGCATGTTCTCTTTGGAATCGATCGTATGTCTTCACTTCGAAAGTGCGGCCATTATAGCGGAACCAATCCTCAATGGCGTTGTGGAAGCGTGATATTTCCAGCTGAGCTCAGCCAGCTGGTTGACCCCCCCCCCCCCCCCCCTC